GATAGATAGATAGATAGATAGATAGATAGATAGATAGATAGATAGATAGATAGATAGATAGATAGATAGATGTAGAGTCCTTTTGTGCATGGTTTTATTCAGTACATCTCTTAAAACCAGTCTATTAACTATAGCATTGTAGTAACTTTTTATTTTACTCTGATTTGCTATTACTTTTAGCTGCCATTTTCTCTGACCCCAACTTTAAAGGACTTATTAACTAAAGCTTAGTTCAAAGACAAAACAAAGTGTCATCTTTTAGACGTCCACACAGATGTGGGTGAAAGGTCATTTAGTTCCGTAGTTCATTTCTTATAAATGTCCACTGCAGGGTTTTTTTCTTCAAAAATTTGACTAACAAATGTAAACTTTATGCAAACAGTCGTTAGCTCTGTTAGCTCTTGTTTCGTTGTTTGTTGTATTCTTCACACACTCGGTCACACAAAAGTAAACAAGCACAGCTTATTGCGTAACACTAAAACAAAACTACGAAGAAATTGCCCCACAAATAAAAAACGTTTAGCAAATGTGAGTGGACAAATATGTGTATATAATAAACCCAATCCACGTCCAACGTAAAATTGCATTAAACCTGGAGGAAGCCTTACCTAATGCTAGTCCAGCAGTGTTTCTGGCTACAAAATGTCGCCTTCAAAGCCAAAGTGCTCTTTTAGTGCCGTAAATGTTTGCTTTAACACGTGTCCTATTTAACTAAATGCTTTATTTAAGTAGTTATTTTAGCCAAAGACCACTAAAAATACAGGAATAAACACGTCTACTTCCAAAAAGTATGTTATTTAGCAAGCGGGGGAAAATCCGGCGATTTTGTGACCCAAAGTAAAGACAACCTTCCAACAAATACAAGATCATGGCTCCAAAAGGAATTAACGAGCCCTCCATGACTTCATTGTAAACTGTGTCCGTATGTGCAAACATATAAGTCCTAATAGCAAAATGTACCATTTGTATTAAAAGGAGCAAAAGGTCATTTCTAATTAGCTCAGTATTTTGGCTCAGTGCCGAAATATGATTTGCATGTTGACAATGTGAAACCCATTCGACAAAAGTAGTTTCAGGAAATCCACAGAATATGTCTGGGTTGGCTTAAGAGACCTGAAAATCTTGAAAGAAGATTTTCAACCCTAAAAACATAATGAATAAAAATAAATTTATTCTGATGAAGTCCCAGTTTGTTTAAACTAAACCAGTCAAATGAAAGTAATGACACATAACATACAGAAATAATATCTAGCAATACATGATGCACAGGTGTATTTGAGTAAAGTGTTGCTGAACCTGTTTTATTGTTTAACATTTGTCAAAAATACAGTTTCTTTAGTTCCAATAAGAACAAGACTGGATGCATGCACTGTTTAATAAAACACTTTCATGACATGTTAAAATCTTTGCAAAAAGAAAGAGACAGGCACTGAATAATTATGAACATACATTTCTGCACTGAACTAAGATTTCTTTTTTTCTAAAAAATAAACACAGGACAGTGATAGCTTAAATGCGGAGAAGAAATTTGAGGGAATATACTGATAAAACCCAGTAAGTAGTACATGTGGATGCAAAAAATCTCACACAGTTGTTTAAGATCAACTTGGTTCACGGACCAGGATGGAGGAGGATGAAGGGCAACACTGATGCTTTTAGTGTACAAAAATAAAAGTTACTGTTCTGGTAAAGAGGACAAACCAGATAAGCCCAAGTACTGAAACACCTGTTGCCACTTACAGTGGCGCATATCTCACCTGATGGAGGACCAGAATGGGCAGCAAATGTTAACCAGTCATTTAAGTTGACCTTTACAAAATAATATAGAAAAAAAGAAAAGAAAAAGGTTGGGGGGAGGGAAGACATTAAACCCTCAGAAATTATTGAAAAGTTCAACTGGGATGTGTTTGAAACACAGATAAACACTTAGTCTACAAGCAGGTATATAAAATGGACTAAAAAGAAAACCACAGCTAATGTGGAAACAAATCAAACTTCAACATCAAGAAATTAGAACGTCCCAAAGTATTTTACAGCTAAACACACGAAAGCATGGATCCTTGGGGAGTTATTTTCTTTTCTGTCTTCTTTAATCACCCTTCGTCAGAAGGTCCTCTATGTAGGCATCAAGTTCATCATCTGTGTTTATATCAATGTCCTGAAAGCATAAAGACAAAATGTTGAACTTTGCATAATTCCTACTGAAGGGACTAAATTACTCCCTTTCTGGAGATGATAGAATGATGTGCAGCACTGTTTAAAAAAAAAAAAAACATTACCTCCTGCACTTTTTGAAGGAGTGCTACAATATTTGTACGTAATTTCTGTAGTTTCTCATCGGCCTCCTTCAGTTTGAGCTCAGTGCTGTTGCTCTTCTCCTCCACAGCCTTGGCCCTGGCGTCAGCTCTGCTCTGGTATGAATTACACAACGACTGGAGACCCGACTCATAGTGCTGGAAATATTCTTTCTGAATAGAGGATACAAAAAACACATCTAAAACAAATCAAGTAAACGGTGACAATGTTAAATGTGTAGCGTTGATAGACCTGACTGACTGCTGTTAATGCTGATCTAACTTTTGTTTCCTCTATATCTATCTATTCTAGGCAGCCAATGAAACCACTAATTATTTAGCTCACCAAAGGAAACGTTACCAACTCCTCCGCTGTCATGCTGGTGACGTCATCCTTAGGAATTCGAAAAGCAGGAGGGAAGAAGTAGCGTAGCATTGTCCTTAAAACACAACGAGCACAATCAGCACCCATGGAATTTCTACAGTAATAATTCCTCCCCACTAACTCACCTCAGCATGGAGACCAGGCTGTCGGTTACCTCACGACTGGTTCCAGGCTGAGTGGTGTCAGGCTCCATGGGTGCAGGGCCTTTCTCTGTCTCCTGCTGGGTGTCGGGCATCTGACAGATTGGAGATGGTGGCCGCATCAGCCGGACTTCATCACTACCCTTAAACACCCTTTAGAGAGAAATGCATCTGGTCCTTTTTCAACTGTCGGTGGAAAATACTTTTGGAGGACATGCAACCATGACAATCGGATCCTACCATCGGTCTTTAGGGGTAGATCTTGGTACATAGTCGAATTTCACTTTCCAGCGAACAGTTTGTTTATTTGCCTCCACAGCAATTACTTTTCCAGTGTACCACTCCTTATTAACACGGACCTCAACCAGCAGACCCTTATCTGAAGGAGGGAAAGAAGAGGGAGAGGCTTATTTAGCGGTCCTCCTGGTCCGACATATTTATTTACAGGATAATCTCACCTTTCTGTGCGTTTTTAGTGTCGCTCTCTGGCTCCTTCTGTGATGCTTTCTCAGGTCCCTGCAAACACAAAACCTTTTACTGCTTCAGCAGCAGGACATGGCTTCCACAGAGACAAGGGAGTGGTGAACTGTAATGAACCCTTATAGGAGAGGTAAAGATCCCAAGGTGACAATGCAGTCGTTAGGAAAGTATGGCATGCGGTCTTAGAAAGAAGTTTTAAAGGTTGAGAAAAGGCTAGAGAATTATTAATTTGACTAAAAACCGACAGGAGCTAAAGGATTAGTAGTACTGGCTGTTAAAGGTTGAGAGAGTGGATGCATCCTACTTTTATTAGAGCATAGTAGATGGTGGGGCTATTTAAGCTACCTTTTCTTTTGCCCCTTGCTGTAGCATGGAAATGGATTTAAGTACAGAGGTTGGTGTGGACGGAGGCTGCCGTGCAGGAGTAGAAACTCCTTTCTTCTCAGGCTGAGATGGAGTTTTAACCTGCGAGACCAACAGCAGACGGGTTCTGACTGGCAGTTCAGCTGGAGGTTGGATCTTCCAACACAGCTCCAGACAAACACTACTGCAGTTTTTACAAATGTAGATAAGGTTTCTTACTACTTTCTTTTTTGTGCTCCTTATTAATAAACAATGATTTCCAGAAAGTGAATTAAAGAAAGCAACAGAGATAAATCCCTTTCAGTTGTAGCTGATAAGAGAACTGTTGCACTGGGGAGTTTTGAGTATTTCAGTAGATATGAGCCATCAATATCAAGTCAATTTAGAGTCAAGTTCAGAGTTTATATGTCTGTGGAGGGATGCTTGGTGTCCCTCACAGATGTGAATGAAAAAACATCCTGTAACTACCAGCTGTCTTTCTTCTGAACATGTGTGAAGCACTGTCCAGGTACTCAGATATCTGACTTGGATGTGCGGAGGGATGGTAGTCCAGCTCCACCTTCCAGCAGTTCACAGCACCAGGCTACTTTTTATTTTTCAACCTTTACAACAGCTAAACGAGACCAAAAAAAACAATCACCAAAAAGAATTTGCCCTTCTGTGTGAACCACGTAGTGAGTTTACCTCTTCCAGTTTGCCGCGTTTGGGCAGGGGGGCCTTCTCCACCGCTTTACCGCGGTTACTGGCAGCGGCTGCCATCTTGGATTTCTTTGTCTGTGGTTCTTCTTCACTATCTTCTTCTTCCTCCTCCTCCTCCTCCTCTTCCTCTTCCTCCTCCTCCTCCTCTTCCTCACTTTCCTCCTGCTCAATAATTCTCTTACGCAGAGCTGAAGCAGCGGGCTTGACAGATGATGCTTTGGCAGAAGCCTTTGTAAAAGACAGTCGGGGATATGTGATATGATGTCACCAAGACCATCTTTGGAGCATCTCAGCCCTGTAACTTACCCGCGAGCTGCGGCCTGGGGGAGGCGTTTTGGGAGCAGACTTTGCTGCAGGAGCAGGAGGCTTGGCTGCAGCTCTGGACCTGGATGGTTCACTTTTAGGTGATGGGGTTGGGGGTGCAGGTGCTCGTGTGGGGCGCTGAGAAGCTGTACGCTGTGGGGGAGCACTTGGGGCATTTTTTAGGTGAGCTGGGAGCGGTGGGGAGCGTGGGCGAGTTATAGATCTTTCAGATGACCTTGTCGCCTGAATAAGCAACATTAAGGAGAGAAGAAGAGCAAGTGAAAAGAGAAAATCAGGAACAGCATTATATTATTTGATGTGCTTGTTAATCTCATCAATTTTGATAAATTAGTCCTTAGATGATCCAGAACAAACACCTTTGTTTTCTATTTGTTCGGGACATCTAAATGTCTATAAATGTTTTGTTTATGCATCAATAACACTGTTTTGTCATTTTTTTTATCTAACAAAATTATCAAGTACAACATACATAATTCAAGAGTTAATTTAATACCAGCAATAAAAACATTCCATGTTTTATTATATGAGCACAGTAACTGTTGCTCCTAGAAAATGATTCCAAAAAGACACAGATTTGATAACAGAATGGGGAATATACCTGAGAGGAGCCTTCTGTTCGTTTCATGCTGACTTCTAGTGGTAGTTTTTTTATGTCTGCTGCAGATTTGATTGTGCTGGTTTTCTGTTGAAAATAAATTAAATGTTTATATCCAGATGTAAATGAAAGACAAAGGAAAATAAGGACAGCACACTAAAAAATACCTGCAAGGCATCCAGTTTTTCCTGTTGCTGTTTGATTTTCTCAGCCAGCTCTTTCTGTTTGTCTTCAGCTGTTAGTTTGTCTTTCTTTAGGACACCACATGGTAAATTCTGCTTCTGTTCAGGTGCATCACACCTGAAAACACAAACACTATGTTCCATCCATCCATCCATTATCAATACCGCTTATTCCCTCATGGGGTCGCGGGGCAAACACTATGTTTGTAGACACTATTTATTTTTTAAAACAAACAAACAAAGGAACAGGCAGCATGGCTTACGGACCACATCTCAGATAAAAGCTTGTGTACCTGTCCTGGCTGCTGTCCGGGTTCATGAGACAGACCCAGCTGTCCGGGTAACGTTTATCCACTGCATCCATCTGGAAAGGCAGCGTTCTCCACTTCAGACATTTATCTAAAATTTAGTGATGGGTTAGTCACAATATGTTTAACCCCATAATGCAGAGAGGTCGGATGCTGTGACACAACTCACCACACTGAATAGTAAGTGGAATCTCCATTGCACGACGTCTTTTGTATCTCAGCTCTGATGATGGAGGCGCAGACCAACTGGCAGAGAGATATCCAAATTCATCCCAGAACTTCACTATGCCTTTTTGGGCTGCGTTAAAAAGAAAGCAAACAAAAATTGTATTCAGCATCATGGTTTGCTAAAAGAAAGAACAAGTAATTGTACAGTTAAAGTTTCTTCTTTATTTGTTACATACAAGCAATATTCACACTTCCTCTGGGAGTGGTTGTGAACACACTTGTATATTCAGTTCTGACGTCATGCTTCCTCTTGCTCTCTGGATTTTAGCATTATAAAACTTGGTGTCATATAGAATATAGAACTCATGTTCATTTCAAATCTATCAGGGCATAACCGTTTCTGACCGTCTAAATAAATTTTAAAGTTTCATGTACACCCCTCTAAGCCTTTTTTGCTAGATCACTGAAGGACCTTTTTATGTTTCCAGGGAGTTGCTTTTAGATCAGCAGATAGGGAGGCTTGATTTAAAAACACAAATGAATAAAGTGGGTAAGCTTCATAGCTCACTGTCCACTTCCATCCCTCTACAAGAGCAAGACACGGAACTGCTACTTTACAAACCACTGAGTTCCAGTCATTTGAAAACTACGTGAACATACCAATGTTGCTGTCCTTCCAGTATTGAGCTAAATGGTCCCCCATGGATTTCAGCAAGTGTCGATATTCTTTAGCATCTGCAAAGTCTTGTTTGTTGTGTGTTGGCTCTAGAATCAAATATGGGACATCTACAACTCCAACCACGCCACCACACGCCCTGAAATGCACAAAGCAAATTACTGTCAAATGTTTAAAGTTAAGAATTTAGCCACACTGCCTCCTCACATGCCTCCGCATTTTACTTACATGCCTCCTTCCAGCTGAGGCCCAGTCTTCTCATACATCTTGATGAGACGAGAACAGTTGTACACAAACATCCCGTCCAGGTCCCTCTGTTCGATATTCACCCCAAATATAAAGTTTAAATCCTTTGGCTCCTTTAATGCTCTAAGGAACAACAAGAAATTACACAGCTATTGAAAATGCTTTGCTTGACTTATCTATTTGTAAACTTCAGATAGAAATTTTGACTAAACATTATGCACCCATTATTCAATTAAAAGAAATTGTGTCAGTTGAAAAGATACATCTTTAAGCAATCCTCAAGTAGGAGGAGAAATATATTTGGGATTCGGAACATTACACAAAGTGAGTGAGTGAGTGAGTGAGTGAGTGAGTGAGTGAGTGAGTGAGTGAGTGAGTGAGTGAGTGAGTGAGTGTCACTAGAAGAACAAAGGAAATACGTTTCTGATGGTAAAAATAAACATCAGTTCATTATGGTTCAAATTCCAACATTAAAGAAAATATCATACAAAAAATGAATAGAAATGCTGACATTTACATACTTTTGCTTGGCTTCAAGATTCCTTTTTCTTAAATCAGCTTCTCGTCGAAGCATCATGGCTGAATCCTGGACTTTCCTAAGAATTGCCTACATGGAGTAAAGAGAGATACTTTTACATATTTTTTTTTGTCTTATTACAATAAAACAATATAACTTGAGATCAAAATGTATATCTTCTGACAGCAGTGGAAGAATAAGCTGAAACGAAATGTCATAAACTGGGCTCTGTGTTAACCTTTACCACTATGTATTCAGGGAGTCAAAACAAACAGATAATCTCTGAGGTTTAGACTGGCTTCTTGTTAATCAAAGAGGTCACAATGAAATACCATTGAAGGTTTACAAAATGCATCCTTGAAGAAAACCAAAAATGAATAAATAACAGTAAAACTGACAATGCCATGTTTGTGTCCAAGCTGACCGTTTAGCCTTCATTAAACATCCAATCTCTCAGGACAGATCTTAATAACAAATAAGTGCAGTCCCTCAAACTTTGTGTGACAAAATAGCCTTACCCGAGAATCTTTTGACAAGTCCTCTCCTAATCTGGCCTCCATTACTGCACGTTTGCTCTCTGCCTCTCTGGCTTTCTCCTCCGCTGGAATACAAAGAAAAATTAAGTCAAGTTGACTTAAATGAAAAGTAAAAACTTGATTTAAAAGAAGACTGACATACCAATCTTTGCAAGGTGATCTGCTTTTTTTACTTCTTGCTCTGCCCGGGTTTTGAAGCGTGTAGATGTATATTTATAAACCCTGGAAAAATATTAGTAATATTACAAAAGTCTTGTCATTGGGATACAACAGTTGAACAATAACATTATTAATCTATATAGTTATTGTTATACTATAAAGATTACCTTGGTTTATAGAGACAGCAGGAGAGTCTCTTGGTTCTCACTTTATGCCCCTGGATGAAAATCCTCATGCGTGGGTCGATGTACAGAACAGCTGTGTATGCCCTGAATGACCTCTTTTCTGGCTTACTGTGAAACGTACAGCCAGCGTTCAGAACATTTTGTACACTTGGAGTTGGTACAAAGTATAATTCATAGCACCTGAAACAGTGGTGTCTTGGCCAGGCAGATGTATAAAGTCCCATTGTAATTCAATGACCAAACTTACACTCCTTCAACAGGTGTACCAGCCATCAGTATGTCCTGGTGATCTGCATCAGCATCCAGCTCTGGTTCTCCGTTGTCCATCAGCTTCAGATTATATACGATTACAAGGGTACCTTTTCATCAAAGAAGACACAGGGCTATCAATCAATATATATCAATTTATATATATTATATATTAAGTGAATTACAACATGTAATTCCCTAAAGGTTGATGTCGGAGAGCTTTTTGAATGAATGTCAGAAGAGAGCTCACCACTGCTGCTTTCTATTTTGTTGAACTGCTCCATGAGCTGCTGCTCATTTTTAAAGGGGGAGTATTTGAAGATGAGTTCTGTCTCTATGGCGTACTTCTCCGGATCAGAAGTCAGCGGCTCCTTGGTCCTCATATCCCAGGAGGGGAGGGGTACTATCACCTGAGGTGACAGCATAAAAAATTTTCATCAAAAACCCAAGAACTGAATTTTCCACACGTGCTGGTAACATCTCAATAAAATTCACATACATTTAACAAAATGGCAAACCTTTGACAGCCTGTTTGCTGCCGACTTTAACATTTCCAAAAAAGGAGCAGAATGAAGGATGTTGCATTTTTGGCACAAAACACAACTAACACTCAGTAAACTATAGTAGCCACAGAAAAATAAATAAAATAATGTCTGTAGAGCCAGTATTTGTCCCTTCTGGGCTACTGGAGCAATGCAGGAGGAGGAGGAGAAGAAGAAGATGAGCCACGGATATTTTAGGAAACAGATCATTTAAAAACTCAATAAAATCTCCATAGATGTTTAGGATTATTTTATGAGATTGGCTACGATTTATAATATATATGTTTATATTGTGGGAAAAGAAAAAAATCTCCAACAAAAGAAGGATGTTCAACAGAAGAGTAAAGTCTTACCTCATCAAGTCCCTCTTCTTCATGGAAAGTCCTTGACAGGAAAAGGCAAGTCAGTGCATTTTCCTTTTTAGTGAACAAGATAAAGTCCTTTCCAATTCTCATGGATCCCCTATAGAAAAACAAAAAGGTTTCAAACATATTGCAAAACTGTTCAAAATCTACTTCCAAATGCATGACAACGTGACAACAATTTGATGCGGTACTTACGATTTCAATCCATTTCCATACTGGCCAATCTGCGTGGACTCCGGAGAGCGTTTGTTTGATTTTCCAAACTGAATCACATGTGTCGCCTCATCTAAATAAGAAAAACATTTTCACACAGAAAATCCTGCACATCTCCAGAAGACACCGCAACAAATAAAAATAAATCTAGAAGTAAACTTTGTTACTTCTTTTTTTACTTTATTTCAAATGTCTCTCTTCTTGCTAAGTCATACTTACTCGGGTCCATCCCGATGCCATCATCCAGAAAACACAGCATGAAACCCCCACGCAGCTCAGGTCTCTTTTCTGTCAGAGGAACACAGATTAGAAAGAATAATTGTGTGTGCTTTGAGGTATATAACGGGCTATTTTTTTCCGGCTTACCTGTGTAGATGTCTATTCGTGTAGCATTGGCATCTCTATTAAAGGAATAAACCAAGATTAAGACATTTTACTGAGTAGTAAGAAGAACATGTAGATTGTGAATGCTGGGCAATTCTTTGGTAAAAATATTTGTGCGTACCTTGAATTGTCCACTAGCTCTGCCAAGGCGCCAAATAAGAACTCGTGAGTAGTCCTGAAAAAGCATCACAAAAGTTTAAGTAAAATCATGAGTGCATAACATATTTATATATAAAGAATTAAAGTGAAATAACAGACAGCCAGCAGGCTGTGAGTGCGATGAAAATGAAAGAATTCAGTTGCTTTAAATTTGAATACAAATGAGTTTCAGTGGTAACACAATTATTTAAATGCTGTGGTTTCCTGCACAAAACCACAGAATGATTATAAATACAATGATGAGACTAAAGTAAAGTTCATTTAATAACAACAAGCGTCAGATCACACTTTTAGAGTTTGACTAGAGAACAACAGGAAACACTGTTTTATGGGTCATAACAGATTTTTTTTTATAACTGTTTTTTTCCTGTGACATTTGTGCCTTTTTGTCAGCAACTCAGGGGCAGTTTAGAAAGGCAGCATACGCGTTTAGCTTATATTCATAATGACATTTGGTACAATTATGTGTTCTATATTGCTTCTCTTTCAGGTGAAAGATAACCAATTTCACGATCCTGTAAACAACCTCTGGTAATGATCCACTTACACATAAAACATGAGTGAGTTCACATACTGTGCTGAAATGCTAATGTTTTTTGGTCACAATTTAATGTAATGAAGCTCATAAATAGACAACGATTACAGGCAATAAGGTACTTACGAATTAGTGTGCAGGTACTCAAAGGTAAGTTGAGCTCTGCTCAGGTTGCTATAGCTGGAGTAGGCCATGGCCTTTCGCAGTTAATGCTCGATTCCTTCCCGGTCTCTTGTTTGTCTTGTTCCCAACTAACAAAGCCCAAAATCTATTCTAAGCTTTCATGCTACGAAACAAGACAGAGAACAAAATTCATCAATAACGTGTCTTAAACTGTACTTTCATATATCGTTATCCAGCTTCCTGGAATGAAGTTTCACTTCAGTATAGACGTTTTAAAAATTAAAAAAAGTCAAATCACACACTCACGCCTAAATACAAGACTCCCCGCTGGCAAAAGTACGACCGATCTACCTCGTGGGAGGCCTACGGAAGAACAACAAATTGTTGTGACAAGAGCAAACTGCGCTTTTTAAAAAACATTGCTCACTGTGAAGACACTGACGTGTGTTTATTAACCGGTCACTGTTGGAGCGGTGAAGCAATGCTTCAACAAATTTACATGCAAATATATTACATTAACTAATATCAAAGTCGAAAATGTTACAGATGAGTAAGGGCAGGATAGCAGGCAGCTGACATGACCATTTTCTGTACAATGTTCGAGAAACGAAGGCTAGCTAGCATCAGATGTTAGGCTAATGTTAGCAAACGCAGAGGAATTTCTGGGTGTTTAAACGCCTTTGTCATGGGACGCAAAGTTTACAGTCGCTGTGAACTTATAATAGCCGCTCCGAAGGGGTTTAAATACTTCGCAGCCTTACGTTTTCGCTTCCTTTGCATGAGACAATCCAAAAGGCCGCGTTGGGTCCAATCTCCTCTTCGATAACTGGTTCCGCTACTCTACACAAATCCCTCCTCTACGTTCTGACAATTAGCCAATAGGAAAGAGGTATTCGAGGATGTTTTTCGACGATTGGACGAGAAATCTCCTACGTAGCCAAGTTTACATACCCGTGCAGCAGAGTTCTCGCACCTTTGCATTTTATGGTGGCGCCAAAATATAGACCAAAATGTGGAAGGTAAGGTCTTACCTTGTCGGTGAGCAGTACCCATTACTTAATTATACTTTCAGGATAAGCTGTATTTTGTGAAATAAGCTCTATCAGGTTTTTCCTGTCTACATAAAGCAAGGAATATCCAAGTCTATAATGTCAATGTATAAGCCAGACCAAATTATATTATTAAATGATCTCCCTCCTAGACTTATGGTCATTACAATCAATTCAATAAAAACATGATTCAGAACTAAGCATATAGGGCCAAATCAAAACAATTGCCATCTTAAGGAATTTCAGTGAACTCAGACCAATGTGGTACAAATGGTACAATCATGACCCTACGAAAATAATTTACAATCCAAATTACTCGGGTTCAAGCCTATTAAAAAATGTTGCCTTCCCAAAGTAACAACCACAAGCATCGCTTTGATTCGGTCCCTGTTCCCGGTGCAACTATCTATAAATTCTGAGACAGAAATATTTCAATGTAGCAACAGTTCATTTCTATTTTTAGGAAACCGTATAAAATAATAATTTAATGCTGGAAAATGCTGTTTTTCGCATTAGTGCATTTTGGAGTAAGTTTTATAACTGCAAAATCTGCTCCACAAACATTTAGTCCCGTTTGTCTCTGTGTGACCCTGTGGACTGGCAACCTGTCCAGGGTGTGGCCCAAATGTTGCCCAATTTCAGCTGGCATAAGTTCCTGCAACCTAGGAATAAGGGGTAACAATGCTACTTTAACTCCTAAAAACAAATAACAAAACTAAAACAGATCTTAAACTGTCATAAAGGTGAATGAAAAAATGTTATTTTAATTTTATTACATTCATTAACTTATTTCCTGTAGTACACTTGGCACCACATATAATGCACATTTGTAGACAGCATTACAATAAACACCCATTTAAAAGTCAATACTCCCTCTTTACATACATGCTGAACATTTCTAAAGTTATAAAACATCTGTAGAAACAGTAATTAAACAAAGGGAAATACACTCATTTTGGCATTCTGTATAAATCAATCTTAAAAGTCAAGCCAGAACTCAAACAACTACTTAGTCTTTAAACTAAAACTGGCATAATCAAGATTAAATTACCAGAATTAATTAAAATACAACTTTACTTCAGAGCAACAGAAAATATCACACCACTGTTTTCACCTGACAAGCTGTACTCCCTACAATGTGTACATTTTTAACAGCTGGTGAACAGGTTAAACAATAGTTCTGCATTTTCATGTCTTTCAACCTTCAGTCGATTTCTTCATGATGCTGGAAAAACATTCAGCTATCAATCAAGGCCTCCTGTGAAAGCAGTACAGGGTTAGAGATGCTCAAATACAGATACAAAGATTCTTGAAGGAAAACACAGAGAAGTGAAAATGACCTGTGTTGTACTAAATTCAGAAAACACTTACACTTTGGAGGTCCAGTTCTTTCCAGTGGTGGTGGCGTGTGAGTGAACGTGTCAGACTCGCAGCCAAAGAGATCATCAAACAAACTCCAAACAGACCTATGCTGACTTCCAGTAGATGTCGCACCGCCACACTTTGCTCTTCCTGCCGTGCAATGGGAAGATTTTCTTTTTTTTAATGAGCATAACTATCATGACTGAATAATCTATAATCTTCAAAGGCAGCACACTGTACCGGTGTTAACATCACTGTTAGTGCAGGGTCATTCTTGGACTGCAGCCTGTAGCAGGTTTGTGAGGCTGTAGGCCGCTGGCTGCTCGGTTCCACTTGAATGGCTGGAATGTTTTTCTCTGAAGCTGGGCAGCGTGGGGGAAGCCTTTGATTCAGTTCATGCCATGCCCACAAAAACACACAAACAGTAAAAACGTTAATAAATACACAGAAAAAAATCATGAATTTACACACTCTTATACTTTTACTGAGCTGCTAATTATTTGATTAGATTAATAAAGCTTAGAAATGAAAACTTTAAATGTGAAGGGACTTACAGACTCAAGGGAAGGAGGTGTGTTGGAGCACTTATGGTGAGGCAGGTGTGGTTACTGTTTTCAGATACAATCTCCAACTTGAAGTAAAAGATTTCTTTGCCTAAACAGGTAAATAAAAACAGCATGAATTACTTATTACGACCTCATGTCATTCATGAGTGCTTGGCTTTCAATTGCAAAATCCACCTTCAAGATGAAGCTGATTGGCTTTAAAAGTTGTCAGTAAACTAACGTCCTTCAGCGAGTTTTGTTGTGGGCTGGTTGCAACAACCCGAGGAACCATGAGATGAAGAAGACTGACAGAAGAGGAACTCTTTGTTGAGTTTGGAGCCGTTACATTCTCCTTCTCTCTCTTCAGAAGCGGAAAAACTGAAGACACTTCTGCAGTTGAATTTGCGTTTTCTATCACACACAAGTGCCATTGTGATAATGAGTTGAGGAAATAGTTCCAGTCCTACGATAAGAATGAAATATGTGAATCTCCGAGAAAGACAAATGATTGTTTGGCCCCAGCTTGCATAACATTATGATTCCCATGCACCATAAGATAAATTTAGTTACACAAGTCCTTACCTTTGCCTTGTCAGGGTTTGGAAGGGTATGAGTGTTGATGTAAAAGCTGAGGCAGATGAACGACAGAGCCAGACTCAACAGGCACAGGAAAAATGTTGCACCCGGAGGATTATGGGATACATACTCTCTGAGGTTAGAGATTGGCTGCCAGACCCGCATCATCAGACTGCTTGGATGTGGCAAGCTGTGAAGAGAAGAGTATGTAGTTATAGCTTTTAAGGGAGTTTTGTCAGCACACCACCTTTGTAGACCTGATAGGTCTGTTCTTAGACGCTCTTATCTGTACAGCCTTAATAAAACCGGTCTGTTTCGGTCAAGGTTACTTTTTCTGGATACTGCTCATCACTCTACACAATGGTCAAAGTTCAGAGTTTGACTCTGGAGAGCTCTGAAGTTTTTGATTTGTTTTTTACTACGAAAAAGTGAAATAATCTTTATGCATGTTACATTTAATCGGTGGAACAAATATGAATCAAATCTACTCACTCAATGCTAACATATGTCAGCATTATATACACACGATGCGTCAAAATGGAGATGTAACCACATGTAAGCAATAACAAAGCAAACAATAACAAACTTTTCACATTGTTTAAAATCGTAAAAAAACGTCATCACGACTCATGCTCTTCTTGCAAGTGAACATTTTTCTGACTCCACTCAGGAGACGTGTAACTTACCTACAGCTTCTGGCACAACCGTGGCTAGCGAAATATCAACGCGAAAGACATGTTCATACCTTAAAATAGGTATTTTAGATGGGACGTTGCCAGTTTTGCTGATATATTGTAAAATATATAAATATAAAGGTAGAATAGAATTCTTCGTTAACGTTTCAGTAAATAGCGACGGACTCTACTGCACGACAGTACTATCAGTTTACGATAATATTGTCATGGCGCGAATCACGTGACGGTCATTCTGGCACAGATCAGCTGGTTGTTGGTAAAGGGTTTTCTTCATTTATCCGTTTTTTCTAAGTCAGTTTTAATTTGTATAATGAATAACTCTTGGCCAACATTTGAATTTGGAAATACATTCAGTATTCACACATAAAAGACACTTTATCTGGGCATTGTTTATTAAAAAAACACAGTATTTGTCAATTGGTCAAAATGACTAAAATCCTGATTGAATTACAGCTGTAATAACACTGTTGCGTCCTCGAAGAAGAGAGCCCTTTTATGTAGCATTAAACTAATTAACTCAGTATAAAAATCAAAACCTTCTAGAGTTACATTCTCACAAATTTTGAAAGGAAAATAAATTATTTTAAAACAAAATACATATAAATCAAATATGTATTTGTGATGCATACAGAGCAATAAAACAGGACCAACATCATGATTTTAAAACAAAAATCAATGGCTATTTTCATATTTTCCCTTTGTCATAAAAAGTTCATCACAAAGTATAATCGTGGCTACATTTTTGTCACATGCATTACAGTGTCTTGTTCATCAAGGAGACCAGGTAACTTTTATCGGCTTAAAAGCCCAAGTGTCAGGATGACCCATGTGGACCAGATCAGTGTAGGGAGAAGTGCTCCACTGGAAGGGCGGAACCTGGTCCCATGTTGGCCCACTGACTGCCAGCATGCTGTAGTCCTTGAACATTTCGTAGGATGTCATCTAAATAGGAATACATACAAACAATGGATGAAATACAGAGGGCATCTCATGCACAAGCACTTTTTTTGTTCAAGACAAACGCAAAAGTTTTTGTAAGCTTAACACGTAAAGGCAGTATATTGAATAGAAACCTTCATGTCGGTCCCTCCATGTGGCCTCTGCCTTAAGGCACCAAACGGATATGTTCCATTAGCTGGGTTCAGATCTGAACGGGCCGAGATTGCGTTTTCCCCATTATGAAGTGGATCACAGCCTTCACATTTTGATAGTGGATCTTCTTTAAAGTTATTATATCTTAGGAATAAGAATACATATGATAAAAAATATGAAATGGTAATTACCAGCTTATAGTAACAAAAACTTTTGAAATATCGTTTTACAAATTTTACCTCATGAGTGCGACCATGGAGTCCAAATCTGTGATATATGTCTGGTTCCTTCTGAATATCTGCGCTCGAGGATTCTGGTCAAGTGAGAACCAAGGGCCGAATTTCTCTACCAGTTCATTGCAGCCACTGGCATTAAATATGTCCACATAGTACCTACATATGGTAATGTGTAAACAAAGAAAAATTAGATGTGAAGTACCTCTGCACACAAAGAATCTGAAATCGCTGATAAAACCTGTTATGTTACATTTACAAAGTGGATTCTTACGGTATGTTGTAACTTGCCCAGTACCCTTTCTTCTGCAATTCCTCTGTCTTATCATCGTAAACAACAAGTCCCCTGCAGCATTGAAAGACAAGCAGCGCTTATGTACAGTGGAAAAAGCAGTAAGACGGTCATACAATAATGGTTATGAACAAATTATTTATACAAGTTTAGGCTAGGGGGGCATAAAAGCTTACGGAATCTGCTCCAGGACAACAAAGAGCCCCTCTTTAAGGTCTGTCTCTCCTGGAGTGAACTGGTTATAGTCCACAATCATCCACTGGTTGTTGTACCTACAAAGCATACACAAGCAAACAGATACATTTCAGCATACAACCTTTGACCCTTCAGAATTGAATAGTTTTATTGACGGTTGACCAGTGAGATTGATATTTAAATAATTGATTCAAGAATCCACAGTTAACACGAACAATGACCTGTTGTGTGACTCCTGATTACAACAGGCCTTTTTCTGGGGAGACCCAGAGAGGAAATCACTATAAAAATATCCATGTGCACCTCTGACATAAACACAATCCTATCAACAACTGCAATTTCATCCAAAATGGGACCTGAACCTTCCTCAGAAGGCCTAAATGGGACAAAGGGACGATGGTTTTGTCAACTCATTTCCTTTCTCTTTTACTCACGTTCCACTGTTGAACTTGCTGAATATCTGCGCCCACTCTTTGCCAGTGACAGCAAGTCGATTCGCAACAATATTCCGCAGCCATTCCATCACTGTTCCTGTGGGCTGAACAAACTTCCAGAGAGCAGGATTGCTGTTGCCAATAGTGGTTTCCAATGTAACCTGCAGACACAAAATCATCAATAAAACATTGATATTAACAATGATACATAACAGCCAGTGCTACCATGATCACTATTAACAGTCCACACCAAGCCACTACTCAGAATGTAGAAGTCATCTCCAGAAAATATGGATCCAGGGTAGGAGGAGAAGGCCTGTGTTCCTCCAGGAAGAGGATCTTTGCCTAAAAGGTCAGAAGAATTTATAAATATTGACTGGCCAATTGGAAAATATGTTTCAAAAGAATACATTTAAATTAGATTGTAAAGAAACCACTCGTCATACAACATCCTGAAGACAGAGCGATGATGACAATTGATGCGTGTGTCTCCTGATTTACCTGAGGGAGACATTTTAAAAGCAAAGGTGTATTTCTTCATGATGCGAAGCATGGCCTGGTATGTGTTCCATGTGTCATGTGACACCAAAAGTTCCTTGTTCTTTGGCAGCAGTTTAATGAGAGCAGAGCAGGAACCAGACCCCAGCGGTTGAGTTTGGCTGGATCTATTCAGAGCGGATTCCAAATCTTCAATATCTCCACCCATTTGGAAAAGTCTGGTTGGAAAGAGTAGCAGTGGAGCATGTAAGACAAGGTCAGGAATATGTATTTGCTTAAAAGCAGTAGTAAAAAAAACTAATTTGATTTATCATCATAAAAGACGGGGGTAAGCTCTTACAGAAAGCCAAAAGGATTGAGGGAGAAGGGTCCTGTTGGAAATGACAGCTGGTCATTGTAGCTGTCCTCCAAACCTTTCAGTTGCAACAGTACCAGCCGCACCTGGAAAACAAAAACAGCTGTTCATATCTCTGATCTGTGGCTATAAAGATGTCTGTAAGGACACAAACGTACACATGCTATCTAAGTACCTGGTACCAGTAGGGTGAGGTTGGCTGTTTCTCTACTTGCTCCTGAACCCACAGCATGTTAGCTGCTATGAAAGCTTTAAGTCGCTCGCAGTAATTTGTCTCAGACGTGAAGGGTCCACAGTAATTCATCAGCGTGTTCATCCAGTGCTTATAGATGAGCTAAAAGCAACAGAGCCAATAGTCTATGATTATTTAAAAAGAAGGAAACAGAGGGTGTTTGAGCATTTGAGAAAATGTAGGTTGGGCCAACCTGAGATGTGACTGCAGCCTCCACTGCGCCTGCAGCGTAAGCTTGGATGCTGTCATTGTACTTGCTGCTGGTAGTGATCTCCAGGAAGGACCAGCTGAAAACACAGCACAAGAATGAATGTTTGAACTCATACAAAAAGCTCACGTGAGCCATTGATGTGATTCCAGCTGTAACTTCATGATCTGAAACGTTTCATAACGAAAAGGAAGATAAAGGATGTCCCTCTACCCCAAACACTTAAATCAATGAAAAATGGACATGATCTAAAATTAGATCTATTTTGGAACTACTGGAGGGAAGAGTGGAAGACAAAGCTTTAAAAAACAATTCACTGGACCTTTAAGTGTGCGCATATCAAATCAAAGATAGCAGTTTTTTTTTTTAGTTGCAGAACATCTAGTCTTTAAAAGGACACTTCAGTCAATATCAGCATAAAGACTATAGATTTAATTTTTTGTCTGTGGCATGTTTGTACTGAGACCAACTGGATGTCTAGTTGTTCTACTCTCAAATCCATCCTTTATTACTCATTTCGGACTTTTACCACACAAAATGAATGAAGAACTTAAAGATTATGATGCAGTGTTGCTACTGAAAGGATAGTGAAACAGTGCAGAAACACTTGGCCGAAAATCTTTTAATTTTGATGCGGAAAAATATATTTATAATCAGGGCTCTATCTTTTGCAGTTTTGCTCAACGCCCCCCCCCCCCCCCCCCCCCCCCCCCCCCCCCCCCACAAAATATAGACAATTTGAAGCTGTTGGTTATTTGTGGTATTTCGAGGAGCTTACCAAATCCATTGTACATTTGAGAGGAATTATACATTACTAGACAGCACGTGAACATCAGCTCACCCTGTTGTTTTGATGTCGTCGCTGAAATTCGCCCACGCCACAAAATCTTCTTGGAACCCTTCAACAACAGACATCTGTCCGCTTTGTTTGTCAATGACGGCTGTTTGTATTTCCGCTCGACATGGTGTACACAAAAAAGACACAACAACGAAACGAACCAAAACCTTTAAAACCGCCACTGGACGTTTGGAAGCAGACGGCTCGTTCTGCCCGGACGCCATGTTTGTCTGAAGAAGTCACATGATACTGCGTGTTATTCGTCACCTGACCATGCCGGAAGTGTTTGTTTTTTCAGAATAACAGGCGCCGTTACACATAAAAGAGACACACACCGTTTTGAAAGGATGAAATAAAACTTTTTATAAAAAATTACATAAGTTACATTATTTCTCTCAAAACAAATGCAATAAAGGAAGTTTCAAATAACTGCCTCAGAAGTCAATTCGTTTTGCTGGTTTAACAAATACCAGACAATTACACAACTTTATCTCAACCGCTCTTGCTGGGATTCTCTGGTGTGTTGAGGAGCAATAATAGTACCAAATATTAACACTTAGTCCTCAACACCTCCGTCAGTTTCCATCGTTTCCATAATTCCTTCCAAAACTTCGGCTTTTCTAAGCTTTTTGGCCGAAACTGAAACAGACAGCACAGAGGACAGAAAATCAATCAATCAGGAACATTAAAATTTCATTAGAGAAGCACTGTTACAAATCAAATTATTTACCGTGAAAATGTTCTGCAGTTTTCCTTCTTAGCGTCTCCACCGTCTCCTCTCCATCGGCCCACTCCAGTACAAGACGCCTCCCGTACAGATGAGTACTGTGGCAGAGAGCGGCGAAGGCTTTCTAAAGGAGAAAACACACAGGGATTCTCCATTTATCATATGGACATTACACTAAAGCATTTTCACGCATTCAATTCTGAACATACAGTTGTAAAATATTGTATTTTTGTAAAAAGAAAAAAAAAGAACGCAAACCTTTGCATCCTGTTTGGTGAGGAAATCAATAAATCCAAAACCTCTGTGGTTCCCTGAACCGGCGGCTTTCTTTGGCAGGCGGACAGTCTTCAGCTCCCCGAATGTGCTAAGAAATGGGTTAAACAAGAAAAAGTTCAATTGTCTCAGTCCAAACAGTTTGAATGCAATTTGAAAAAAAAGGACTTGTCTGCTACCAAAAGAGCTCTCGGATTTCCCGGACAGAAGCTTGGAAGGGGACATTGCGCACAAGGATCTTGGAGCCAGTCTGTTTCTTTTCAGCTTGTTTCTTCTTGCGCGTCCCTTGAGGTTTACTGAACACAGAGGAGAACGACAGAATAAACAGTGAGAATACTCTTCAGTATGTTTTAGCTAATATCAATATTTTCAATACTGAAGGTTACACAAATGTTCAATCCAATACAGTTCTTTGTCAGTTTTTTTATTCTCAGATTTACAAAAACAAAGCTTCAGCTATCCTTCTTACCTTGTGGCTCTTTCAGAAATTTTAAGCTCTAACTGGTGATCATCGATGTTACAGTGCTGGAGGAGTGTGTGAAACAGAGAATCGACATCAGCCAAACTGTATTTTGTTAAATAGGGTGAGAGAGTTTCTGTGGGGTGGAGGGTACCTGCAGCTGCCTCAGGGCCTTCTGTGCTGCCTCTGCTGTCTGATACTGGACAAAACCGTAACCCATGGATAACATTTTACCTGCATGAAACAAGAAACAAAAGGGAGAGTGCTCAGTCAGAGAGGTCAGGGATCTAAACTCAACAGAGGAAAGGCACAAAGACACTTACACTCTTAGACTAAAATCATAACACCTTTGCGGAATACACAGTTACATATGATTCTGTTTAAAAAATGTTTATAACTTGTACCTGATTTATCTTTCTTCTTGGAGATGGTGCAGGATTTGACCTTTCCACATTTGGAGAAAGTCTGTAGTAAATTAAGAAAAAAAAACATCCTTTGCATGAGTCTCCCATTAATCCCACCTGCTCTGAACATGGGGGTTGTTTGATTGAATGACCTACCTCCTGCAGTCTGTCTTCTGTTGTGATGAAATTAAGATTCTTTATGAAAAGCGTAGCACCTGGTACATCTTCCTCCTCCTCTTCTTCTGTCTCGTCTTCCTCCTCCACTTCAACTTTTTTCTTCTCCTCTTTAAGTGGCTTCGCTTTATGTATTCAATTTTTAAGACAGAGTCAATATTTATTGGCATTTACTTCATTTGACTTGTGTTCAGAGAACACTAACATGCGAAAGATTCAGATAATTGGTTATTGTACCTTGTTCCGGCTTGGGCACAACAAACACCCCGACAGGAGCCCACTCCAAATAGAGTGGAACATGATGGAACTGAAGTTTTACAAAAAAAACGAGACAACATTATCACAGTCTTCAGCGTCTTCGTGTGCGCGGATAAAGGTTTGCCAGTGACAAGCTACACACACCTTGCTGTAAGCCAGTCGAGTGAAGGCTCGTTTGGCCTCAGTGGGCTCCAGAAACTCAACGATGGCAGTGAGTCCAGACGGTGGCAGCAGCACTCGGCCCAAAGAGCCATGAGGGGAGAAGAGCTCTTCCAGCTCAGACACCGTCACTCCAGCTGGCAGATTTTTGACCAGGATCACAGTTGTACTTCTAGCTGCTGCGGCCTGTACAAAGAAGACGGAATCTCCAACATGTGGTATCATAAATGGCATAAATGGAGTTAAGCCGACAGGGACTTACCTGACTAAAGGAGTCCAAACAGACGTTGTTTTCCAGAAGAAACTGACGAGTTTCCTGAACAATCTGGGTCTCTCCCAGAGCCATCCTTACTGCAACGCTTCCTTTAGACTCCTGCAGAGAAGAGCAAGGACCAGAGAAGTCCAAATCCCGGTATAGGTATCTGCATCATAGCTGCATCAGCTTGAACATCACACAGAATATGCATGGATGACGCTGAGAGGAGCATAAATATATAAAAGATGCATGTAAAGTCACTCACGTGGTCCAGGACTTGGCTTTTGGTGGTGTTGTATTTTTCAGCGATGGCATCTGCCACCGCACTTGTACCCAGAAACAAAGCGTTCCAGTTGTGTGAACTAGACAGAAGGAGGAAATCGATATGTAGCATCCAGCCAAAAAGCAACACATCAAATAGAGAGACAGGTCATTAAACTCATGTGAACCTGGAACTTGAAGCTTTATTTTTGGCATCTTTTTGTCGTTTGTATGACGAGGAGCCAGGACCGCCACCATCTAAGGATTCAGGCTTCTCCTTCTTCACTGTGGAGGGAAGGAGGTGAAGCATTCTTCCCTAAATTAATGAGAGGGAGTAAAAACACAGAGTACACAGCCAGCCTTAGTACTGATTAAAATAGGACCTTCAGACCCATCAAACAATCAGAATCAAATACCTGAAATACGTGTCCGTCTAACTTAGCAAGAGCTGTCACAGCGTTCTCTGGGACCATATAGGTCACAAAAGCAAATCCCTTAGGTTTCTTAGTTAGATTGTCAATTGGGAAAGCCACCTCAGATATAGGACCTGTGAAGAAAGTCCAATTAGACGCCTGGATAAGAGTAGATCAACTTTTTCAGGTGGGAAGCTGTGGAATAAACATGCACTGCACGTCTTTTTCTAATTCACCATGCCGAGCAAACAGCTCTTTGATGTCTTCCTCCGTGCAGGTATAAGGAAGGTTTCTGACGAAGAGCCGACCAGACTCTGACACGTCCTCCTCCTCCTCATCCTCTTTGAGCGTTCTGGTAAAGCTTTTGTCAATTTCTTTGTCTTTTCTGTCTCTCTTGCTCTTTCCCCCGAAAGCATCCACCCGGAAAACTTCAATGTATCGCCCCCCTGGAAACACAAGGAGAGCCATCTTTTATCAAATCCTTTTCATCCAGTTTATATACTTATAGATTATTGAAAATACAGAGAGTGCGCACAGATAATGAAAAACAATATTCATATATTTTAACATCTTTAATATCAAAAGTATGCTTTAGCTGTTCAGCAGTTTTCTTCTGAGGAATTTTCAAAGATTATTTGACTCACGGTGATAGTATGTTCATAAAACTGAAACAAAAATAATAGTATATACTGTGACTTTTCCTCAGCTGGGTAAACTTTTTTTTTTGCAAATACACAGCATCTCACCTATGTAGTCTTTATTTTTCTTCAAGGCCTTTTCCACCTCTTCTTCAGAGCGTAAATCCACATATACATAACCTGAAGTAGAAGACGGGTATGACTTGTATTAAACACGTGGGTATACATGCTTAAGTACACTTCCCTGTGATATTTTCATTGTCAAGAGCTGATGAAATGTAGCGCATCAAAAAACCTTCAGGTACATACCGGTTCTGTTTCCGCTTTCATTCTTTCCGATCCTGATTGCTGCGGGTTTCAGTGGGGTCATGAACTCTCTGATTTGTTGCTAGCATTGTTACATACACACACATAAAAAGACATTTGTAAGCAAAATTCATACATACATATATATATATATATATATGTACACACATATATATATATATATGTTCTCATTGAAGAAATGCAGAAACTCACCTCTTTAACACTGAATGGAACTCCTCTAAGTTTCACGGTGAACTCTGTTGTCTGCTCTGTCCACTGCAAACAGATGGGTTTTTTAAAAAGAAAAAAAGGTTTTCATGTGCAGGTCAACATTAACAGTTCAGACAAAGACGGGAACAAACCTCTTGTTTGGCATTTTTCTTCATCGTGCTTTGCTCTTTATCCTCATTAGCGGGTTTAGCTTTTGCCTTCTTTTCTCTGTCACTGCTCTCGTAGGCACTGTCTGGGTGATCAGCACAGTCAGCGTCTTCCTCATCTTCATCCTTCTCATCACTGTCCTCCACAGTGTCCACAGTTTCCTCCGTGTGTGCCACCTTTGACCGCAAATAGTCCATATCTGACAAGCCAGACTTCAGAGCTTCTTTCGTGGGAGCTGAAAAAGAAAAACCATCCACAAGCTTTTCGGTTTGAAACAGGAGGAAGTCCTACAGAGAAACCCTGTTCGTGTATGTAGTAACTCTGGTTAAATCTAATGGTGCTGTAGCTCGTAGAGCAAAAGCTTTCATCCACCTCCACCAAAAATAGACCAACCTTCATCTTCGTCCTCATCAAATCCCTCCTCTTCATCCTCAGACTGCTCGGAATCAAAGTTGAGATAATCTTCGTTGGCAGGCTTCTTCTTGCTCTTCACTCGCTCTCCTTCGGGATCAGCCGTTTTTTCCTGAGACGTGTCGTTTGCCCAGGTCGGTGCTTGGCTACGGTTTTGATGCACGGATAGAAACTCCCTGAACTTCTGATCCTCCTCAAGCTGGCACGAGACAAAAACATTTTTACATGACAGATATTCACACTGACAACGGGCAATCAAAGCATCGCAAAATTACAAAAAATCACAAACTAATTTACAGGTAAATAACAAGATCAGCCAGGAAGGTCGGAACATCTTTTATATCCTCATAACATGCAACGGCTTTTTGTCACCACTTAATAGCATATGAACCTGCTGGTTTACTCACAGTTCCCAGAGAACTGCTGGTTTCCTTTTTCTGCTTCTTTTTCTGAAATTCAAAACATGAACTTGAACTCAACACACTCCAAAAGGCCACGAAACCCAAGTATACTTATTTTTAACACATTTTAACACAAAGCGTTGGCTTTTGAATGTCTTTATCATTTGGATAACTTACGTTTTTGGAGTCGCTAGGAGCTGGAGCAGGAGTTTTATCCTGCCCTGCTTTCTGAGAGTGTTTACTCCAAGCTTTTCCCTTGGTGGGGTCTCCAAACGCTTTACACATCTCCACCTAAGGGGAGCGGAACGCTAAGAGTTTGCGACGGGGACAAACTTGAACACGCACTCTCAGAGAAGAAGCCGTCCTACCGACACTCGGGACGTGTCCACGAAGCTCCTGTCGAAATGCTTCAGCGCCCCGTTGGCTTCGTCCTCAGATTTGAAGCCAACAAAGCCGAACTTGCGGAACTTGCCGTCTTTGGTAAACTTCAGAGAGCAGTCTGTCACGGTGCCAAAGGCGGCGAACATCGACCTGAACCTCTCCTCCTTCATCTGCACACACATGATGCGTTCACATGCACACAGGTGCACTGGAGATACGTTCACGGACAAACGGGCGGGTTTGTACTCACCCCATTTGGGAGGTTTTTAACGATGAGTCTCGACATGGTGGCGGTCGCTGTAAATCGTCTAACACAGCATACACACAGATTTTGAGAAAATGTCAACAAACCAGCGTGGACTGTCGACTAAATCGCCATCTTGAGTGGGAGGGGCTTGCGGCTCTTCTTCTATGGTTTGTTTTACAGAGGTCAGCGTCGTCTGAAAGGGAGCTACCGCCATCCTCTGGCTCAAATTGTGAATTCTGTATGTCTGTCGGTTTGTTCAGCAGCTTTTTCGCTAAGTTTCCAAACGTCATCCCTCCACAGTTCCCCTCGCATACATGTTTACCTCTGACCTTTGGCCATCTTTCTGCCACGCAAACCCCACCCTTTTATTCTCCATGAACAGAATGCTATTCTACTTTTCTTTTTTTCTTTTTTTTTTTACTGTTAATTGAGAAAACCTTTTCTATTTATTTATATATTTTGCATGTAACCTATGTATAGTTGGCTTAAGGTAGTTACAAAACTTAACTGATGTACAAATAAACAGCTAAACTATAATTGTGTGTTATGCAGCTTGTCTTATGCCCTACTGTCAAAAATGTATGCTAGTGATTGAAGCTAAAAACAATAGATTTGTTTATAACATAAAAATGTCGGTGACTGTGGATGAGAAAAATATAACTTATGTCATATAAACCTAAAGTGTGCTCTGTTAATTGCATTTTCAGGGTGGTTGAATACAGCAGGGTGCATGGAACACACACACATAATACAAACAGCACAAACGAAACACACAAACGGATTTTATCAATTGTTTCCCCTCCTCTTTTTGGTTTTGTTCGTATCAATATCTGGATTAATTTGCTTATGTACTGCCATGTATGCACTGCTGTCCAGAATCAAGTACGTGTTGCTTAAAATCAGTAGCACTGTTAAATATCTTAGTTTGACCCCCAAAGTTAAGCCCATCATTCCAGTCTGGTGGTCATTGTTGATTCTGGTGCTGAACTTCTGTGTGTGTGCTGTAACGCTTCCTGTGGGGCTTTGTCTTATCTTTTCATTATTTGGGGCCATCACACACCACATGTGTCCTCAGAAAAAAACAGGTTATGTTAACTGGAAAGAAAATAAAATATACTTGCCTCAAGGGTTTTGTGCTTTGGTTTGAAGTTAAGCCTATTAAAGACAACTTAGTTAAATTCTTGAGGCCAGTCAGACCCACTTTCTTGTAAATCCTTTCAAGAAAACTTACTTTCAAGGAGGAGGATTTATGGTAAATCACTCGTTTTGAGACTAACATGAGTTACAGAACAGTTATACTCACTTGGACTCAAAAGGTCTGAATGTATTAACCCATTTTGTATCAGGGTTTGTACAACAGCTGCACAGCTATTAGCAACAGTTTTAAAAAAAACAATTGCTTTGGCTCTAATATTCACTCTGTTCTCTTTTACTTATACTCTTTCTTCATCTGTAAATGCTGGCATGACTCACATTTAAGAAATTTCCTGCGTTCATCAAATCACATGCCCCCCTAAAGGCTTAAAAAACTGAAATATCAAGTGGCCTCATTGGCATGCATTGTTTACATAGGTTACAAAGGGTTCCCTCATAATCTGATATTTTCTGAGATGTCTCAAACTGGCAGTCTTTACAAAAGCTGTGCAAACCAGCATTCACCAGACTGAAATGTTACTTAGAGATTTTTATTCCAACAAACAGATCTCCATACAGAACTCTTAAATCCAGAACATTTTATAAACAAGTTGATATGAGTGTCGTCCCAGCTCCATCCGAACTCCTGTCCTTCTTCTTTTTGGACTGGAACTCATTATGGATCTCCAAAAAGCTTTTGTTCTTGGTTTCAGGAAGAACAAGCAAAATGTATATTGCCACAGAGGAGCAGACAACAAAGAACACCAGGAAACAGTACTGCTGCAGCCCAATCTGTTAAAATAAGACAGAAGTGAGCCCAAACCCTTCAAATATTCAAACTTGTCATTTTCAATATGCATTTCAATACTCCTTTTTAAAGTTTCTATCAAATCAGTTATTTAAAAACACATTAACTTTTTCTCTTTAGTGCTATTAAGATTTTTTAATCCCAAATGGCAAACCCACAGTAATGATCAACAGACTGATGAATTGTGAGTTATGTCCTAACCTGTCTTACATGCTAAATGCTTTTCTTCTTGGGATACTGGTTAAAATAATCTTACTCGAAGTCATGGAAAACATTAAGATCTATTCTGGAAAAGAGTTGAGGCTGATATTCAGATTTTGGGCCGAGGCTCCACACAATCTATCAGGACAGTGAGAAAATCAGTTTCTACATTATTAGTGAAGAATACAGAGGTGTTATGCTAAATATGTCCATGGTCTGTTTCACAGTCATCTGGGAGAATACTTCAACAGGTCAAATGAGACAGAAGCTGTGAGCAGCAACTCCTGCTGCTGTTGGACTCAAACCACAATCAGAGACCAAAAATTTGACAGACAAGAGGATCAATATTCTAGTTTAACTATTTTGCCAATGAAGATTGGCCAATAAATGATTGACAAAGACCAGTGTTGGGCTCTGGATGGAAAATGACTTCACTCTAACTGTGAAAAATGGCGTTAGAAATGTTGATAAAGATAGAATTTTCCAGAGATTACCACAGATTACTTGAGTCCTATTGATATCTTGGTTTGACAAAAAACCTAAAATGCTTACTTTGTGATTGGTGCTGCGACATTTCAAAAGAGAATTGGGCCTAGTTGTGACAAAAGCTTTCGAAACAAACATATATTCTCTGTAAATTTGAATACCTACCACAATGAATGGGAAGACCAGACCAATGAGGAAGAAGCTGAGCCAATTCACCGACCCAGCGATCATAAAAGCTGCAGGGCGGGCAGTTTGTGTGAACAACTCTGTCGTTAAGATGTTAGTTACACCACCTTCAGAGAAATAGAAGCAGCATGAGAAACAATAACTGCAGGGGAACGTGAGAAGAACGTGACTAGTTCAGCCACTGACCTGGTCCTAAGCCAAAACTCAGGACAAAAGCAAAAACACAAGCCACCGTCAAGTATGGAAAAACTGGACTGACGTTCTGAGAGAGGAAACCACAGGGACAAAAGTTTAGTATAAGCTTGAAACCTGGTTTTGATGTCTAGTTTTGAGGTTTGTTACCTGGAGAGTGAGTGTCAGCGTAAATAAAACGCAACAAATGCTCATCAGTATGTATCCTCCTGCGATGAGCACTCTCCTTCCAAGACATTCAACCAGAAACCCCTGTGAGACAGAATATCACATGATATAAAAGCACTCTCAAGACTTTCATGGGATGTCGCTGGGTGCAATGCATTGAATACCCACTTGTGCTTTATTGTCACCTCTTTTATTTTTAAAAAATAGGTCTATTACTCTTCTTTCCCCTTACATTTTCAAATTTTGAGTAATAATGCAACAGTTTAAAACATGGAAGCCTGTTGTACAACAAACACTCACACATGTCAGAGCAGTGATGCATTCACAGGCACCTGTGCCCACTGTTGCATATGGTATTTTCTCGGTGGGTATTCCAGATTGCCTGAACACATAATCTGCATAGAAGTACATCTGTTGTAAAGACAAGGACATTGAATTAAACACAGAATGAACTTTGCCACTTGCTAAGCCTCTTCCGCTCATTTTGCAAAGTCACTGAAGTGGTCACTCAAAAGGAAGTTGTACGTACAGCATTGACACCGTTGAGTTGTTGTGCAGCGTTCAGTAGAATGATGGTGAGAAGCTGCCAGCGCACGCTGCGATCAGCAATGAGCTCCCAGGGTTTCTTGGCCTTAAAACCGACCAAGTTACTCTTCTCTCTCTGGATATCTTCCAGTGCATCATCACATGCTGCTGAACCATGCAGCTGTTTCAGAGCTGCAGACAAGAAGAAACCGTCTTTGCACAGTCTAAATCTCATGTGATCAGGTTACAACAGGGTGAGCATTTTCGTTGCCACAAACCACCTTAGTCTTGCATCAATATGAAGATAGAATAAGAAAGATGTCCCATGGTTGAACTAGCAACTTTTAGTCATCAACGGTTTGAGACACGCTAACAGAAAAATTCCAAATATACTGTTTTTTTTAAAATAACATAACAGGCATAGCTTCGGTTTTTTAAATTTTACCTTTTTTACATCCCTCTTCATCTCCTTTATCAATAAGCAGGTAGCGTGGGCTCTCTGGAAACCATGGCAGGATCAGAAGCTGCAGAAACGCTGGGACACATGTGGTGGAGAGCAGGATCGGCCATTGTTCTTCTCTGCCCAGGACTTCTCTGTATGATCACAAAGTCACCTGGTCAGCTAGCTTTTTCAGTAATGTAGACATTTGCAAAAAACAATTCTGTGTATGGAAATAACAGCTTCACAGCATTAGTTGGATTTTTATTTACCTCAGACCCATCACTTGTCCAGATAAGATCCCAACAGTGAGGAAAATTGAAGTTCCCATCCCCATGGCACCGCGCAGTGCAGTTGGAGCTATTTCTCCCAAAAACATGGGTTCAACACAGAGAGCAATGCCTGCAGTAATAAAACAAGAACGGCTCATTTAAACTGAGAACAAACTATAATTAAGCTCTTATTACATGAGCTCTAAAAGAATTCACATTCCTTCTAATTTCTAACAACCTCAGCTTAGTTTGAGGCAAACTATTGGGTGGGTCGGTCAGAGAAGTCAGAGAAAAGAATTATGTTAAGACGTATGGGTTGCTACAAAGTTAAAAGCACAAAATGATCACGAAACACACACCCTCAACTTCTAAAGTAGAGTCATTCACATGCACAGTTGGTCCCAGCCACAACAATATCCTAAACAAATAAAGGAAATAACGTTAACAAGTGGCTAATAAATCATTCATGTAAGATAATGTGACACTTAACTGTTTATGTGAAGTTAACTTAAACTGACATTCACTTTTTATCCATTTTATCTATTTTTAGTTAACATGTCTGTATTCATTTTAGTTTATCTGCACTCTTTTTTAAACATACATTCTGATTCCTTTTTTCCTCCCAAAAAAACACAGTAATTGTATGTTCAAGTTTTTAAAGTGTGCATGTTCCAGTTGACATTCAAGTATGAGTGATACATGCTTGATCCTGAAACTTTTACCTGCATTTATTCCAACCAAAAGCCGTCCAATGATGAGTAACTCAAACAATCCTAGAATGGAGCTCAGACCCATCAGCAGAGCGGCAGTTATTGAAAACAAATTATTGGTCAGCAGGGTCCCCCTCCTAAAACAACCACAAGGCCTGTCAAATGTCAAATCTTTATGACAAACAATAGATAAAAGAAAACGTACTCAGCATGTCTGTATTTGTTCATACCTCCCCAGCTTCACTGACAAAGTCCCACCAATAGATACTGCTACAAATCCTCCTAAAGTGAATATGGACACGATTGTTGACCAGAGAAGGGTAAGGACATCCTGTGAAATACCAGTTTGGTAACGCTCAATCCAGGTCCGGTTGATGAAATTTTGCACGAACTGAAGGTTAAAGACAAAGATTAATACAGATGAATATTCAATATTTTCAATATTTAGTTTAATATAAGCAATGAACAGCAGTGGTTTGTAGTCTGGCAGGTTCAGCATAATTACTGATTAACGCAATTACTGCTGTGCCTGTTAACAGGTGTTACTTTGATATAATAACTGAACCGGTAAGTAAGCCACGAATCAAAAAAACAAAATCGGGATAACATAAGAATGGACTCGCTGGAATGAGCCCTATGAGCCCATTCCATCGCTCATCTCTGTACTTCAGAGTGGGTAAGACGCAGTAGAGTTATTACTTCTGTGGGCGCATTGATGACAGAAATATTATATCCACACTGAAAGGTTCCTCCTATGCATGTGCCAAACATCGCCAGCAGCAGGGATTTGTTTGGAAACTGTAAATAGAAAACACAGAGACGCACGAACGCGCATCGTTAGGATGAGCAGCTTCACACCAAACTGAAGCTCCAGCATAAGTTTGGAGGTAAAGGCTGGCTAAGCCCAGTCCACATACCTTTGACTGCTTGGTGTCTTTGCCTGCTTTGATGAGCAGAGGCTCGTACTCATCCACACGCTCCTTTGGCATTTCGCCTCTTCTGTTTCTCTCAAAGTTTGCGCGCAGGGAGTCCTCGGTACATGCGCACGCTCTCCCCGGTAACCTTGAATGAGACGGGAGGATGCGGTTACGCTCACGATGATACAGACGATCTGTTGTTCAGAAGTTATCAGAGGGTCCAATCAGCTGCATCACCCCATGTTCGACTAGATTTCAATAGATTTACTGTGTCTCAGAACTCCTTTAAACTAATTTCTTATGTGCTGCAGATAAAAGTAGACAAAAGTATACCACAAAAGTAAGATAATGGTTAAGTAGTTAAATAAAAAGCTTTAAAAAAAGATGGAAGTGTTTTTTTAATCTAAAAACTATGTTGATCTCCAGTCAGAATTGCAAGAAAAGTCTCACCTGTGCCAGTATGCAGCAAAGGGTCCAGACTGCCAAAGGCTGAGAATGCTGTAGTGCTTGACGTTTACTTCTTACTGGTGGTCCTGTATGTGGCCATGGGCAGTAAACATCCTACACGTTGACTCCCTCTATGTGTCAAACGTGAGAGGAGCGGTTGTGTGGTCATCTGCATGTGCTACAGTTTGAACTGCCCATTGAAACGGAATAATGGATTAGATTAGGAATGGCAAGTAAATGTGCTGTGTTCCATGGGTCCTTATAACCCTTTAAAATCTAAATGGTGTAAATAATGAATAACTAAAGCTCTAGAGCAAATGTATGCCTCCCCCCCCATCCCAGCCATATATGATGCTACAGAAGCTTAACTTAACTCCTGTACTTTAACTCATGTGAGCATATAGGCAAACATATGAGTAGTAGAGCATATGATTCACAAGCCATCTTGTCAGAAACCGTTCCCACCAGGATAGTCGTGCTTACTGAGGATTGAGGAGATTACTCGGTGCAGATTCATATTGCCTCACCCCCCACCTTGAATGTGACAAGTTGACTCAAACCTCCAGAGCAAAACAACCTCCACAGCTCCACAGGACCATACTGTATTTTCCTTTACTGCGGTGAGAAAGACTCCCTGTTATTCTTTTAATTGATCACTGTTTCAATGAAATAAACATAAGCTATGTGATGCTGAACTGCTTCTTAAAGAAATGATGGTGTGCATACACTGTGCATAAAGAACAAGAGGCTGGAAAGTTCAGCAAGGGTCATAAGCTTGGCTTTTCCATGAAGCTTCTCATTAGTTACGAAAGCCACGATCTCTGTTTCCAGTGGTGTGTTGCTAAAGATCCGTAGCACCATCAACAATCTTGACATTCTTACTCCCTGTGGAAATACATCATGTCAGATTTTAGCTACAGTGGTAATCTTTTAAACCTCTTTTTCTGTATTCTCCATAATCCATCAAATTAATCTAATCATTCATGACCTTCATGGTTCATTTATGAAAGCAGTTGTGAAACAGCCTAAAAAACCTATGACCTGACTTGGTAAGATTATTGTTTTTGAGCAGTCAACCCTCCAACCTTATCCAGACCCACTGACTTCTCTGTGGTTGAGCTGCTTTTGATTGTTTGACAATTACTGTTAAAAAAAATCCCTAAAAATGCCACTTTGGTGATTTTGCTAACAAATGTATAAAAATACATGATCAGGATAATAGAAACGACTATGCAAGAAGTGGTGGAAAATAAACTAAATGCAACTTCTTCAGGCAGATGTTCTTGTCCTTGTTTCAGGCAGAAACTGGGTATGTGAGTCCGTCACGCGACAGTCATGGACAACAAAGTGTCACACTTGTCCGCTTTGGTGCGTGCTTAGAGGTTTAGAGAAGCGTGTCAATTTGGCTAAGGGTAATATTTAGAAAGCAAAGATGTCACTGCAGCCAACTTCTTACCATTTACAGAGCAGCCACTCAAAAATGTCATCAAAATCCTTTCCAAAAATAGCAAACCTTTTAACAGGTTTTTTTTTTAGAAAAGTAACAGGTTCTTTCTTTTGCTCTCCAAGGTGAGGAAAAGGGTTACCTTAAGGGCTAAAGGTGTCTGTCCTATCACAACTGTGCAGATGACACTCAGATCAATGTTGTCGCTGACAACATGAGAACACTTTTTATCTGTCTAATTTATTTTGTTGATTAATTTTCTGTCTTTGTGTTTCTGCTTTTAAATTATTTGTAAAGCACTTTGAATTGTCTTATAAACAAAATATGCTATACACCTAAACTTTACTTGCCACTTGATTGATTGATTGATTGATTGATTGATTGATTGATTGATTGATTGATTGATTGATTGATTGATTGACCTGCCAAATTTGGAATGAGTTCTTGCCCATTTATACGTTTAACAGATTAACAAATGAAGTGAGAACCGGCCACTGGAAAAAGTTACTGTCAAATGTTAAATGACATTTCCCGTCTGTCAAAAAGGAGTTCTCCATGTTGATGGACTGTTATTCCTGATTTTTTTCATTTGGTTTAAAATGCCAGGACAGCCTGAGCCCTCAGCTCTCTTTCATACTGAATGCGTACATTGATATGAAAAGGAGTAATCTCTCAGTTTAATTCATTCTGTGGAAGAGGTACCATAAATGCATAATGCTTCAAAGGATAAAAAACCAAGAACAAGCAGAATTAATGACATGCAAAATTTACTTTGAAAATGTTCATATAAGTTAAAAAACCTTTTCAAATCAAATTAGTTTATTGAAAATCTCAACAAAGCACCCTTTTGGAGGTAGTTCAAACCGACATTTAAGAAGTAAGATATTACAATGTAAAATGACATGAGATCACAGATAGCCGGAAAGATACAGAACTTCAATATAATGCTGCAGCTCAGATAAATTGTGTTACGTGATGACTATAAATCCTCTTCACTTTGCAATAGAATTGTTATCAAAGATGTGGAGATTTTTTTTGTTAAGCATTGTTTGCTTGTGTCTTAGGAACATTTCACAAATTGGACGATAACAGAATTGTGCCTGCGCCATCTGAGCTGAAATACTTTCTCTTTTTGGAGGACTGGAATTCATTCTGGATTTCCACAAAAGTTTTGTTCTTCGTTTCCGGAACAACAAAGAAAATGTAGGTCGCCACCAAGGAGCTAACTGCCAAGAAAACCAGGAAACAGTACTGCTGCAGCCCAATCTGTAAAAATGCAAGAAAACAACAGACATTCTAGTCCAGGTCTTCATCCATAAGTTGAGGGAGATCTAACATCTCAGTGGTCTTAATAAATACCCACCACAATGAAGGGAAAGACCAGGCCGATGAAAAAAAAGCTGAGCCAGTTCACTGATCCAGCTATTATGAAAGCTGCAGGGCGCGAGGTTTGTGTGAACAGCTCCGTGGTTAAGATGTTGGTCACACCTCCTGCAGGGGAGAAGACAGAAGGTCAACATTGAGAGGTGGGGATAGAGCAGGGAAAAGCTGCTGCCTAAGTCACTTACCTGGTCCCAAGCCAAAGCTCAGGATAAAAGCAAAAACACAGGCCATGCTCAAGTAGGGGAACACCGGGCTGGCATTCTGATAGAAGGGAAATCACACGAAGAAAATGTAACTAAAACCATGGTCTATAACTGAGAGCGGACATGTGGCTTTAAGGTTTGTCACCTGAAAAGTGAGCGTCAGTGTGAATAAAATGCAGCAGATGCTCATCAGTATGTATCCCCCTGTGATGAGCACTTTCCGTCCCAGGCACTCAATGAGCAAACCCTGTGAGACACACAGCCTGTCACAAGACCAGAAACACTCTGCAGACAAAAACCTGCTAAGAAAGTTAATCAAACGCTTTGTGCATGGTTAGGTCTGTTCCTTTTACATTCTACTATATCGAACATTCTTCTATATATAGTGATCTTCCACGTGCTCTTTTCTTTTCCCGCCCCATTGTTTATCGCATTAGTAGTGGTAGTACTAGTAGTAGTTTCAATAGAAGGATGTACTTACACATGTTAAAGCAGTGATGCATTCACAAGCGCCGGTGCCAACGGTGGCGTATGGTATTTTATCAACAGGAATGCCAGATTGCTTGAACACATAATCTGCGTAAAAATAAATCTGAAGAATATACACACATAAAACGTTATATTTCAATTTTTTCCTCTTCTAAAAACCTTTCTGATGCAGTTGGTGGAAGAGAAGTCCCACATACAGCGTTGATGCCGTTCAGCTGCTGCGCAGTGTTGAGCAGAATGATGGTGAGGAGCTGCCAGCGTAGACTGCGATCAGCAAAGAGCTCCCAGGGTTTCTTGGCCTGGAAACCCTCCAAATTGTTTCGCTCCCTCTCAATGTCCTCCAGGGCGCCATCGCAGTGGGCTGACCCGTACAGCTGCCTCAGGGCTGTAGATAGTAAGACACATGACACAGTAAGGGGAAATTCTCTGAAGACGCCATTCTTCTCATCTCACAAGGCTTCTGGTCTGACTTTTAGGATTCGATCAGAAGGTTTTCCGTGTCAAAGCACTTTCTTTTCAAACCGGTGAGAGGTCACATGCTTTAACTGATAGTCATCGTAAGACAAATGTGTCTGCCTCCAGCAGAATGGCAAACAGTCAATAGATTGTATGTACATTTTGCTCCTCAGACACACACATTCTTTCTTTCATACACACACTCACACACCTATATATTAATCACTAAACTTTAAACTATAAAATCCTTCTGCGGCAAAGTGAGTCTAAGGGATAAAGATTGATAAAGGTTATGCAAACTACTGAATAACTTGAGTCATTTGACTTGTGAATAACCTTTAGTTTAATGTCCCTCACTCCTCCTTTCAAATCTATGCGTTCTGTTTTATTTATATTTATTAATTTGCATTTAGGTTTTTCACAATTGGGACTGTAGCCACAGCCTCCCCTAAAACAGGTGTAAAGAACCTTTTTGAATCAATTATAAAAATAAAATCCAAGTGCAGTCTTTTACAATCTCTTGCAGTCTTTTACCTTTTTTACATCCCTCATCGTCTCCTTTATCAATGAGCAGGTAGCGTGGGCTCTCTGGGAACCATGGCAGGATCAGAAGCTGCAGAACTGCCGGAATGAAGGTGGTGGAGAGCAGGATAGGCCAGTAGTCTTCAGTGCCCAGAAGTTCTCTGTATAAAAACACGATGTCTTAAAACCAGAATGCCATTTTCAATCATTAAGCTAAAAAGTGTGTACTTCATATAAATATTTCATGGTGCTAGTGTGAGTCTAGAATTCAGCATTTACTTGAGGCCCATGATTTGTCCCGTTAAGATCCCACCAGTGATGAAAACTGAGGTTCCCATTCCCATGGCTCCACGCAGGGAAGTTGGAGCTATTTCCCCCAGATACAGAGGCTGAACACATATGGCGATGCCTTCAAAAATAGGTAAACAAAGGTTTTGAAAAAACTAAACAAATACAGCCATATTTCACAAGGCTCAATAATCAGCCTAATCTGGAAACCTCTGGAAAAGCTTTATTGAAAATGGTTTATGATATGAATGACTGAACTCCACAAATATTAAGGCTGAAAGTTTTACCAGCATTTATTCCACTGAGGAATCGTCCAACGATGAGCAGCTCAAATAATCCAGCAGTGGAACTCAGACCCATCAGCAAAGCAGCGGTTAATGCAAATGCATTATTGGTCAGCAGTGTCCCTTTCCTGATACAGCCACATTACAGTATCAAAAATGTCAGATTTAAAAAAAAAAAATTGTATAAGGCAAGACAATTTCACTCAGAATGTCTGCATTTGCTCATACCTCCCAAGCTTCACTGACAACGTTCCACCAATAGATACTCCTATAAGTCCTCCTAAGGTGAACATGGACACAATAGTGGACCACAGAAGGGTCAGGAGATCCTCTGATATGTTGGTTTGGTAACGCTCCATCCAGGTAGTGTTGATGAAACGTTGAACGTACTAGAGATAAATGGAGAAAATGATCAGAACTCATTTCTTCAGTCACTTGGTAATAAAAGATTTTTAGCATGAGTTGTTTAAACAACTACTGAACACCTTTTTACAAATGACCAATAGAACTTTAAAGGACTTGTCAGTGATTGTCAGTGAACCCCTTTAACTTCACCATAACTGGTTTTCTCCACTGTGGTACTATCCAACAGATGCAGTAAATCCATCTTGACCGAAAGGTCCACCCTTCCAGAATCTATACTCATCCAAAAACTCCAACACATTGAAGCAAAATGACCATTACCCTTGTGGGTGCATTGATGACAGATATGTTGTATCCATATTGAAAGGTTCCACCGACACAAGAGGCAAAGACAGCCAACAGTAGGGATTTGTTTGGAAACTGGAAATAGAAAAGCACAAAGACACGTTTTTCGGCAGATACAGTTTTGGAAAGATCACAAATGAGAAGTCCCCCTTCAAGCTTTTGTTCAAAGTTTCCGTTAATGTACATACCCTCAGCCGCTTTGAATCCTTTCCTTTAATGAGCAGGGGCTCATATTCGTCGACGTGTTCTTTTGGCATTTCTTCGCTGCATCAGTTCATCTAACACAAATTGCCCTTGTTTGTGCACCCTTCATCCAAGGGCTTCGGCCAAAAAGTAAACCCAAAGTAGACGGGAGGATGCATTTAAGCTGAGGACAGTACAATTGATCTGTTGTCGGGAAATGAGCGTGGAGTGTGGAGAATCTTTCCTGTAATTTGACCATGCCGTCTTTAGCAGGATGTAATGGCATCATTACTACACTCCAACTCTCAATGCTGCTCATTTTCCTATAAAAAGGGGTTTTTCACCGTCGATAACTGACCCTATTGGATTTGATCTGATTCTTATCTCCATTTTGACCCACTGCACTCTTTAAATGTCACTGTGTGTAAATTTGCTTGTGTTCTGCTCCCGGTAGATTTTAAAGGACCAAAAATGATCAATACATCATGCAGTAAACATCAAGCATTATGTGTGGAATCCCTTTAGATTTTAAAAACTGGTTAGAGACGCATTCAGAGAGGTTTGATCATTTCAAAGGAGGAATACACATAGAAGAATTGTCTGAAGCCTGATGATACAACTGCTGACTGCAGATTATTAGTGATAATAACCCAGGACTAATTTGATGAAGAGGTAAAAACCCAAAACTACAGGAACAGTAACGGTAATTTAAAATGCTATGAAATTTTAATGAAAACATAGCAATGTGTTCTATTTTATCTTTAACACAAATTTAAACCACCATTGCATTCTCTACAGTTTCTTACTGTTTCTGAGAAATCTTGCTCAAATCTTCAATCTCAGAAGATGGTGGACTGCATTGTAGTCTACGTTTTAACTAAGCAAATTTGAATTAATCTGACATTTAAATCTCTATACCTGACCTAAATTCATGAGCAGAATTTTAGGACTACACACAATGATGTATGAACACCAGTTTTTGCACATAAACTTCTCAATTTAATTGAAACACTCAAAGCGATTGTCTTAATTTTGAACAAATGTTACATCTATCACCCAAAAAAATATGCCACCCAAACAGAAAATTTAAATGATGGCAACTTGTTAAATCCATTGTTGCAAAACCATGCCCTAATGCAGCAGTTTAACAAAACTAACGGAATGATTTTAAACTTACCTCTTTCTTTGAATCCAGGGATTCATCATTTGAGGTCATTTTGAAAGCTGCAACAAAATGTTGTTTTGGTAAACCATTAGAATGTGTGTTCCACCTCCGTCGGACAAGCCTTTTTAGATAATGACCACCAGTTGTAAGGTGCAGCACATGACCTTAGTTCTGTGGCGGTGGGGCTGATAAACTCCTTGAAGCACATTCCTGCATGGTGCTGACCTTGAGCTCCCTTGGCAATAGAAGGATTGACCCAATTACAGAAATATCACGCAGGCTTTGTTTCTAAGTCAACACTTAAGGGTGTGTTTCAAACTTTTCAGTTTGTCCCCCAAAATCTAAAAATAAAGAGTGGCAAAGACTATGATGAATAGAGCTGCACAGCTATAGTTCAAAGATTTAACTGTCATGACACATTCTTTGTAGTATTGTATTGACAAAGACAAGCATTATGGGTTATCAACAAGTTATAAAAAATCTAAAAGCCCAGTAGCATGTTTTATAACCAAAGACATGAAAAATAAATGAAAACCTCTATAAGACCACAATCCGCTTTTTGAAGAGGTTCACATCTCAAAGAATGCAGCAAAATAGTGCACCAATAGTGCTAGTTAGAAATGATTTTTCAGATTAGGGCAATGAAAAGTCTACAGAATTTGTTTTCCTAATCCAAATACATCCTTATTCACGAGATAACAATGTGAAGTCAGCTGAAGCGAGGCAAGGCTAAGTGGTCTCATACTCCAAGGGAGCAGAGAGCTTTGAGTTTTACTCCAAGAAAATAATTTATTGTTAAGGATGTTCAGAAATCAGTATGTTGTAAGAGAGCAGAAAAACAGCGCTTTTTATGATTTTGATCTATGCACTTAGGGAAAACAGTTCTTTTTGCAAATTATTTTGTGATATTAATTTATCATAGCACACTATGTCAAGCCAATCTTTTCAACAATAACAGCGCTTTAGTCAAGTAAAAATATCAGTTTTAAATATGTGTCCGACTGGGTGGGTCATCTTTCTAAATGTAAAATATCCCTTTGCTGATCTTATAACCAGAGTCTCCCTAAGTCACTCTGGCACTGCATGTGGGTATCTAAAGAGGATAAGCATATTAGAAACAAAAGTATGTCATCAGTGAACAATTCTATTTTGTACAGAACAAACCCTCATTTATAACTCTCTCAATTTGGTTATTGCCATTGAATTGGGCCATAGAGAAGGGATTTGGTGAATAAGGCTGCTAAGGCCACATTACTCTGATTCCAGTGTAATGTTAGAGGTTATTTTACTCCACTGTTAATTAGATATGCTTTTTTATATCAATTTATTACAATAGGTATGAACAGGATTTCAAGAACGGTTGTATGTGTTTTACTGAACAACAGACTGAAACACTCAAATGTCTTCTAGTTTTTTAGAAAAGAATGCATAAAATACATTAAGACCATTTTAAATCTCTCCACAGGAGTGTTGAAGAGAAAAATTAGATGAAAACAAACACTTTAGGAAAGCTGTATCCATCTACTATTCACAAAAGCTCAATAAAATGGTGTCTATGAGAGGGGGGTTGCCAAGGAAGAAGGACAGGGAGACTAATGTTGAAAAGAAAAGAGAGAAATAGTTGAAGCGTATCAAATGACAAAAGGTTTGGACTGACAATCAACTGCAATTGGTCTTGAAGAGGGATGAATTCTCCTGTTATGAAGAATGAACCTGGTCATGCTAAAGCTGACTTTTGGAGTGACCAAACTCATTTGATTAAACATACGGTGTAAACTAAGCCAGATATGACCTCCATTAAAGACTAAGGACCTACATCTGAACAAACAGAGGTTGCTCAACAGCCAAAAACTTTGTCCAAAAAGCAAACAGTTAATGCAAACTGAGCAAGTTAAAGACCTACAGCAAAGAGGAGGAAAACACTCAAGAATATGTAAATATTTCAGAGCCTCTGTACTCCAGAGAGCTAGAACCGGACACCGAAAAACTCATTCCTGAGAACTTGGTACTAGTACTTGGTACCACAATCATCAGAACCAGAGGAGAGAAGGGTTGAGCCGGTTTCAATATGAAGACACTTCAAGAAATTCATGACGCCAAAACACCTAAATACAAAGACTGATGTGTGAGGAAATAAAAAGAAAACTGCCAGTTTTAGCTTCCAAAAGCATAATTTTTCTGTCTCTCTATCTAAACCAGAACTGACATCTGAAGAACTGGAAATCATTAGAGAAGATTTGATTGAAGAGACTAAGGAGTCCTAACAGGACACATCTAAACTAAAACAGGTCACTCAACAACCAAAAGCTCTGTCCAAAAAGCAGAAGCATAGCAATAGAAATAAACACTCAGAGACCAACTCATAGCAACTTAAAGATCGAAAGAGCTGGAAATCCCACCCAGAGAAGAACCGGCAGACACGAAGGACATGGAAAACTCAACTTCATCAGTGACTACAGAGTTTGATATACTCAGTTCAGGTTCAGAAGAATAAAAAGCTTCTGAACTGTAGAAAAAAAGAGTTGAACCTGTTTCACTACAATTGAGACGCTTCCAGAAAAATAGATGATGCTAAAACACTTGCGTCAATACAAAGACCAACGTGTTAGCAGATTAAAAAACTGCCAGTTTTAGCTCCCAAATGCATCACCTCTCTCCCTGTCTATCTCCCTATCTGTATTGTTGTTAGAATAATTAACAAAGCATCATTAAATGCAAATACTTTGTGTTCTGCTGCATCTTTTCACATTGAACTTTTTCACTGACTTAAAGTGTTTTTTTTATTTCCTCACTGAGATCATCATTGTTTTATTAACATATTCTGGGTTCCTTTCAAATGTAAAGGATATTGATTGAATGGGGTATAAAGCAACAAACATGCATATTAATGTGAAAGTTTCTGTGTACTTACAACCACAACAACTGTTTTAAAACTTTTAGAAATTTTAAAGCATTGCTTTTCAACCAACATGTCTTTATAGGGTAATCTAGACCAGAGCTAAAGACTCGAATGAGGGCGCCATAATTCGCCTGGTACAAAGTTAATTTGAACTCTACCTTTTAAACATTCAGGCATTTGATGGTTTGCCAACTAAAAATAACACTGCTGTCCAAAACCTGCTGCTTCCACTGCTGGGTAAAAGGGGGTAAACACGGACGTCGTCCTTGGAGATCTCCCGTCTGCTCCTGATCACAATCGGATACCCCGAACATGAACGGTCTCCATAGTAACGAACAAAAACCCCCACAAAGGGCTGCAGCGAAAGGTGGGAAAAACAAACCGCTACTTTTGACAGCTGCAACCTAATCTTCACGGGCTAGAGCTTACATATCCAATGAAACCGTAGACAAGCACGATATTGTAACCACGTTTAATCACACACAACATTACAATCAAACATGGTGGATGAAGTGCTTGTACTTCCTGCTGAGGATGAGGAGAGCCCACCTGCCCCTGCCCATCCTCACGACCTTCTACAGAAGCACCATAGAGAGCATTCTGACCAGCTGTCTCTCTGTGTGGTGCAGAGGCTGCAGCGCCTCCGACTGGAAGAACGTGAGGAGAGTGGTGAGGACAGCAGAGAGGATCATCGGGGGTCCTCTTCCCTCCATTGAGGACATCTCATCCCAGCTCTGAGTGTCCCCCTCACACTCCCACCATGATCTGTTCTCCCTGCTGGCCTCTGGGAAGAGGTTCCGCGGCATCCGCTGCAGGTCCACCAGATTCTGCAACAGCTTTTCCCTGTTGATCTCTAAACTGGACTCTGCATCACATTTGCATCATTATTTGGCATTGCCAACGTTTCTAAACTTTTGTTGTCCATTTGGATAGTGCACGGCATGGCGTTTGCTGCATTTTTGTACATTGTTCGCACTGCGCCGTACTTTTCTGTGCGGATGCCTTTTTGCACCATTGTCTTTGCACATGAACGGTGGTTGAACATTCTTCTGCACACTGTTCTTGCACGCTGTTTTCCTCCTGAATTGTTGCATCTGGTCACTGCTGCACTTTCTATTGTATTGTTGCCTATTCCACCTGCAGTCCCATTACACTGTCGTCAGCTGTATGCAACGAAATTTCGTTCTGTTTGCACTCCGTACATACAAAATGACAGTAAAGTTGTCTAAGTCTAAGGATTCATTTTCTCCCTCAGCCTCTCAGCCTTCAGTTGCTTTTTAAAAGGCCAGAGTGCATTCATTGACATGAGCGATTTCTGTTTTTATTGATTGACAGTTGATCAAGTGAAGTGTGCATGTTGTTTAGCATCTCTGAATATATCAGTAAAAAAAACGAATTTTCAACAAATCTCAACAAGTCCTCCTTTGAAGGGCAGGCCCAGCTCAGAAGACAATATCCATCACACCCAGAGTTTGGGGCTCTTTGCCGACTGAAACATTCAGGGTGCGAGAGCCCAGCGATGATTACTTTAACTGTGTTCTCAGGTTTCCAACTAAAGAATCGGGTTAACACTAACAGTAGCTACTCAGTGACTCAGGGTAACATTACAACTTAAAAAAAAATCTTCCATGTTGTTTAACGGTTTCTCCAGGTGAAAAAAACACCTATTAAATGTCTCAAAACATACATTTTAGAGGCAATATTTAAAAGTAATGCTTTTGTATCCTGTGAAATGGTCAGATTTGCTAAGCAGCACATCAAGTTGTTGGGAACACAAATACAGCTCCAATCCAATAAAAAAAACAGGGATTTTAAAGCAAAACAATGGTTTCTCTCATCATATGATGATGTCAGTTGAAATCCTACAGTCTTAACACACTGTTTACTATAATTACCCTTAGCCTTAGGGCACCAGCACCCTGTGGTTCTTTTGGTTTTGTTTGTTTGGACAGGGGAAGGGGTGTGTTACGACGATCATGGAATGGTAAGTGGGGCATTTGTTTGAGAACCACTGATGTAAATAGTGGTTGGAACCAAACACATATATACGTATATGTCTATGGTTGGAACCACAAGCACAACGTGCCCGTGCGTTGCCGCAAGGCGGACGACTTCCGCATGGGAGCCCAGCGCCTGTGCAACCACGAAAGCCTTCCCCCTCGTAGTAACTGCAGAGGGACGGCCAAGTGCCAGGGTTCACCATGTCGGGCAGAAAGCCCCGGTCTGTGGCAAACCCTCTGGAGTCCGCCATCACCACGCCGAGTGAGAGGATACTGAAGGAATGCCACAGTCTGTATGTGGACAGCGAGAACGGTAAATATAAAAAAAACGCGAATGCAGCGACGTGCAGGTAGAAACACAGAGGCTGTCATGTCGTGCAGCTGACTGGTCCCAGGCTGGGGTGCGTGGCTGGGAGGTGGAAACGAAATTGCCCCCTGGTTGGTTTGTAAACGGGTCTGTGGTGTGCAGCTGCTGCTGTCTGTGTCAAACACATGACACCCAGCCGCGGAGAGGCTCCGCCCGGCAGCGCCCTAAGCCGAATGGACACACACCGTGTCAATGTCACACACCCTGTCACACTCCTCCAGCCGCTTTTAAACAACATACCAGTGCTTAAACCCAGCCTAAGGATGCGTACTCCGTTCAGCCTTCACCCTGGTTGTCTTCTAATAATGATAATTTTATGTTTGCACATTTTCCCCCAATCCCTCATTGTCTGTAGAGGCACGTTTTTTTAAAACAATGTTACTATCCAGATCAATTAATAAATTGCGTATAGTTACTGAGCTGCGAATAGTTAACCGAGCAGAATAAGCTGAAGCAAGCCGAACATGTGACGAGCAAAGCTGGGAAAGCTCAGCCTTTCCGGACCCACATTTCCACACACCCACACCCCTGGAACCTGCAGCTGCAGTGCAGCAGTTTGCAGCTTCCAGGCCTGCAGATGTTTTACAGAAACACTAGTCCAAGACGTGTTTTGCTGTTTAGTAGAGACTGTTCTTCAGGCCAAAATTCAGGATCTGTAAGATTTTTATGTATTTGTCATATGCCACCTGAATGAAGTGAGTGCAGTGGTTCCCAAATCACTTAAAAGCCTGTATGCAATTGAATACAGAACAATAACAGTATATCAAATGTTGAAACTGATTATTTTTAGGATATTTATTAAATGCAGTGCATCATGGCATGTGGTCTTTTATATATATATTTGACTCAGTTTCAAAGTTTAGTCTTTAAGAAGAAGGTTGTACATGGTAAATGTGCGTGTAAAGCAGGTTTCCAATGAAATTAGAAATGAAAGAATTTTTCTTCCTATGTCAGTATCGATTTCAGCGCTCGTTTAGTTCATAACATAGAGGTTTCCCCACAGTTACTAAATTCTCTTGTGTTTTATTAGGCCTGGTGAAGATTGCCAGCAGCCTTGGAGTTCGACTGCTGCCACCCAGAAAGAAGATCATTGTGATGATAATGGGCAACCACTCTGCAGGAAAAAGCTCCTTTATTAACTGGTAATACATTTTTTGATTAATTTTCATTTACATATATATAGATATTATTCCTTGTAGTCAACTCAACACGGTCAACAACTTTAATCAGTAATCGTTTAACTTCTACTTTTGGAAAGTTTGTACCACGTTGTACATACAGTATTGATACATTTAACTAGCATTAGAAAGTTTAAATGTATTATATACTTGATTGATTGACAGAAGCACAATAACGGCTCGCTGCTGCTAGTTTGAGCTTCTCAGAGGTGAGGTAATGAAACAAGCAGTGTGAGGATCTTATACTCTGAAAAATAATGATGGTAACAGTTTTTCCTACTACCTGACAGTTGGTATCATTTGTTTGAAGTCCTATTAGAACTTAGGCTTTTTTACCCTTCATATCCAAACCAGTTACTCAAACAATGATGTAGCATTTTAGGACTTTTTTTAATGCTTTCCAGGTATGTTGAGGAACACATTCAGAAAACAGGGGTGGCCATTGAAACTCAGGGGTTCACCTTCATCACAAGTGGTCGCAAGAGAGAATCGCTCACGGTAAGGACTGCCGACATGTCCAAGAGTGCAGAAGCACTGTGTAGTGATGATGCATTAGGATGCAGCTAACGCTCCACAACAGGCCATCATGATGACCCAAATCCTAATTTTATGCTAAACATCACCCCTTTTGGTGCACACGGGGCTTTTTAATGTTTACCCTGAGCACAGGTAACTGAAGCTGCACCCAGTCATAAAGGCTAATTAACAATACCTCCAGTGTGAGTATCTTTTGTGTGAAAGATACTCTTGCAGTGGAGGGGAGAATTCTGCATGCTGCTCCACCCAGAGACAGGCTCCATTACTGTTCATAAACAGGCTTGGGAGACAGCAGCCTGTCCTCTCTAACCCATTAACGCAGCTCCTCTTTTCATATCCTGCTGTGGTGAAGATGATGAAAATTAATAATATATTTACAGAGCTGGACTGCAGAGTGGTAAAGCTGGTGTGGTGAGCTGCAGCACAGCAGCTGGCGTGTCATGAGTGCAAAGTGCTTTTAGGAGAAAACACAGCCACGGAGAAGTGGTTAGTATTTTTGCTATCAGGTTCTTTTATGAACGTTTCATTCTTCCACAGGGGAATGCTACGCTACATCTCTACCCTCATTTTCGACCACTTCTCGAGTTCAAAGGTAAGGCACATGCATATACATATATTTTACAAACTCATAATGGGTCTCTGAAAAGTGCAGTTTGTGCCACAACGCTGTTCTGAGGAGAAACAGGGCTCCTTTCTTATTTTTTCAAATCACAACGTATGGGTCTGATTTCTTCCCACTGCATACGTGGTGCATGAGATAACAATTTTCATTTCTAAAAGGTCGTCCTGAAAAGAGCGGCGTCCAGCGTGCCTTACCTGCTGTATTCCATGCGAGGATAATCACTTGAATATCGAGGCTTTTTATCTCCCAGCCTTTGATGTTGAAAGCAGCACAAGATTTTTTTTCTTCCCGTTTTGATAACATCAGTGCTGCAGTCTGCGCATCACCGCCTCATTAACATGTCTGAAAACTCAAATGAACATAATTAATGAGGCCTTTGTTGTTTGTGATTGGTCTCTACTGGCCTCAGGCTGAAAAACTTTAAAGGGTGTTAAAAATGAGGATGAAGTGTTGAAATGCAGCATTAGTCCAGAGGCTTTAGGGGAACAGTGAAAAGGATGAGAGAGTGGGAGAGATGTAAGATAAGGCTCTGCTGCTCGGTCCACGAGTCCTTCCTTCTGGAAAATGTCTTTTCGTTCCGCACACACTTACACACACACACACACACAGTAAAAAGGAAGTCTGTTGCTCTTGAAGTTAAATGATTTTGTAAAGCAGCTTATACATCCAGAACCTGACCAAAGATTTGTTGTTGTCACGCTGAAATTATTCACGCGTTTCTGCCAATCGCAGCTCAGATTTGCGTTTTCTTTATTGCGTGTGGAGTGAACTTGCTTTACCTTGGTGACTCAACACAGAGTCGTGAACCGGGCGCCCAGCTAGAGATCGCACTCCTGCCTCTCTCCTGTCACATAATGTACGTGCTGTTTGTGCATCTGAGTCGAGACGAGTCCCGCCTGTGAGAGAGCGCGAGCTTGTGTGCGTCAGCAGTGGTCTGGTGTCACTCGTCGTGGGAGAACGTCTGGGCGTGCCCGGAGCGCTGGGGTGGGGATGGGGGGGGGGGGTTGATGTGAGCATGCTGACAGGGAGTATGTGGAGAGTGAGGGTTCACTGGGCGCGGACTCACGGTGGCGTATGAGTCACACACCCCATCGACAGCAGTGCAGTGTAGTCGGGGGGAGCTGCTGAGAAATGTCACAGCCATTAGAGACGGCACAGCCCTGACTCCAGCTGCAGCTCCACTCCGCAGGCCTGAGAGATGTGCTGCTGGAACGCCAGGATTTTTTCTTTCAGCTGCCGTCGCTGCCTCTGGAAGTACACCACATCAGGCTTCTATTTAGTTGTCACAGCGACTGAGGATGACTCATCGGAAAAGCACCATATATCCTTATGAGGGAGCAGCTGCTGGTTATCGCTTTGGGAGAACTTGCAGAAACCTATTGGTCATATTTCTTCCCTGCATGACAGTTGTTTAAAGTCTGTTCATCTCCATCCCCCTCAACCTGTTGTGCGGCGTTTAGATCACATTGACATCGATGTTGTTAGTCAGCGAAGATGTTTGGATGTGCTTATTTTATCGGGTCCGGCTTGACCCGTTTAGTCCAACAAGTTCTCGTTAAGTCTGCGATGATGCAGCTTTTGCCCTCCCTCATGCTCAGGATATTCTGCCTAACCCTCTCAGCTACAGATAGTACAACAACTTAGCAGCAAACATTGCATTTTCACTCTTTTTTTCCCCTTTCATTGTTTTTAGGGAAGTGTTTTTCATGCTATGCATTGATATGTCTGTACTGAGCACAGTTAACTAGCTGTGTTTGGCAGCGGGGACGTAACACTCCCGCTCTGAGGATGACTAACTGCTGTACGGACCATCTGATTTAGACAAGCGTGATAAAGGGTTTTAATGACATTGTCAAACAGAAAATGTTGTAAATGTCTCGAAGCATAGGCAGAATTTACACAGAATGAATGTCTCGATGTTGTCCGACTTTGTGTGCACGGCTGCAGCGTTTCTGATGGGAAGCAGAGGTATTGATATTGTGCCTGGGATGATATAGGAGAGAGGCACAGGGTTATGCTAATGTGCCACAGCAGCAGCAGCAGCAGCAGCTGCACAAGGATGTGATTTGTGCCGGGTTTTGACACCTGCCTCTTGGTATGAAACAGCCTCAGTGCCATCCCGGGCCGCTGCCCTGTGTGTGTGTGCGGGCGGGTGTCGGAGAAGGATGTGGCGGCGGGCTGAATCATGGGGATGTGTCTCAACAGTGACCCTGTTCTGCCGGAGGGGCCGCGGGGTGGGGCTCGTGTGTGGTGGAGTATCGTAACCTCACAGTGCGTTGCCTCACAGTCGTTCTTCACTGGCTAGCTTTATGTCCCACGCCCCTCACTAAAGCTGCCAGTTGAAGAGCTGTTGTGTGTAACCATGACAACACACCTCTCCACAGAGTGGAGGCTGAAAAATCTTGACCCGTAAAAAGCCGGGTTGGGGGAAAGTGTGAAAAAATAAAGTTTTTTTTTTTCCTTGAGGGTGTGGCTGCTGCTGCTGTCTGTCAGTGAGAGTGTGATCCAGAATCTGGGGTTCGCACACACGTCGTTGCCATTACAAACACAAAGCGCTGTGTGTGAAAACGCAAAGCTGCAAAGTTGACGTTTGAGTTCCTGATTTCAGTGTCACCGATCTCCCTCAGGTCTTCCAGTATTGACCGCACTGCGGCTTCTGGTCACCCGTGATAAGATAAACTGTACCGACAACAGCCGCCCGCAGGGATGCGGCTGAACCACTGTGCATTCATCCTGAAGCTCACTATAAATATCTGTGTTCTCCAGGTGTAACGGACTACCTGTCTGCTGAAATCTCTACCTCAAAGCAGAAGAAATTCAGCCTGTTGACGTTCGTGGACACTCCAGGTTTGGTGGACGGGGACATGATCTACCCTTTTGACGTCAACAGCGCCATCACCTGGATGGGTATGTTCTTAAGTCCCCAAGCACCGGCAGATATAACCTACTCACTGTACATCCTTCCACCCTTGTATGCCCTTGGTGTTTCCCCGACCGATGTCACTTTTTTGCACAGGTGAACAGGCAGATCTTATATTTGTTTTCTTCGACCCGATGGGCCAAGCGCTGTGCAAGCGAACTCTCAACATAGTGGAGAAGCTGAGCGAGAAATGTGGAGACAAGCTGTTGTTTTACCTTAGCAAGGCAGATGAAGCTGGGAAAGAGACGGACAGACAGGTCAGTCCGTCTCACTCGCTTTTTTTTGTGACTGATTTAATGGGAAACCCACGGAAATAACCTTCAATTTCTTTTCAAACTCAGAGAGTCATGATGCAGATTGTTCAGGAGCTGTGTCGCCGTCCAGGTCTGAACAAGTGTGGTTTTGAGATGCCCACAATATACATCCCTAACCCACAGAAGGTAAAATCGAGTTGTTTTTATGAGTTCATGCTGACCGGTAATAGTTTGATTTGACAAATATGAGCTGAAAGTTGTAGAGGCCAGCAGTGTTTTAGTGTTTCTCTGCTGTCTGGGAGCAGCTATTGATTCAACTTTGAATGTCTAGTTTTCTTGGTTGTTGTTGATTGTAGTTATCCAATCTTGGAGGGGGGGGGGCACAGGGAACATAAACCATGGACTGCCTTTAACAATGGCAGCCGCAGTCCTGAGTTATTGCTGCACCAGCTTGTGATCTACAACCCGCAAAGCTCTACGCCGCATGGTAAATTTGTGTGTCCCGCCAGGCCTCCAGTTGATTTTTGCTGAGCAAGTGCAGCTTCACTTCCTGCTAAGTACACAAGGCTGTCTGTCAAAATGCCCTCAGGGTTTGTCATGGAAGTTTACTGAGCTTCCATCTCCTGAGAAATCTATTTCACCCCTCCCCCGAATCTGATGCATTCCTGTTTCTGTTTAGCCGAGCAGGTGTGTGAACCAGATCGATGGGGTTTGTCAGACCATCGAGAAGACCATCAACCAGGCTGTTCAGAAGACTTTGGATCAGCTGGAGAAAGACTGTGACCTCATTTGTTCCACCATCAGCAGCAGACGGGAGCAGGACAGGTTTGAGGCCCCATCTCAGTCTGCTCAGATTATTGACGAAGCTTTGATAGTTACTCTAATCTAGTGCAACAGGTGGCATCTTGATAAACCGCATCACATAGAAACAGAAGCTGCATAAATAGAATCAGCTGCATAACATGTGTTGAACCTGATTTCCTCTGTGTGCACACAGGGCTGATGTGGCTTACAACAAAAGCGTCCGCCTTCACTCTTTCCTGTGTGGGGCTTTAGGGGTTCTCCTCCCATTTCTCTTCATCTTCAGTTTTATTGTGAACACCTTTTCCAAAGAGGAGCTAAACGAACTTTTGGGTGAAGGTCCAACTCGGACGGTCGCCATCTTTACTGTAAGTCCAGAGAGTCCTTTATGCAAGCAATGGACAGTGACACCAACAATCCCTTCAGCTTGTTTAAGATTTTGCCATCCTCTGAAGGCTCATGTAACCTGTGTCTGACAGGGAGTAGTCATGTACCTGTGGGACTGGATACCAGAAGATGGTCAGGTGGTGTGTGTGCTAATTTTGGGGGTTTCGTGCTACTTCCTTCTTTTCCTGGCAAAATATTTTGCGGGGTAAGTGTTTCGAGTCTTCATCAATTTCACACAAATGCACAAATAGTTAGAACAGTTTATTTGAAAATAAACTAAAAAGTTGAATCTTCCAAGTCTTAACAATCCACATAGGAGACAATACCTGATTTAATGGAAGAGAGTAAATTATGCAAGCGTCACCACCAACAACAAGAATTTTTTCTGGTTCACATCAAGCTCATTACATTTTTATTGTGTGTCCTGTTTAGCCTCAACAACTTTAGTTTAATCTACACTACTCATATAGTACCAACACTGTTTTAAGTCTTTGAGGCAGATAAAGACAATCCCCTTCCAATAATGAGCCACCGCTAATAACACTTAGCCAGCAGTTTGGCTCTCCTTTAGCTCCTGGATCCAGATAATAGTGCAGGTTGGTATCTTTGGACTGATGTTACACACAGTTCCCCACATTGCTCCTACTTTATGTTGTGACGTATTTATTTCCACAGAATATATTGAATGAAAAGTTAAATAAGAAGTTATGAGCAGCATAAAAAAGATCCTTTAAGTGTCAGAAAATGAATTTTTGATAAAAACTTGTGTGTTTCATTGGAAAGTTCATAAACCCTTTCCCCCTCTGTCACACTCATAGGCTGCAGATATATATACACACAATCAGATGGTTATCTTATTCCTCCTTCTTGCCTTTGCTTTTGTGTTTTTGTCAGCCGAGGCAATAAGACTCTGACGAAAAAGGAGAAGAGGAAGATGGCCGAGTACAATGATTACATCCATGATATTGTCAGAACAAAGAAGGTTAGAGTCACATTTTGTGCTATTATGTAGTGTATTCAAATGTATTTTCTTTTATCTTTTGCTTTGTCTATTCTGATAGGCACAGTAATAACAAAAGAATGTCCTGGTTTTCTCAGCTCCATGAAGCTTTTTAGTGCCTGTCAGCTCACACTTTTGGGATTTTCCCGTCAAAGCTGTGATGCTCACTGCATAATTGTTCTGCCTAATGCATGTCAGTTATGTTTCCAGCCAGTTGCTTGATTATGTGGGAAAACAAACAAAGCATAAATTTCGAGAACCTTACACAGGTCTATTTCCTCCACAGGCTAAGCTGTATGAATGGTACCTGCAGCAGTGTGCAGCAGAATATGACCTCTGACTCCGGGTAAGATGAGGACTGCACATGGATCTCATTTTATTTGTGGTTTTTATAAAAGGCCAGTTGTGTGTCCCTCTATGTGAATCGACATTGATATAATCCGTGGGATTTTTTAGACAATCATCCACTGAATAACTAGATTTTCCTCCTCAACAGTGACAGATGATCTAATGCAGCAGAAATCACTGCCAAGACTTATCATCTCATCAGCCAATTTAACAAAGTGCCTTTTTTTTAAACTAAGCACAGGAGAAGTTGTGATTGTTACTGTTTGATAACAAGTCAAATTCATAATGTGAAACGTTTTTTTTTCCTATTTTTGTAGATACACATACAATGCTATAAAAAGTGTTTACAGATAAAAGTTTCTCTCCTTTAAAATCTATTTTTGTGATGTCTGTTCTCATGTTGTCATGGTCCAAAAACCTTTTCACCCCCGTCCCGACTGACATGTGACCTGAAAGTGTTTTCATACTGTATCTGGGCAATATTTAACCAGTGCTGTGATGACAGCCTGCTGGGCATTACAGCTGAGCCTGTACAGTCAGTATACCACCGTTTCTTGACTCCAAAGAGTTTATCATGCAGGTTTTGGTTTGTGAAAACTTCAGCTGTTAAAGTATTTTTTAATGGTATTAGCATTGGTATAAGATACTTTAATACAAAAGAATAGAAAAGCTACACTGACATGTACCTCCAGGGTGTCACAGAGCACTGAACACTGCAAGTCCTCCACAGATTAACTGAACTGTTAACTCCCTATGAGGCCTTCACTCCAGTTTTTGTTTTGTATGAATATATTCTTACAAAACATAAAGGGCTGTTTCTGAATGATGCAGATCAACAACCCAGTTTCACAGCTGAGACTGGCCTCATTGCCACATTAAATACAGCCTCACTGCCGCCTCTGTAAATCAAATTATGGTTACAGCCATTTCTGCTGTCACATTATCAAACTCAGAATATTGCAGGTGACAAAAGGAAGTGTTTAGTCTTCACATGCCCACATCCCTATCTGAATCCTCCAAGCTAATAATGAATAAATGAATGTATAATGAAAAATTATTTGAATAATGAAATGATATATTAGTGCATTACAAGTTGTTTTTGGAATTCAGAATCCAGAGGGTTCATGTATTTGCTATCCATTAAGTATCACTGTATGATCTTTCATATTACTCAGCGATAGCTGAGGTCAAATAAATGATTAGATTCAGCTTTTTAACTTGAAAGTTCAGTTTATTTGGAGGGTGACATCTTTCTTCAACAGACATGCAATGTACGTTTTAAGCTTTAGTTCATGTTTTTAATTTGTTTGTGTGCTTTTTTTCTAAATTAAATTTACTGATGTAAACTGTTGCAGAAGTTATTTTCATGTTTGATTAAACTTACTGGAAAGACTCAACTGGGACAGAATCTGCATCTGAAGCAAAGGTTTCCATGATGATCTACATTAACCTCCATGGGCTGTTTGCAATATGATTGTAGAACATTTCATTTAGCTGTTTTTTCTTGTATGAAACTTGGATTGAATTGATTTTTTTCTGATGCAAAAAACGGACAATTTGAAAACATCCAAGCCATGCTCTTTCTCATCCTTACAAATAAAAATTGTTAGTTTTTTTTTACTTTACTGCTGTCTGGTTTATTATCACCTTAAGAATGCAAGGGGACAACGATGAGATTACTAGGAGAGATTAAAGGTAATCTCGGAGCAGGGAGCGTTGTTGGAATCCTTTTATTTAAAAGTGTAGTTATAAAAACGCCATTCCAGGCACCTCTGTAGAAGACATTATATTTTTTCTTCTACCCAGTCATGTGTTAGAGCTGAAACAACGCATGAAGCTTCAGAATGATCAAACATCTGTTTTATCTCTCAGGGAAAATTACAACATTATTTAATGGAAAATGAGAAAAAAAACAGTCCACTTACAGTAACTGAAGGGAAAAATATTGAAGCAACAATTTCTCCTTATGAAAGGACCAGAAAGCCCTTGCCACAAACCTCAGTTCCCTGAGTTAGTAACAAACATTGTCCCTATGGAGGTGGCAGCTATCAAAAATAACTTAAATCTACTTTTGCATTTATCTATATGAGTAATCTCTTTTGTTAGAAAACACTATTATCTATTGCACAAGCACTAGTGTGTTATTCATATAGTTAGTTTGATTAAAATTGTTATTTTGCACTCTACAAGCAAGGCAACCAATTCAAAGAGGTATGTCATCGTTCTAACAATTAGTCATAAATTAAAGCTGTGCATGTGAGAAAGTCAGTTAAAGCTGCATTCAGGTTTCTGCAGAATGTTGCAGATTTAAGCTTTTTTAAATATCTGAATATCTGCTCTGGGACTTCATTTGAGCTTATATCATGTTACACCATGCGGATCAAAGGTCTGTATGCACGCAAACAACCAATTCACCAAAAATGATCTGCGCTTATTATGTTACAGTGCATTCAGGATTATAGTTATTTACAATGTTATTTGTACAAAACAATATCAATCCCCATCTCTGGCGGCTTATAAACAAAAGTGTACAGGTAGATACATCTTGCGGCAGCTCAATACAGAGTATTGCTTTGTTATATAACATTTTCCGTAAAATACCTGCCAAGTCAGTGAGTTCCATCCATGTATGGCTCCATTTGTCACCTTAAAGTGTCTCTTAGGAACAAAACGTTTTGCTGTGTTGTCCTCAGTGAAGTGTGTCTCAGACTCAGACAGTTACAGTTTGTGTGTTTGAAAAGTTCGGGATAGCTGCTCAATGTGTCAGCACCATATGTGTCCATACTGAGGTGTCCAGTGGCCTTTTGGTCTGTCGTTTGCGGTCTTCACATGTTCGGTCAATGGGAGCCTTTGTCAATCAGCCAAGAAATGTCTCCAGTCCTTCAAAACAAATGCAGTAATCAGTGACACACATTTTGACTCCATCAAGACTCAACTAATAAGCTGTGGCTCCCTACAGGTGGTTTTTATCTGAAGCTAACGGAAGTTTGTATGTTTTCATACTTGCCAAGTCGTGCTAACATCCTTCAGTTTTGTGTGTGCATTACAGGAAATGACAAACAAAAGAGACGTGAGGAAAACTGTAGTCTCATTCAAAAAAGAGACGAAGACAAACAGGAAAAGTAGGTGTTTAGCAACCTATATCCACAACTAATGCTGCGATTATGATGTAATGGCATAATAACAAGGTTACGAAGACAGCTAAGAAACTGATATGGAAACATTGAAAGAGCTGTGACGGCTGGTTGTGATCCCAGAATATGTGAATATATTGTTGGCAATAACAGATTTGTAGAGTACCAGCCGTATACACTGTAGTTATATTTTATTTAAAAAATGAATTACATTATTGTGTGGCAGTATGTATTTAATTAAAAATAAATCATGGATGTCATTGACTGGTCTAAATGGTGTTTAGACCAGGTAAAATCGGGAAGTTTTAGAAGTTGACTGAGTGGATAACGTCTTTGTCTGGGGTGTAAAACTTTTACATCGAGCATTTCTTTCTGAGTTTTAGTGTGTCTGTTAACAGGTTCAATCCTGCCATAATAATATAGATGTATTTATAATATAGATTAGAAAGGTGTTGACGTAACCAATCGAAAGATTCATTTGTGTGATCATAACTTTGTTTCACTGTTTGATACTTATAAACGCTGATCCCTAGATTGATGTAATGTTCTATTATATAAATTATTCTTATTCTGGCCTGCCTATAATGGATTTTTAGTCACAAATGACTGATGGTTTAAAATTTGCTTATCTTGATTTATACAAAGCACTTTTTTCTCCAAGGATAGTGAAGACTTCCTCAAGGAAGTAGTGATTTGTGGTGATGTGATGATAACACAATCCATGAAGTGCTTTGCACATGTTCATCCACCATTTTCCTTCTTAGCGTTGACGTACGTTTAATTTTTCTCTTCCTATTTTTCTTAAATGTGTCAATGTGACCAGTTTTAAATCTTAAAAGGAGACTCACTCCACATCTCGTTTCTTAATCGTCTTTCCGGAGCCTAAGACCTCTGCCACTCGGGATACAATGGGATCGTAATTCATGCTGGCGACGGCAACCACCTCCTCACTCCTACAGATGGACAGGTGGAGGAAACAAGGAGAAGGACCCATCAAAACATTTTGCGACGGACACCGAAGGACTGGCACACTGAACACTAACATAGGAAGATTAACCATGTTACCTTGTATAAAACGCAACAAATCTCAGTTCATCCAGATCTCCTTGGATAATGACATCATCAAATCCGTCACCGTAACCTCCACAAACACATGGGGGGAAAAAATAGGTTTTATTCTCAGATTTGACAGCTAGATGGCAGTAACAACACTTTACTCTGCACCTGACCTCTTGTAACCTCTGGTGCTTGTCTTATAACATACCTACCCAATCTAAGGCTACATCAATCCGAGGCCTTCCTACCTGCATAGCGAATAGTCTTCCCAAACATGGCTGACCAGAAGTAAGGCACAGTTTTGATTTCAGTGGCTCTGCCCATCATGCTGAGCGCCGCCACCCTGCCTGATGACACACATCACAGTAAGTACCGACAGCTTTCTGTTTTCCGCCTGGATCCAGCTGTCAAACTCTCACCATGAACGTGAGCCATCTGCCAGTGGGGGATGTTCACCTTCTTGTTGTTGCGAGGTGGGAAAGGAAACACCACCACGTCCCCCCCGGCGAAGACCGCATCGATGTTCGTCTGCATCATCTACAGCAGAGGAGTGATCAGTAGGAAGAAACGAACAAAAGAGCTTTTGAGCAGGCTGTAGACATGTGAGGTACCTTGTTCACAGTGATGAAGCCCTTGGAGTCCAGGTGGATGCCACTCTGCTTCAAAAAACCTGTTGCTGGACTGCTCCCTGCAACAGGAGGGATGTAAAGGGAGTTAAATGTGGAGAAGGATAAAAGATTTGACGGGTGTAGTTTGCTCTCTCTGCTGGGCATCACCTGCACCGATGACACACACGTCTGCCCGCAGGACCTTCCCACTTTTCAGGACCACCTCTTTCAGCTGCAGCACAGGCAAAACAAAGCGTTCGTGTTCTGGTGTGTAGAGCAGTACGTTCACACATTTCGGGCTAAATTGAAATGATATGCAAACCTTTTGTGAAGCAAACGCAATGTTCTGCTGAAGTTCCAGCTGTTCTGGAAGTTTATAATGTGGATTTTAACCTTTAATATTTCTTGTAATATCTTGAGAACAAAGTAATTTTTTTAGACTGCATTTCATTCCAAGCCTTGTTTTTTGTTCCTTTTTTTGTTTTTTTCCCCCGCCCCTTTTAGCCATATATGAGGGAACAGTGCGTCCAAGCATTACTGTTATGCTGTTTCTCTCACTTTCTGAATACCTGTCCATGTTGGCCAATCATCTCTGACACCTCATTCAGCATGTAGAACTTCACCCTGTTCACCTCAAACAGCTGTAAAGACAAACAGCCACTCGTTAGAGTTAGAGCCGCTAAAGCAAGCAGACGGAAACTGATGCTGAATTTCATTGTCCCTCTGTCATCAGATATGTGAAATATGAACTAACACCGTTCTCTGAGAGAAAGCGCTGATAATACCATACTTAGTGTACAATAAAAAGATGTATTATCTTTACCTTCATTATGGCTTTGCCTACTTTCTCCCCGAGAGCTTTTTTAAATGGAACTGATTCAACCCCAATGATAGAAATTGAATGGGCCTTGTCAGTCAAAGCCGCAGCTACCTCCATACCTGTAGACATACAAAAAAGCTCATGTTATTTTGGTAATAGATATCAAGATGACAAATCAGAGCAATCGTCTGGATAGAAAGGTGAAGAAACAAAAATATAGACAAGTTGGTTCAGAGAAGATCTTATTACACATTGTAACAATGTGTTTGACAGCACTGAGACAGCTCTGATCAAGGTGACCAACGACATCCACCTGAACTCAGACGCAAGCAAAGTCTCGGTCCTGGTTCTGCTGGACCTGAGTGCTGCCTCTGACACAGTGGATTAGGGATTTTATTACTGAGGTTAGAAGACTGGGTGGGTATCTCTGATACAACTTTAAATTGGTCCAAGTCCTACCTCGAGGACAGGTGTTACTTTGTTTAAATTGGGAACTGTGTCTCAGACTGAATGGGTCTGAACTGTGGGGTTCCCCAGGATTCAATCCTGGGACCCCTTTTTTGTTCAATCTGTACATGCTTCCATTGGGACACTGTTTTAAAAACAATGACAAAGAAACTTTGACAGTGAATGAAATGGCTGAAAGTGGTGACATTTTTAAATGGCAACATTTGTATGTTCTTCATGCAATCCTGTTACTCATTTGTTGCCAGTTTTTTGCCAAAGGTATCATTTTTGTTGCATTTCCGACATTTTGACGAGGTTTCTCAGTTTTAACATTTAACAAACTGTCTTTGCAATATTTTCCGATAGAAGTAAAATTATTATAATCTACTACTGTTCACATATAGCACAGTATCCAAGCTTCTTCAGAAACATGATTTTTTTTTACTTTAAACTAACCTGTGTTCTGTGTTGTGTTCTGACATGTGTCTTTATCTCACCAATAAATGATGTTCCCACAATCACAGCGTTCTTGTTGTTGGCGAGCCTCGCTATGCTGTTTGCATCTTCAGGTGTCCGGAGGTGGAACACATTCCTGACATCTTTACCCTTGTAGTTCATCGGCTTTGGTCTTTTAAGCAGTCACAGACAGTCAGTCTTCATGCAAAGCATTTATAATATCAGTTTCTAAATAGCCTTGGAGGGAAAATAAACTTTTTTTTTTACCTGCTTCCTGTTGCAATGAAGAGCTTCCTGTATTCCATCCTGAAGCCATCTTCAAAGGTCACAGATCGAGTCTTCACATCTATTGCCACAACCTAGAAGAAATATTGTTGACTTGCAGTCATAAAAGTTGGATTTTGTGCGAGAATTCTCAGAGGCCACCATGTCTCACCTCTTTCTCTGTGAGCAGTTCGATGTCATGGTCTTGCAGGAAGTCCACTGAGCGTAGTCTCAGCTGCTCTGCCGTGCTGTCTAAGGACTGAGGGTAAGCAAGTTAGTGCTGTGTGAAGAGTACAGCGATAGCCATTCAGCCCAAATGCAATCCTGCCCACTCTGTTTTGGACACAGGCTAGAAATGTTAATTTAAGATAATGATCCTAACGTCCAGGCAAAACATGTTCACCACGATGCCAAACATTTTTTGTGATCTGTGTCTGTCTGTGTCTCCGTTTTCCTGTTTGTCTGCTTTAGACTGACACATTACACTTTTCTTCTGTCAGCATCACTGCAGAAAGCAGCGCCTCTGTGGCTTGGTACATAACTTTACTGGAAAACGGCACTCTATCTGAGTATTGTGGTCAGGTCTGTGTACAAACCTTACTCAGTTTAGGCCTGTCATATGGAGGATGCCTGTCCATGGTGCACATGACGATGCGGTCTGTGAAGCCCTCTTGCCTCAGAGTCTCTGCACACACCAGACCTGCTGGACCTGCAGACGGATTCGCTATTTAACTCAAAGAGATGTCTTTGAAGATGGGAAACTCAAAGGAAGATTTTGGAATTGAGGATGATCTGTTGAATAATGACCCACCAACCTGAGCCAATGATGAGGACGTGGCTGAAACCTGTGCTGGAGTTAATGACAGCTGAACATCGAGCCATGGGTTTTGATCTTTTCTGTGACTGCAGAGCCTGGAAATGTGGATAGATCGATCATGGCTTAATTTAGAGGCCCATTGGCTTCCCTGTCTAAATTCCACGCCTTTTTTTTTTGTCGTTACCTGCTTGTTCGCACGAATGATCACCTTGTCCTTTTCAACTCTGACCTGGAGCAAACACACATGAGCCACGTATACACTCTTTGATTCTGCTTTAGGGCACGATAAGGGAGAGTATGTGAGGCTCACCTGAAAAGTAGGCAAGCTGTCCAGACCAGGAAAGTCCTCAAGGTCTCCAGTTGCAATGTTGAAGCAGGCACCGTGCCAGGGACAGCGCACATGTCCTTTTGACAGCACACCTGGAAGGTCATAATGTCAGTAATTTGTAGACTTGAGCATTTTGTGGACGTTACAGATTCCTCGAAATCTAAATGAAATTGTTCACCTTTGACCAGGGGTGCACCATAGTGGGGGCACTTGTGGCCCATGGCGGCGAACTCCCCGTGTTCTTTGATCAACAAAGCTCTGCCGCTTCCTAAGTCCACCTCTCGCATTCTTTCATAAACAGAAATTCAAGAAGGTTTATTGTTATGTTCCACTGCCTCGGAAGAAGCTGGGCCAGAGGCATCTTCACAATTTTGTTGTGTCAAATATTGTTTTAATAGCATGCTTTAGGCATTAAGCCAGTGGGGACACGTATTTTCTAAGACACGCTTGATCGAAAAGATCGGCTGCCCAACAGTTAGGAGCCTTGTTTCTTTGACATTTTCATCGATCAACACAGTAAAACTTTTCAGTGGTTGGCAGGTCTAGAATGCCAGCAGGTCAATTTAGACAACTGTTTATGTTTAAAAACAACTAGATGATTCCTGCTTTCTTTTTTGCAGGATGCAAAAGGCAATATTTCTAAAATGAATCAGTCTAATCGCAGCACAGTTTTCCGCTCTGCCTCTCTTTGCTTCTCATTTTCAGAATTTTTGCTGAGCCCATGTGGAGAATCCTGTCTGTTCTGAATGCAGCGCTGCATGAAGACCGTGGCAATTTGGTAATGGTTTCAAGCCTTTTATCAAACGTACAGACTCCAATGTTTGCAAATGTATTCAATTATAGATAAGGAAATCCAAAACTCCCAGTACCACACTAAAATTAAATGATTTGTTACATAGTGTTTGAAAATGACTGAGAATATTCTCGGTCTGCTTCCAACAGTAAATATAAAGTCATATTTTCAAAAGAGGAAAAGTAAATAAAAGATATAATGATTCATTTAGAATTTTAGTTATTTGTAAGTCATTGCTCATGCCAAATATGTTTAGCTTGGTAATTAAGAAATTAGTACTCTTTAATGTGTGGAATGTTGATGTACAGTAAGAGGTAATGTCAATTTTCTTACACCTCTGACAATATCTAGCAACTTTAAACAGGGTAATCTTGATTTGTTTCTATAATTTATTGGGATTGTATTCTGCTTCTCCAAATGGTTTGATGAAATTTGGCAAACAAACAAGCAAACAAAGTAATCCTTAACTTGGCTGGAGAATTAAATACATCATTTAAATCACTTTAACTCTTTTGTCTTTGTTACAGTGAGTTTAACATGTTTCCCATGTTTTGCAGGATGCAACCTGTGCTGAACAGGACATTCTACAATTTGAAACTAAAGTCAGCGCTTTCTGCTGAGCGACCCTTAAGTTTTGCCTTTATATTGACTTCATGTAATTATATGTGCATGCGTTTAAGAGGCATGATGGAACCAAAGGATTTTTTCAACTGTCTTACTGTCCATTTTCCAGGTCCTTTACATGACACACAGTGGCCTCCACATAATCCCGTGGTTTATGGTTGAGTGGGAGCAGGGTGGAGTCCTCATCAGAGCCATGCCCCAGGGCCCCGTTAGGTCTGCAGTCAGCAAAGGGACTTGCTTTTCCATTAGGCGACGGGCCGTCCACCTCTTTTTCTTTGTCCAGGAGAGAGAGCTCCACTTTAACTTCAACTGCACAACACAGACACCACAGCTTTCTTATACACTGTTTGACAATTCCTGTCTAAACAGACAAAGTTCAATTATTTAGAATTCACAGCATTTGTCATCAGACAGATGTCCCAAAGTTTTTGATTTAGAAATTATTTGAATTAGTTTAGCCCTTAAATGCCTACATAGAGCCAAGTGGTGGAGATGGTTTAGGTGCAAAATTGTAAAGTTCTACAATCTTTTATCTAGATTGTGTTTAACCAAATGCTACAGGACATTGAGAAAATGGAGAAAAATCCTGAAACATCAACATGGATTACACATATATGGACGTATATCTGCCTGCCATTGCTTGATTTGGAAGATTAAGTCAATTTTACATAAAGCGAGACATTTGTGACAAATGTGTGCAAAACTAACTTTGTCTATGTTTTCTTAACACTTAAAATGAAAAGACTGTATATCTATCGCTACTAAAATGACTTAACAGTCAAATGCATGCCTATAAACCACTGAGTAAATGATACAGCTTAAAACTATTTGGCTGCTTTGGTGTCATTACACAAATCTGACTGTGAAGGATTGAAACGGATTTCTGTCTTTTTTGGACACATACAGTTTTCTTCGATGGCACGTGATGTGCTCCCGTTTGCTCTGTATTAACGAACAGTAAGAAAAGGTTGTGTAACTCCCTTTTCACTGCAGTGGGCTCTATCTGTTGGCTGGAAAAATGTGCTGATCATCCGGATCTTACACAGTAATCTGGCTGGAATTTTCTCCTGCTGGGCAAGTCTTAATTAAAATCAATGGAAAATCATAACAGTGAGTGCAATTGGAGGAGAAAGGAAAGAGAAAGCTTTCCATGGCCAAAGAGAATCTCCAGGTTCTGCTTTAATATTAGGGTACCTCACTGAACATTTATTGGATCAGAAGTAAAAGATTCATCAGTTAAGAACAAGTGCAAAAATATTTGTAGTCAGGATGTAGATTTGATCCTCAGTGTTCAGAGGATTGATGCTAAATCGCAATGATAAAGACTTCAGGATGTGAAGCTCTCCACACTTTGCTAGTAAGTGCTCTGTCTCTCTGCACATTTTCATGCAAATGAAGAATGCAGCGAGCCATGTCTCAAAGCCTTTACTACTTCAAAGATCTTGAAATAGTGCCATTTTTCTCCCACTCACACTCACATGAAGAGACTCTAACAGTGGTTACTGGAGATCTAAATTAGATGGCAACATTTTTTAAACAGTTTTGTTCATATGATGATGCAATAAGGTTCTGACATCTATGTGTCATGAACACACAATCCTCACTTCTACTTTCTTAGAAGATTGATTTCTAAATAACATTGACATGCATGAACACATGCAAACACAAAAATACATCCAACATGTCATGATCCACTTTGAGCTTCTGTAAGTCTCACACCTCCAGCTTTCGAATTTCACTCATAAAATGAATCTGTTTTCAAATTACTTTAGTGGTGATAGCAATGAAAAGGAAATTAAAGTATAACTGTTTGTGTGACCACAAAAATAGTTAGTTTGAAATACGGCTTCACATCTGTTGATTTCAGATTAAACAAGATCTTACCATCATAATGGATTATGGCAGAGGACATTACTTTAAGTATAATGCTAAAGAGCAGAGTCTGTATGTAAATCTGTAACTCAGGAAGAAAATGTGTAAAAAATGTCTGAACATTTTCTGTCATGTGAGATTGCTGCTGTAAATGTTCCTGTTAATTTATTCTTGTTAATGGTGATTCTGAGCCCTGGTCTCCATCATGTACATCTATGTTATTTCACTGTTTCAGATGAACACACGACTGTGTTTTTCCTCTGGACTGAGTGGGGTCTACGACAAGTATCTTTCTTACAGTGAAATTGATGCTCACACTGTTTCAGTTTATATTTGTGTCTCCTTTTATAATCCTTTTAAGTGAAGAAGGTAGATGTGTTTAAATTCCTCCCACACACACACACACACACAAAGAAAAACTGCACTGCAAATGGAGGAGGCTGAGAGGATAAAGCTGGATGTGGAGGCAGCAGCTAAGATATATATTAAAATTATATGCAAATATTTTACAAACACAACTTCATTTTAAACCATCAAAAATAACTGGAGGAGTTCAGAAACTAACTCTGGATCATTAAGTGAATAAACCATACTTTCAAACCACATTTAACCTTAAGCATTACTCATATTTTTGCATGATACAAAGATGAGAGTGAATGTGCAGTCACACTTCCTGACATTTAAGAGGAGTCACATGTCATAATGTTATTGTGTAATACACACATTAATTTAAGGAAAGTTGTAGCACAGGTCAGTGCGGCACACATTTATTCTGATATATTCTTCAAAGTTTTTTGGTGACATTTTTGCATTGTGACATGTTACAACTTGGACCATTTAAACTGCTTCACCTGGTCAAGCTTGAGAAATTTAGCAAGACCATAATAAAAAGCATTGGGGAAAAAGTTGTGTTTTAACTCAGTAGACTTGAAACACAAGTTCCCAAAGATGGGTTTCAATATCTTGAACAATCATTTTATATGATAATCGTTTTTTTTTCTGCACATCACCTTGTAAGATCTTTCTATCATATCCTCCACTGATGGGTCAAATTGCAACAGCATCGATTTGTGAAATACTAAACCAATCCACCTCCGCCTGATTTGGTGCTGCTTGTTGCTCACCTGGTTTGGGTTTGGAGAAGCATCCTCCCATGATGGGCCCAGGAGAGAGGGACGCCCAGGGAGAGGGAGGGAGGGGAAGAGGGAAAGGAGGAATGGTCAGATCTTTGGGCCGGGCCGCCTGGTTTGGAGGGAACAGTAACACAGAACTGGTGGTGTGAGAACCTGCAGGTCTAAGATGGCCATCGCACACGTCAGCTCTTCCACGAGGTCTGCGTGGCCGGTGACACACACACAGCGCGATGGCGCAGCTTACTGATGCGCCCGGGTGTGAGCTCGATTAGGATGATGAGTGGTGCTGTGTGTGAAAACAGAGGTGAAAATGATAATAAGGACAGCATTTTGGAAAATATAAACTGATTCCAGTTTGAAAATGTAGTTATTCTTCCACACTTTTAATGGCCACATTTCCACATTTATTTGATGCTTGTTTGTTTTTGTCTTTTAACTTGTCTTGAGAAAAATAATTACAATTTCAGTTACTCTATTTTCAAAGTTACAAATTGAAATCAAAATGAGGGTTAAAACAATATCTTTGCGTATCCATCTGACATGTAAGTGCTTGTAAAAAGGAAACAGTTTTGTTAATTGGAAACATTTCCACACACATTATCACCTTTGTCCATGCATGTTGTAGGGGAAACTGTTAAGCATTAACAGCACTCTCATACCTATTAACTTTCTCATCACACTGTGTTTTAAAGGGGAGTGGGGCCCCTTGAGTTTCAAAATCCCTCTTGTTTTGTTGCCACACTGGCCTCACATTTCTCCCAGCTCTGGTATTTCAAACACACATACTGTAGTTAGTTACTTGCACAGATCTGGGAGTTAAAAGTCTGAGTGCACTCAATGGCAGGTCTATCACTCACTTAATCCATAAGAAAATCATCCATTTGGGGTTCAACCAAAGAGACTGCTTGGTATTCTAAGCACAACTTAATGTCCTTGAACTGCAGAAAAAAGTGCAGTGTTGAATAGGGTGTCGCTTTGAAAAAGTTCCTGAGGACAAATGACAAATGGAAAAAACTTTCAAAGGCCAAAATTGTGCAGCTAAATCTAAGTCATTGTATCTTCCACCTCTGACATTGCACTTCTCAGTTGTTTTCACCAAAGTAAAGTATGCCAGTGAGATTTGATCTAAAATGAGAGAACCTATTTAATGTTTTTTTTCAACTTTTTTCCATTTTTTATTTGTGTAAGAACGGTAAAAACACTTTTCAGTTTAATTCATCTTTCAAAAACAGCTCATAACTCAGAGATGGAAATCGTTCTCAACTGAGAATGAGTATTCTCTCGTATTTCAATTTCTACCATATTTTTCTCAGGGTTTGTACTCTAACGTCTCACCAAAAAGTGTAGATCTCTCCATCAGCCTGTTTTTCTGCACAATTAATCCGAAAACTTTTGACAAAAGTTTGGATTTCCCTGCATTCAGTACCCAGCCAGGCTAATACAGCAGACGCTTTGATGTCGTGGATCTCAGCAAATGCGCAAAGCTTAATGATAAACCCCTCCCTATCTTAAAACATTGCTTCCCACATATTGTCCCTTTAATAATTTGTCAGCACTGAAACATTGATGAACAACACATTGGACTGAGAAGCAGCCATACCAGACTTTCAACAAACCCAAAATATGTTGTGGAAAAAAGAAAAAAAAACTAAAGTAGGTTAAGCAGATTTGGTCCTCACAACATATGACGCAGATCCCGCTTTCTCACTGTTAGACCTGTCCCCAAGCAGCGCTAGTAATCCTGCCTGCAAACAGGCTGTCAGTTTCACTACGAATGTAATACCTGTTACTGGAATGTTGGAGGGAAGAATTAGCTAAATGCAGCTCCTGATTGGATGAGAAGAGGCCCATTGGTGAACTGACTGTTAAAGCCCCATTGTGGCTGTCCCTTAAAGGTCACAGACTACTATCACTCAAAACTCAACTCAACCAGCCACAAAAGTTTTTTTTTTTCTATTACTGCCACACTGATTAACACTTCATACAAGGAAATGCATCAATTTCTTGATCCTCATTGGTAACCATCAACAAAAGAGGATTTATGTAAACCTGGAAGATGAAGCGTCACCTAAATTCAAAAGGCAATGTGGTTCACTGGCTAATTTTTCTCCTGTTTATAAGGTTGTCTTGCATGTCTCCCAACTGGTTAACCTGCAGTTAACGATTAGAGCTCTACGATCCTCGTGCGATAAAAGGGTAAGAACATTTGAATGCTTAATATTTGACAGCGCCTCCGTCACTCACAATGCACATTCTCCTGGTTTGTGAAACACAAGATAAGCCCAGGGAATTGTCCCATGATTGCGCAAACCAGCAGTTGAGCAAATGTCTTTTCTCACCATGCTGCCCATGCTTAATCATTTTCTTTACTGTCTGCTTAACGAAGCCTTCAGTAAATAAGAGAAGCACAACATATTTGGACAGAATGAGTCTTTCATTTTACTTGGAATTTCCCTCAATGAGCTTTGAAAAGTGGAGGAAAGGATTGGTAGTAGAGCTTGGCAAGTATGACAAACTGGCCCACCACAAAGCTTAAATCTTAATCTTGCACTATGAAAGACAAACGTTGGGACCAATCCCCATTAGAGGACTGTTCTGGATGCAGTCACACATTCTGGGCAGGTGCATCAGTCATGTGGAGGCTCGCTTTATGTTTAACAGTGGTTTACTTTCAGGTGAGTGGCAGCATGTCAATCTCCATTTCAGTCCAAACACGTGTGAGACTCTGAAGTTTTCAGCTGCCATTTGTTCAGTAATTTAGCACCGTTGCAGTCAAATATAATAACTGAGATGTAAGCCATATTTTCACTAGTTTATAGAGGCCACAGCAAAGCTTCAAAAGGAACCAAATAAAAAATGAAAATAAAAAAAACTTGTGTAAACAAAGATACACACTTGATGCCACACGGAACTAAAAAAGAATTCCATTCAGATTGCCATTAACGTTATGAGTGTTCAGCACAAAGTTCCTTTGGGAGATTTGAAGTTACTTTTAAAACTCTATATTTTCTTTAAAACTACAGCTGCGTAAGAAAGGCACAACTGAATTGCGTCAGGTCATTTAATTGCTGCTTTGAGTGATAACCTCTCCATGATGTCACGGAAAACTGGAATTGAGGTTTACAAAGGGGTGTACACCCCTGCAGGGGAGCTGAGCTTCTATGTAACAGCTCTGCTAATGACCAGCTTCTCGGCAGGCAAACACACACACACACACACGCAGATTTAAAGGACTCGTTTTAGCGTTGTACGGTGACTTTTAAATATGGTTTGATAAGTGTTTAATGGTATTAAGAAATCATTTAGACTGCGCTAGAATACAAACAAAATCTTCATTGTGATATAAATTTGATAAACTGCAGCTTTTGAGATGTGGACAAAAAACAACTTCTTTCCAAGTACTGGATGTGCCAGCAGTTCAGCACTGCAGGCTTAATGCATTTGGAGTGAGCCTGTTTCTCTACTGGGCACCAAACAAACACTCCATATAGTAAGTAACAAGCCTGGACATTTCCCTGGCGGTAAAAGGCATAAATCAGCTTACCAGTGTGCATGGAGCAGGTGCACCGAGATCCTGTCAAACTCCCTGGAGCTCAGCTTCTCCTGCAGAGCATGGTAGCATATTACCACTAGTGTCCTCTCAGTCTCTCTCTGGGATTGGCCCTCTTTGTCAGAGTATTCCCAGGATATGTGTCCCTCCTCTGCTCTCCTCCTCTACTTCTCGATGCAGCAGAGGTTCCAGAGGGTGTTAGAGAGAGTGTAATTGTATGTGTGTGTGTGTGTGTGTGCTATGCCCCTCGCAGAAAGCCCCTCCAGCAGCGGACTGAGCCGACCGGTCGTGGGAGTTGTTCTCTTTCTTTGGCCGAGGCTGAAAATGCAGCACGGAGGACCTTTGCCAGTTTCTCAGCTGTATGCAGTATTGATGGAGTTGCTGAGGGGATGCTAACACAGCATGAATCCTCATCGGCTCCCCGCTCTCTTCCTCCCACCCCTCCTTTTCTCTTTCCCCAGCTCAGACTAAATTCTCCCTCTCTCTCTCTCTCTTGCTCTGTTACAGCTACCCCCTTCAAATGTCAAAGACCTGACTTGCCAGTTATACCTGGTCAAAGACTTGCTGCCTTCCACGCTGCACTGCCTTGTTGAACTGCCCACTCATTGCATACAATCTCCACAGGCTCAGTACTGCATGCGAGTCCCTCTGCAAGCCTGTCAGCTCTTGTTAAAACCTACCAGTGAGATAGTGATCTGAATATTCTGTATTTAATCTGAAACATAAAAGAACTTTGCTCGTACTGCTGCAAACACTAACACAGCTAATACAGCTCGCTCCACTTCTTTTCAGTCTGATCAGCAGAGGGTGAATGAGTGAAAGTGCAGTTGTTGCAGTAAATCCTAGTTTCAGTCAGGGGGGTAGGGTGGAGCAGGATTAAAAAAAAGTATACTAAGTCTTATAGAAATGAGCTCCCAAGATATTTCCATTCCTAATGCAGCTACCACAGGAGGAACTGTGCCTCCCCTCCTGAAAACCGCTGGGACAAGGTCATTCACATGAGAACTGCATATTCATTTCATATGATGTAAGCAGCACAGATGCACAGGAGATGAGAAATGGTAACATTCACATTTCTATTCGATTATAAATTAGAGCAAAAATGCATTAACACATCTCAGATTAACTAAACCTGAATGATCAAATGGCAGCATGGCACAACTGTATTTCCCCAGAGATGGCAAATTTAATTTTCACATACATTCTGGTGTCAATGTTTTTTTCTGCGTGCTCAAGCATGAGTGAAAACATGTTTGAGTGGAGGATTAGATGGTGCAAAGCAAAATGCCTGATTAGGGTGTCTCTGGGTGTTGGAGGGCCTGCCTTATACGACTGACACATCAGTCAAACTGATTAAATTCCGGTTAGACTCATGTGCTGTTGCCAGGGAGGATGGAATCATCTGAAAACACAGATTTAGAAAAACATGAACCATACAGGTTAAAATATGAAACACTGGCATACCAGTCTGTCCAGGATGCACCTTGCCTCTCACCTGATTTCAGATGGAATAGGCTCCAGCACCCCCCACTACCATTAGGAATAAGTGGTTCAGCTAATGGATGGACTGAGTCTCGTTGGTCCCTGTGTCTGGAGATTTGGTCATGGATTTGTTTGTTTGATATTACCTGTATCTACATGGGTGTAATTCCGCCTGTATTACACCCATCTTGCCTGTAATGCTGCCTCAAACGGGCTAAATGGTTCTGTAACCTGTTCGTTTTGGTCCCATGCACAGATAAATGAGTAGGTTGTGTAAGGAAGGTCCTCAAGTGTAAAAACTCCAGCCTATATACCACGCAAGTCATAACTTTTGTGTCCACAGTGTGAATGTTTTATTAAAAGCCGAACTACAGTGACCTCTGGTACCCATCAGGGCAGCATAATTACCATGTCCACATGTCTGCTGAACAGGTCCGTTGACTGCTCCTGGCCCACAGGTGCTGTCGTTCAGCAGCACTGCTGTCCCACAGGCAGCGGCAGCATTTCTGCATGACATTTCAGTTTATTGAACTCTCAACAACTGTCATAGCATACGTTGGCGTTGGCTGAAGTTGGTTGAATAACAGAGAAGATGTCAACCAAGCAGATAGTAAAGTGGGAGAAACAATTTAATACATAACTGACAAAACTACAAAAAATGTGCCTGATGGTGTCACGCCGTTCAGTGACAGGTGCAGGTGAACAGGTCACATTTTTCACAGTCTTAGCAGTTTCATCTAAGGACTGTGAGGATTACAAAGACTGATCGCTATCTGTGAGGAGCAGGCTAAGACAGGGAACTACAAATCCAGTCAAACGCTTCCGTTGACTCTCTTGTCTAGACTTTAGCGCTCAACAGTCCTTCTAGTGGTGAGAAATCTGATTGTAACTGTGATAACAAACTGAAGAAGCTATGTTTCCTGAGTGTCAATATGGAATCCCCCTCCCCTCAGATTCAAAGAGCAAAGTTTCCATTATTTGACCAAATCTTTGTTTATTTACTTTTTTTAACAAGTATGGGCAGTTCAGGTAAAAATCTACATATGCTACAAAGGATGTTAACCTTCTAACTGAAGAATCATGTGTTACTTTTCTGGTTGCTACAAAAAAAAGTACAGCTGCTTATTATTTTTCATCACATCAATAAAAGCATTTTCCACCCATTACAGTTACATCACATGCTGATTCATCATGTGATCTGCTTGAGGCCAAACAAATGTTTTGGTTCCTGAAATAAATCTGGTGAGAAAAGTACAAATGAAAACACCAATAGCCTTCTAAATGAAATGGTTTACAAGTGATGGTTTCATTGTTCAGTTGCACATGCTGATGTGTCAAAAATACAACTGGACGGAGATTGCATATTACAAGCTATAAAACCTCAGTCTTCAGGTATTGCTTTGTCCTGTGGTTGGCCTGCAGGTTTTGTGCTGCTTTCAGTGGCTGCTGGTCGTAGTCCCCCATGCACACAGCCACGAAGAACAGAATCCCCCCGATGATCAGCGCCAGCCCTCCAAACCATCCGGAGAACATCGCCTCGCCGTACTCCCACCGAGGCATGACATCAGGAAAACCTTCATCCCAGAACTCCACCACAGTCGTGTACGCCACGATAGAGACGGGAACCAGAGTTGTGAGCCCCGATATCCAGGACAGCACCCCGCCGAAGATAAGCAGCCCTCTCTTTAGACCGGGCTGCCTGACGCACATATCGACCCCCTCCAGGCCTGGGAAGGCGGCCGCCACGGCCAAACATCCTGTGCCCACGGACATCAGCATGAGAACTCGGGAGATCTGTAGATCCATCGGCAGCGACAGGATGGAGTCGTAGGCTTTGCACTGAATTCCCACCTCCTCGGTGTAGAGGCAGGTGTGCCACAGCCCGGAGTACCAGTTCTCGACTTCGTTGAGATCAGAGTTCATCGTCTTCCACAGGGGTAAGAAGGTTGTGATGAGAGACGTGACCAAGCCACCAAAGGTCACAAACAGTGCTGTCCTTTGCATCATTTTGGTGGTAAGAAAAACCATGATCAAGCTCTGCACACGCCGTCCGTGCTGCGAGTCTGCCGTCGGGGTCTGTGTAAAAGAGGAGGAGAGTTAAGAGTGGCTCCTTAGCCAGTCCCACCTGTCGGAAAGGCCTAGTTTCTCAGCCTCCTTAATGAAATCCACCTGATAAGGAGGAGATAATCCCAGACGGTGGCATTACAAAAGACACACTGTTTTGTTTCAGCGTTCAATGTCATCACGGTATATAATGAACTCTGTTTTTAGATGAAATCAGATATGTCCAGTGGAATTCTGGGCCGAGTGCGCACAAGTTGGTCCAAACGGATGAAACACGAGCAGGCTCAGCATGGGCAACACACACGCACACTCAGGCACTCGAAAGAAATAAAAGCTGCTCCAGGCATCAACATGACGGGACATTTCGGCTTTATTGAAAAAAAAAAACAGTCCACATTGTTGTCAGGCTGACACAATATCACCCACGACCCTCATTAATCATTTAAAACTGACATTTACAATGTGAAGAAATCTAAATGGACTTCTTTTTTTTTATTGGGCAAGTCTCAAGTGTCTGGACACTGAAAAGCACTTTGTCCCTGTTGCAAAGCTCCTTTCAACAGCCTAAAAAAGCCCAACTCTGGGAGTTTTACTGTTGGTCTTTAGAGCTCCAGCAAAACAAGTTCACAAAAAAGTCCCATGAATCCATAGTACTGAATTACAACATCACTTTCTCAAGCTCTCAAAAGTGCTTCGGGAATAATTACCAAAACTCTAATTGTTCACAAAGTGTTTCCATTATCTTCTGGTTTTACTAAGTAAATTCACAAATGGATTCAGTTTTTATTTTGCTTGTTTTAGTATAATTCCAATTTTAGAATTGTCTTACCTCAAGTCTACAGGAATGCTTCGTCTCAAACGAAGAGCACCGGCTGACCTAATCACCCGCTGACCCTTGGAAAATAAAACCATAAATGTAGGCCATTCCAAAATTGCCAAGGTATAACCCTCAGCTTTTTCCAGTGGTCATTGCAGCAGTCTTAAGTGACATTTGTAGCGAAATGACAGCGTAAAGTGAGAACTTGTAATTATAAAGACATCATAAAGCAAAATTCCAGATTTGGACTTCAAAAACTTACTTTTTAAAGTTGCTTTGGTGTCATTTTTTCAACCTATGAAAAACATTTCAAAGCAGCTCATAGCATAGCACAGCAGCATAAAACCCCTGGGGCCAAGGACTCCTTTGCAGCTTCTGTAGATGTAGATATAAGATGCGTGCATTAGGGAGCACTGCAGCATTTAAAAGGTTAGGGCACACACACACTGACATATGACTCATTTGCAGAGAGATTTATTAAGGCATTAAATACATGAATCTCATGTGGGTCTATATTTCATAACACTATCATGACATCTCCATTGCACATAAATACGTTGTATGCATAGATTTTGAGTCTAGTTACAGTCTGTAAAACAAATGTTCCACACTTACTGATTATATTTATCTAAAGACTTGGATTTCTTACACGGTCTCATACAGGTTTTTTTTTTTTACCTGGGACACAGCTGAGAATAATACAAGTAATGTATAAAGGTCAAGGAACAGATATCTGACAACTGCACAGGCACATTTCCAGTGACAAAGAAATGTATATACAATAAACTAGTTATATATATTTTTTAAACTGTCAAGACACATTCAGAGCAAAAAAGGACCTCTGCCATTTTTTGAATGTATAAAACGAAATAAATAATCAAAAACGCAAACATAATCAGTTGATTTTTACATTTTATAAAAATTCTAAGCAAGAAACTGGTTTCACTCCGTAAAGCAACCCGATACGGAGTGAGTAAAAAGCAACTATAGTACAGGGGTCTGAGACATGCAAGGTCGAAATCAAGTGCAGGCTAATCTAGGAATGAACAGACATAGGTGTTGCAAATAGTTATGGCTTCTGCAAAAGGGGAAACAAAAAAAGGGACAGGAATAAAAAACGCCTCACTTTCCAGAGTTACCCTAAATATCGGAGCCCATCTCGGCACACTGTTTGTCTGATATGTGAGTAGCTAGAGACTCAATGATGTCCAACAACAGCAGCTGGCTGAGAGACCGCAGGTTGGGGAGCTTGGATACCTTTGGGAGGGGAGGAGAACAAAACAAAATGAAAAAAATGCACCAGAACTGAAGACCATGAGTCAGTGCAAAATGGGTAATAAGCAGCTGCTGGCACATGCAGGAAAAGGGAAAACAGTTAAAGGGAAGCTTAACAGAAGAGCTAACACTCCACTGAAGTGGAGTGAAAATCGAGTGCTTCACTGTTTCTTTGGATAACAAACAATAATCGGAGTGCCACTGTGACCCCTCTGCTTATTCAGCTGGCCAAGCTGTAAACAGTCTCATCTCCATATAGACGATGGAGGGTGATCCACTAGTAGGCCAAAGGTGTCAGTTTCCCACAAAGACGACAGGACTAGAGGGTTAGCTCAGCTGCAGCGAGTGGGCAGCACACCCTCAGGGCTCCGGATACCAGCCCACCCACCTTTATGAACTGGTGGACAATAATATGGAGGCAGTGTTTCTTCATGTCAAGAGCCTGGGTCTTATCGGCTGCCTCCAGAATCTGGGGAGAGGGAGAGGTGAGGGATAAGAATGGCTATTCTGGAAGAAAGGAATTCCGTGGTACCACTAGCTCACAACCCCCCGCGGATGAAAAACATAAATACCTGCAGGACGTTCTCCACAGTGACGTTCATCTCCAGATTCTGCTTGCAGTAAGCCTGCAGCCTGTTGTTGGAGAAGCCATAGTAATACGGGGCCGCAAACAGATAGCTGTTCATCCACAGTCAAGGAAGAGCCCAACCAGCATCGGAAGTGTTGCGACATATCTGGTGCATCTGGTCTCTACATGCTCATACTAACGGCAGGTGTGTAATACCAGGTGTTTCAAAGATGTTTTACTTACTTACTTTTTTTTGTGCAATCTGCATGTTGTATCCCAAATCTCAGTCACAACTTCACATCTAATTTTAACCAAAACAAAAACCAATCCCAAAGGTGGTCACATGACTATAAAACCTCTGCCCCTACAGTTAGTTTAGTGAGTTTTTCAAGAAAAATGTTATTTTCTAAACTATATACATCATGTTTCTGGAGCAGTTTTTGTTTAGTTCGGTAGTTTTGCCCATTATCTGAGAAGGATACAGGGAATCCTCAGGAGGCATGTTAACGTCCCCGTAGTAGATGTAACGCAGCATAGACTCAAAGGCCTGCTTGCTGGGAACCATCTCCCCGATGGATATATTTACCTGACCGTCCTCTGGCATGAAGGAGCGGAACATTGCCTCAAAGTAACTGCAGGATAACAGAGACACAATTAGAATGGGGAACTTTCTTCTTGATACAAATATTTGAGTTAAAGCCTCACATCTGTGTTCCTCTACCTGGATCGTGCTGCCAGTATGGCTTTGTGTGCGGGCCTTGGGTGGCCATCTAACAGCAGTACGATGTCACAGAACTCCAGGCCGCCTCCCTCCAGGTAAGCCTTCATGTCCTGGACCAGGGAGGTCCCAATGTCCACGGGCTGGTCTGAATAAACTCTGGGAGGAGGCTGCTGCTTTCGACGCACTATCTCCACGATCAGTGGGGTGGAGAGACGCTCAAACTCTTTAGTCATGATCACCTGGTTAAAGTGTGACTCCTTCACAACAAAATTTAGACAGTGCTCCTGAAACAGCAAAAAAAGAACAAAAAATTAACATTAGTGCAAAAATCAAATGCTATTTAAATTCCTAAAGCTTCAGGGTTTTTTAGTTTTTTTTTTTCTTCTTTAAAAAAAATAAAGAATCAAGCTGACAGTTAAAAATGCTCAAATCTACTACTCAATTATGTCGACGTGAACTGAAACACTTTCTTTGTCGACCACCAGAGATCAGCGAAAACACCATTTTCAAATGGGCTTTTTCTAGTTTGGATGAGTTCTCTGGAAGCACCTTAAGCTGGTCCAGTTGCAGCTTGTTGGCATTTTCACAAACGCTGAGAACGTTCTGCAAGTCCACAGAGGCCTCGATGTACTGCACACAGAGCTGCTCCAGCCGTGAGAGCTGAAAGCTGAGGGCCAGTTTGTACACATCCATGATCAGAAGAACGTCCTGGACATGACCTGGATGGACCGCACAGACAAAAACAATCATTTGAAAGAGTTTTTTTTAAATTAAATTCAACGTTTGAGAGAGAGGGGTGAGGAGAGAGCAACCTCTGCGGGGGTATTGGATCTTGTCTGTGTAGAGAAACTGCATCAAGACTTCAAACGGCTGGGCCTCTGCCTCTCTGATGGACACCTCCAGCAGCGGCTGTCTGCCTGAAGGCTTATTGCTTGCTGGGATATCCCTCGGGCCTCCAGCTGCTCCCTCGTCACTCTCCTCGATGCTCTCTTGCTTGGTCTTCTGCAGAAAAACAAATGAGGAGAAAACTGACCTCCTGCTGCTACAGTTGTTTCCCTTAAGACCAGAGCTGTGTTGATTTTGTTTCTCAGCTGCACATTAACTCTTTTTCTGTTTAGTTAAGAACATCAACGCTGGGTTGCTTTAGCTTAAGACAGGAAGGAAAACTTTTTTTTCCCTGTACTGCACCTGAAATAAAAGGGGACATATCATTTATAGCTGTTGTACTTGGTGACAGTTTAAATAATCTAAAAATTTGCCTAGAGACAAAGGGGCTGGAGGTTAGACAAATGCCATGATGACTGAGTGATTTGAAAGACAAATGCAGGCCCTCCTGCTGTCTCAGAGGAGCTGGGGTGTTCAGGCTGTGGGGCTCCAACCTGGTGCTGCCTATCCCGAGCCTGCAGGATTTTCTTACGCAGCCACTGACATCTCGCAGTCACTATGGCAATATGCCCCAAGACTCTCTCCTCCCTCTGTGAAAACAAAACAAGGAGGCAGACCAATGTAAAAAGACACATTAGGCGGACCACATAAAAGCCACTTTGTAAGGTTGGGCAGCAGTTTGGAGGCTTCGGCACTGTAAAACCATGGAAACTCACCTCTCCTAGTATAAACTCTACATCACAAAACTGCCGATTCTCCCACAGTTTGCCGTAATCCTCGTGGAGGGTACACTTTGGGTAGCTTGAGAACTACAAAATGAATGTTTCAGCTTGAGTTTGTGATCTCTTCATTAGACAGCAAAAGTGTCTTAATGACACTGAAACACTACATTTGAGCATTTCCACAGTCATTCCCACCAACCTGGAATCTGTACATCTCCCCACTGCGTACGTTGTTGTCCACCGTCCCTCCAAAGATGTACATGGCATCTTGAATCACAGCAGCAGCATGGAAGAGTCTCCCACTGGGCATCTGAGAGGGCAGTGAGAAAAACACTCAGAAATCGGTTTCCTCCGGGGGTTTGTTAGTCAAGCTATAAGTTATCATTTAAAATATATTTATGTGCACATTTTACAGGTTTCATGATGAGGATCAATTCAAATCTACAGTACTTGGGTAATTTATCTTGTAGTGGGTTCACAGCATTTGTTAGTTTATGTCATTCATTCACTGGGGGAGCTAATAAAGCAACCTTTTTTTTTTATTATTGTTTTTGTCTCCCACCTCACTGTCGAGGCTGGGCTGGATCACCTCCCAGGTCTGAGAGTCCACATCGTAGCAGTGCAGCTCATTGGGCAGAGTGTTGTCAGCCGCGCCCCCAAATACATACAGGTGGCGGTCAAAAGCCACCATGGTGTGTCCATAGCGTCTCTGGGGAGGTGGCGGGGAGCCTCGCAGTAAATGCTCAGTTGGGATACGCGTCCACCTGAGAAGACGGGTCAATAAGTACCATGTAAAAGTTAATGTGGTGTTAATGACACAAATAGTCAGGGTTTGTAATTAAAGCTTTTGCTTACATGTGGCCTTTAAACTCAAACTGAAAGAGATTATTTGTGATCTTGGCTCCACTCTGACCGGAAAACACAAACATCTTATCCCTGCAGACAGCCACCGGGAAGTTGCAGCAGGAGGGGGGGATCTCACCGCTCTGGTCAATCTACCGGGAGAGACGACCGGGAGCAAAACGTCAACACCCTTCTAGCATTTCTGGGTCTTTCAATTTGAGCTTTGGAGATGAACTGAACTGGCCTCTTCCCAGCACGCGTGCTCTCGGTCTTGCAGACTGATGGTCCACATGTCATTCAGCCTACACACAAATGGAAACTGTCAATCTATCATTCCAGAGTTGCCAGATAAATGAAGGTGAGGATCAGATAAGAGGGAAACTTCCCAATCATACCTTGCGTTTCCATCATAGCCAGCAAATATCCACAGCTTATCGCTGTAAACTGTAGCTCCATGGGCAGACCTGGCCACTGGCAAGCTACAACAGAGACATCAAACCGATCAGTCCACAAGGATGCACCCGGTAAGTAAGCAGTCATGCTCTCTATGCAGACTTTTACTGAAAATGTCCTGGTTTTGACAAGTAATGCAAACCAAGACCTTATTAAGCTGCTCAAATAGTCAACCTTCCCTCGTGGGTAAACATGGTAAACTTTATCTGGGAAACACAAGTGCCTGAACAAATGCGTTACCTTCCTTCCACTTTCCACTCGGTCCACTGCCCTGTGGCAAACTTGTATTCAAAAAGGTCATTTTTGTTTTTCAGGTTTGAATTTGAGTAGATATCTCCAGTGTAGCCCCCTGAAACACAATTGAGCCAAACATTATGACACTACTTGACTTTGATTAAATGCAATTGCCCAAAACTTTTAAAAAAGTGAAAATGCATTACCAAATACAAACATGCTGCTTCCGTATACCACCGCAGAGTGGTGGTATCTGGGAGCCGGAGGAGTTCCAGTGGTGAAAGCTCTGTGAAATACATTAACTGGAGTTCAATCTTTTTTTGTTGTTGTTGTGATCTACACGTGTATTTCCTACAGATGCTGCAGCCTTACCGACACCAGGAGCAATCCTTCACGTCGAACCGAAGCAAATCATTCAGCATGTTCTTCCTGCGAGGTGGCAAAGAATTGTGAACTACTGTATGCGACCACACATGGAGGAAGGGGGGCTGTCCAATAATACTCACCCATTGTCTCCCCCAAACACGTAAATGGCATCCCTGTAGGCCACGACGGTGTGTTTGCTGCGCCTGTGTGGTGACACACGAGCCTCGGGGTGAGCATAAGCAAATATCTGAGAAAGCGTGGGGGACACCCGTGTCCGTACGTTACCTTGCGCCCACAAACTCATCACAGGGTGGGAGTCTCCTCCACCGGTGGACGGTCTCGAACGGGCCAAAGTTGAGCGTCAAATATTCCACACTGTCGGAGCAGCTGTGGTCGAAATCAACACTCGGGGCCACTTTGGTGGATTTGCAGGACATTTTTGCTAACTCATCCAGCCGCGTCCGTCGTCGGGGCCGGTCATTTCGCAGAAAGCTCCTCGGTTATCGGCACCGTCGACGGCAGTCTCCCAGCTCCCTTCTTCCGCTAACACGGCTGTGTCATTACAGTAGATTAAAAGTGGAGTCAGCTCTGGCTAAAGACAGAGGCTCCGCTCCACAGCTAGCTCTCGCAGCTAGCCGAGGCTAGTTAGCTTCGTGCTACCGCTAAGCTGCGAATTGAGAAGAAAAGTCCGCTAACAAGTGGACGGAAAGCAGCCACAGGGTATCTGCTCATGAGTTAGAATTGCTCCTGAAGTTAAGCAATTTCTGAATGTGTTTACAGAGCTAAACTAGCTACACAGGAGCTCTGCCATCATGATGATAGCCGAACACGCCCCCGTGAGACTGGAGGATGTTTCACTTCCTGTAAAGTTGGAAACTAGATGCAGGACGACCATTAGTCAGCTAATCAGTAGACAAAGCACCATGGAGTAATTAAGTTTCATAAGCCTTTTGCCAACAACTGTAAATGTAATATGTACAATAAGTTTGTATAACCAAGATTATGACCCTCATTGTGGCCTGTCAATTGGAGATATCTGAGGAATTGTAGGAAAAATAAGCAAATGCTGGTCCTAAAGCTGATCTGCTGCCACATGTAAATCATTTTCAGAAGGCCTCTGTTCCAGAAGTGAAAGCGATGTCCAAACAGAAGTTAATTAAAAATGAATATGAAGACGTACTTTACACAATGGTGGAGACATAGAGGTGTGCTAAAGAAAGTGTGTATGGTCTAGTGTGACATTTGCAGTCTGTTATTAATTTTTGGTTTGTTGTTTTGTTTAACATGTGTGGATCTGTACAGACATTATTGTAAGTTTGTATTATGTTAAAGGTTTATCGTTGTAAAGTGAGTAGAATAGAATAGAAAAAGAGTAAAATAAGTACGTCCCTTTTTCCTTTTATCATAACTGTTCCAATGTTGTTGTTTTCTAATTACATATTTGAAACGAACTATAAAACGAAAATAAATAAATATGTAAAAAATATTGGTAAATTCTTGGATATTCCAGTGCGATGTGAGCAACAAGATAATACTAATAACTTTGAATTTGATCATTGAGGATGATTTGTCAGTTTTAGCTGGCTGGAGGTGAGTAACAGGCCCTTTCCCTTTGATTGTATAATGTGCACCTTGTCCAAATGACCGCCTCCTTTGGATAACTACACTATTTAAAAGATTAAAAATGGATGGAATAGTGCATCCAAACTTTTGACTGGTATGGTAACTGGCAAACACACATCTCTCATTTGGTGATCAAATGTGAATTTTCTAACACTGATAAACAGAAGAGCTACAATTCCATTTTAAAATGTCTGCTGTTACAGAAGTGTGTACTAAACTCTTTGAACTTCATAGGTGATGTAAATGTCTCGTGATGTAAAACCCTCGCATATGAGAAAGCACATTTTAATGTTTGAAAATGGACATTTCAGCTGCATGAAGTAAACATGTTCAGCATTTGCAGCAAACTTTTCTTTATTCCAAGCTTCAGTCAGACTCTTTACAGTCAACCATCACATGTTACACAATTAATGAATTCCCCTGCTAAGGTCAAATTACCTTTAAACCCCCAAACTTTGGGCAGTCAGACATCTTGTCATCAAAATACATTTGTCATCACCAGTTAAGGATGTTCCGCACATGGCCCCACAGCTTGGTGATCCAAAGGTTCACCCCCAGTTCTGTGAGGTATTGGATCTCGGGGGTCAACATTTTACGGCACAACTTCCAATGTGCTTTGTCCACATTTTTCTTTAAGTTATAGCCCATGATAGATTTTTCCCCGATCGGTTGCCAGGGCTGCATGGCTGTCTCCTGAATGCTGCCAGCATCCACGGCGTGCCCCCCCTCAATGCAGATAGATGCCATCTTCCTGTTTCTCCTCCTAAGCTCTGCCACATCGTCAGCCATACGCTGCCGCCCATACGCATCTACTTTGTTCCAAAATGTTTGGTTGAAATGCCGATAGAGCTTCCAGTCAATTGCATTCCACTCTAGGGCCTTGGCCCTCAGCTCAGGAGTGAGTTTAGACACAGTGGATCCTTTGCGGGCGTTCAGCTTGAAGAAGAGCAAATCATCCATTTCCCAGCAGAGTGCATCTTTGAGCAGAATCAGTGATTCTTCAAAGTATTCCACCAGCATGACCAGCTGAAAACGCTCAGAGATGAATTTGATTCCTGCGTCTACCCGCGGGTCATCCAGCTGCAGAGTGTTGTCCTGTCCAAAGTCAAAGAACAGCAGGTTTCTGAGGTAGAAAGAATTAAAGCCCTCTGGATCAAAGTAGCTGTGGGGGTCACGCAGAAACTCAGCCAGCTTGTCATCACCTGCTATCTTCCAGGTTAGAGGCACCACCCGGCCGAAATAGTGGAAGGACGACTCGAAAAGCTCCGCGGGATCTCGCAGAATGGTGATGTAGGACGTGTCTGTGGGCAGCAGCTTTGCCACTTCAGGCGCGTTGAAACGCATGTGATTACAGATGATGTTGAAGCACATTCCAGATCTGTAGTCTTTAACCTGCGAGCGCTGGAACAGGGACGGATAGAAGAAGTCGTTCCTGCTGTCGGGGAAGGCAAATTTGAGCCGGTGTTTCTCTCCAAAGCGGAAAAGTATGTTGAGGAAGGTGCTGCTCGCTGTTTTGTGGGTTTTCATGAACATGATATCCACTTTAGGAGAACAGGAGCGTTCAGAGGGCTTCTGTGAACTATTTATGGGCTTTGTGGTGTGGAGCTGGGATGGACGGTGGGCACAAGAGTAAGGAACAGGGACCCTGTTGGGAGGAAAAAGAGAAATGGGTAAATGCTGAATAAACAAATGCAAAGTATTAAGTAGTATATAACCAAAAAGAGTACAAATGTTTTGTTCTTATTACTCACAATAAGAATATATTTCTAAATCAGATTCTCATTTTTTAAGCATTTGAGTTCCGGTCTTTGTGTGACTATAAGTTAAAGTTCTCTAATCTATTTGCAAATCGTCACATTCAGTTTCTGCTTACATGTTATTCAACATACAAACCTTTTTTTTTTTATTAAAAAAAATCTGACCCGCTTTATTTCTATATATCAATGTGTGTGCGGCAGCTTTTTTCTTCTTACTCGGGCACATGAAAGGGGATCTGTGGGGTGGACAGGCAGTAAAGCAGGATCGTACAGCTGGTCAGCAGTGTACCCAGGACCAGGCCTTTACACATCGACCTCCACTGCCTTCCTTGCTTGTTAGTCATGGTCCACCTGAATCAAACAAAACCTTAAAGAAAAAAACATATCTGTTCAACATGACTATTTTAATAATCCATCTTCATAAACCACATTTCTGCATTTTATACAGAAACCCTTTTTTCTATCAAATATGTTTCTTGCATGATACCAGATATTAAGCAGAGAGTTCTAAACACGACTACATGTTAAAAGATTAATAGATACTTGTTAATTTATTAGGAAAGTGACTCCGTACAGACTGTAACCCTGGATGTTCAGTGTTCGGAAGGATGGACATAAAGGCACGAAGACCTGGAATAAAAACTATGCACTGTTACAGCTGATGAGAGGGAAGAGTTAGTACAGCTATTAAGATATCAACATAACTTAATATTCAATTGATAGTTTTTAGAACTGGATTTTAGTCATATATAAAGAGATAAAACTGACAGAAAGATCAGAAAAAGTCACTCTGAGCTCAACTTATTTAATTCCCCATTGACAAGCTATTTAAGCTGAGTGCGCAAGCAAAATTATAGAGCGATCTTCAAAATGACACCCCTGTGACGAAAAATGGCAAACCTGGTGTTTCTCAGTTGCTCAAAGGAATAAATTATGCAGCAGCATGGAAAGTGATATAGTGTTCTCCATTCCAGACGGGGGTAAGATGAGCTACCTGCTTACTCAGCAACGGAGGCTACAAATGAATACTGGGCACCTGGAATTTGTGGCCTCATGTGATCTCGTGTTAGTCCAAAGGAGAGCAAGGGAAAGGAGATAAGGTGTGCATTTATTAGAAAAAAGTGACTGTATGTCCACAGTAAAAGTATTAGTAATGTGAGATTAAATCATTATTATCATTAGCTTGTTTCACTTTGGGATCTTTGTTTTGTTTTGAGAACTGTACTTGACCTCTAATCTACCGTTTGTGCCTTAACTACATTACTCATGATTGAGTCATGTATTTTGATGTACATCACATGATGTATTCCCAATAAAAAGGATGCAAGAAGGGAGGAAAGTTGAAAAGCGTTGGAGAGAGACTTTGGTTTCTGAGAGTGCTCTTCCCTTTGCGCAAAGTATCGGAAACCACAGAAGTTTGTCCGTGTCTGTTTTCTTCTTGTTGTAATGGTGTCTAAGGTTTTTAAACCTGACTAGTAGTCCTCGTTACTTCTTATCATGACTGGCAGAGGACTTCTGTTACATTTTTCAACCAGAAGCTCAAGACGTTTTCAAACCCTAGATAAAAAAAGACCAATACTGCAATGTGAAATCTCCCTCCTCTTTAAGTAAACGTATTGCTGAATCACGTGATAACAGAGTAACAAAAGCGTTAACTCTCCAGCAAAGTGGTCCCTGTTTACTCTACTTCGAAGCTGATCAAGGTCTGTCAAACGTGTATCAGGATCAATGTCAGAGTAAATGGTTTAATAATGATTAACACATAGAAACAAGTACATAAAATGTAGTCTGATTTTTTTCCCCCTCAAAAAAAGATTCTGGTTGCCACTGGCAGGAATTGAGCCTACTGTCATTCCCTCTTCTTTAAAATACTGATCAGTGGTGTGGGCGTGTTTGGGAATAATTCAATAAGCCTGCTTTAAATTCAATTTAACATTTATATTTAACAATTAACATTTAGATTTAGACTTAACATTTGAATGGCATTTAAATTTGATATTTGATTTGTGCTCACGTGTGTTTCTAATTGTCTCCAATGTGTGTAAAATGAGCTAAATGTGAAGATAATGAGCTAAATTCAGAAAATATGAGTGGAAAAACTGTTGTTTTTTTAACATTTGGCAGCCTGTAGTCAGGACAAAAAAAATATTGTGTGATTCGAACAAAGACTTAGAAAGAGACGGTTGGATTTAAGGCATGTGTGGTCACACGGTAACTCTAAAGATATAAGTATAATTTAATAGCACAGTAATACACACTCTCTGCACAAGAAAAGCTAAACCTGTTATTAGTCCATCTGTTTGCCTTGTTATTTTTAGCTTATCAGCTTTTCATTCAAATTCTTTTTGTCAATGTTCATCACTCTCTTAACATTCTAATCCTTTTTATTCCGCACTTTAATCAACAGAGTACCTCCATGACAGTAGATCGGTCTGAAAGACACTTACTGAATTAAGGTGAAATATTTATTTGAATATGTGGAGTGAAGTGGGTTAATTTCGTCTGCTGAAAATAAATTACACTGGATTAATAAAGAGATGTTACTTTGCTTGAGTTTCTTATTCTATTCCATTCTAAATATGGCTAGCTTTAGAAACAATGTCTAGGGTCTATTGCAGGGTCAGTTCTTGCAAATCTTACTCAAACATAATTAAATGGATCATCAACAGTATTACAAAGTATTCAATGAGCTATCGGATGAAATATGATTAAAAAGACAAGGATTTCTTACCCTTATGCATAAACACTAAGAAGAACTATCAGAAATGTCTCTTGTCCTACTGCATCGTGCCGTCCTTTTAGGTTCAGATGACCAGTACCAGTTAAGCTCCGTCCTCTGGTTTCTGATCTTGACATGCACATTCTGTTTAGGACTGAGCCCAGTCCCGCGCTCCTCTCCTCACATGTCCGGAGCAGCGGATCTCATTCATCTGTTGGCTCCCTCCTCCTCCTCCTCCTCCTCCTTCTCTCTGTGTGCACACCTGATGCTTGCCGTCTGCCCGCCTCCTCCTCCCTCAACTCCCAACTCCAAAACTGATCTCGGCAAATAAAACAAGTTGGAGGTTGGAGAGGGGGGGGGGGTTATCTACCCTTGTGTGACGTCAGGGCCCCTGTCAGGGGACATGCACTTGTCATTTAGTGTAAAAGAGGCGGGGAGGCAGAGCTGGAGGAGAGGAGGGAGGGGGAGGCCTGCATAGTCTGCTCTGTGTCTTCATACAGAGGGCTATTGAGAGTGGAAACTGAAGTTTGAGCTGCCGGCTGATAGGAGGGGTGGAAAAAAAACGGAATAAAAAGAACAAATGTAGAAACGCAAAGCATAAAGGCTCCAATTGTTCTAACTGATCAAGATCGGCTCTGTCCATTGTCTGAAAGGCTTATTTAGCAAGCTGTATATACACGGGGTAGGAAGAGAGTACACAACAACAAAGCTGCAAAATTAAAAGAACAAATGAGCAATTAGCTGAACAAATAAGCCCTGGAACCATTCTGTGGCTGTGTGAGGTATAAATGAATAAATATCTCATCCCATCCAACAAAAGTAGCCAGATCAACACAAGGAGGCGACATTATTGCTGTGATATAAACAAGATAGGCCACAAACCGAAACTTGTCCTTATTTTAATTCGTGTTACAGAAACCTGAGAGGAAAACGCCAGACATGACGGTGGAGAATGAAGACTCCCGTTTGAGTGTGGAGTCTATTTGGCTCTGCACAGCAGAATGTGTCAATATGTGGCCACAATGCCTTACCCGGCACAGTACAAACAATCTCCATCCCTCTTTACGCTGGGGCCTGGATGGCCAGAGGCTGCATTGATCAGAGCTGCTCTTTCCACACTTGTCATGCTGAAGCACACACAGCTGCTTTTGTTCCGGGTGGAGCGCCTTTTTGCCCACGGGGGCCCGGAGTGCCAGGCTGAGCCCCGGACTGGACGGGCACGCACGGAATGCTGATCTGGGTGTCAGGGGGGCCGCGAGCGTCGCAAATCAAAGCCAGGGAGCGCGGGGCACGGCCGGCCTGGCCTCTGACCCCCGGGGTCAGGGGCCAACCTCGGAGGGCAAAACGACAAACGCTCGTTCGTCATCAACGCCCACCGAAAGGCTGAACAATCGGCGCAGGCATTCAACAAGACGGCGGCAAGGCAGTGACCTCAGCCCCGGCCCAGATGTGAACTCCTCGGCCCAGCAGTGCATACCCGATTTGCATCCACACAAATCTGAAGGAGGTGACAGGCCGAGGGCATGAGGAGACCAATGGGCTGCTTGAATCCTAAGTAATCCCTGAATAAGGAGCCTCTACACGAGAAGTTACAATCTCGTTTGTATGTTCCGAGCACATCAACAATAAAACCACAGACTGAGTACACAGCTTTTAATTGAAAACAGATATTAAAATGCAATGGAAGGCATCTAGAATAGAAGTATTCATGCCAACAAATAGGGACATTAACTTTTACATCAGTAATTATACAAGTAGCAAATGCAAAGATCCTTTATTTCTGTATGAGACTATGTCAAAGACAACGTATGTACCCATGCTCCAAAAGCTTTAATGGCCCGTCAGATGTTACGTATTTTATACAGAAAGTCTCTCTGAATAGGACTAAAGAGTTATTTTCTGGTCTTCTTCTTCTTGACTTTTTCAGCATCGTCGTGGGCTTTTCTCTTGGCAGCGAGCTTGTTAGCCTGTTAATAATGGAATGCAGTTAATAAACTTGGTCATTGACACATTTTTTACACTGATGAACTTAAGGGGGTCATGGCCGGGTTTGTTTGTTCTTCACACAGCAGCTACACAATACTGAAACATTCCTAGGTCAAGGCAAGCCACTTTAACAAAAAAAACCCAGGGTTGAAAGTGTTTACCCAGCTAACAATCTTTATATACATATCAAAAATACAAAAACCCACCTCTCGGACTTTTCTTTTCTTTCCAAACATGATCTTGTCGTAGAGATACTTTTCCTTTCTCTTCATCATCATGATGGCCAAACGTTTTTCCTCTGCTTTCTCTTCCTGCGCCAAGCGTGCAGAATTTTCTGTCTTGACTTTTCCTGCCGTTACTTTGACTTGCAAAGACTGAAAAGAGAGGAAGGTCAAATGAAATTAAAAACTGCAGAAAAACTGGATGGCAAAAACTGGAAAAAAAAAAAGAAGGGATGCAAATTTTCTCACCTTCCCCTTGGATCTTTGCTCCTCCATCTTTTTCAGGTTAATCTCTTCATTTTCTTCCTCCTCTTCATCCCCCTCGTCATCATCTTCTTCGTCATCTTCCTCTCCCTCCTCTTCATCATCATCCTCTTCTTCCTGATCTTGAGCTTTGATGGGAAAATAGTTAATAGCAGATATTATAATAATAATTTATAATAATGAAATAAATCAAACATGATAAACTTCTTCTGGCTCTCTGTGAGTGCGTCCATCTGGTCCCTCCCCAGTCATTACTTCGAGCCATCAACACTCTCAAACTTTGTGCGAGGCGACACGCAAACTGGGCGCCCTGTGGGGCAAACTGGTGACGATATCTGACTGCATAAAGGAAATGGGCTCCTCTTTGGAGAAGCTGGAGGTTCAGATTGAGGGTAACTAACACGCTTCGGCTGAATTTGAACAGAGATTGTGAGACCTGCTGAGGACTTTAGGCGGACAAAACGTGTCCTGCCCGGGACAGAGTAATCTCTACTATCTCGATCTGGCTCATCGAGAGCGGCCTTGGAGCTGCTTTTCGGCAACTTTCACACTGAGGTTGTTTTTTTTTATTAATCCCTGCCCCAATGTTGAAGAATGTTGTAAGTCACAGATATCAGGACATTATGGATATTCACCAGTTTTTTCTCCTCGCTGTAAGGCCATTATCTTCAGTTTCTCTGGGGGTATGTAATCCCCATCCTTCTCCTCCACGAACGGAGACAAGTGAGGGGGAAGAGTCACTCCAAGGAAATAGTCTTCCACAGGTAAGAGGATTTTGGCATTGATGCAGTCGTACACCCACTGAGGCTGGATGTAGTACCTGAAAGGACAAGAGCAAAGGAAGCTGTTTGTCAAAGCTTTTCTGTTCTCCTAAAATATCCGGAGTAGACGGGAAGGTCAAAAATGAGGAGGGCCCGGTACAGAGACAAGACGAGTGAAAGGAGGCATTGTAAAGGATGCAGTAATGCAGAAGGAATGGAATAAGGGCATTTCCTGTTTTCAGGATTTGTACAAGAAATGTTGTGCACCAGATGCTTAAACAGCAACAGAATGTTAGAAAAGAGGGAAGCTACAACTGTTCTTTACCTGTTTATGAACTGTTTGTCAACAGTGGGTCTATCAACAATATGATGTGTGATGGTCTCGTCTGTCACATCATATTTGCTCCCAATGCAAACAGACTTGTCCCAGGACACCTCTCCACCAAAACACCTGCAAGGAAGCAGCACAGGAAGAAAATAAGGTTATGTTCATTTGCATTTCTCTTTATAAGTTCCGTGAGTTTGAATGTCCTTCTCACCGAATGACAAAAGCCAGAGACTCCCTGGGCACTTCTCGGTTGAGGAAGAACTTCAGCCCCTCAAAGACTTTTTTCTGCGCTTCCAGCTGTTTCTGTTCCTTTTCTCGAGCTTCCATCTTCTCCATGTCCTCCTGAAGAAAACAAGCGATGGGAAAAAGGAATTTTCTGGCTCTTAATGCTTTCACAACATCCCTTTTAGTGGTGACAGCCACTAAGCTTTGCAATGACTTTTCATTAGCAGGGTGTTAGGGTGCCGCACACACACAGAATGATGGAATCAAAACCGTTTAGGGAATTGTAACAGGTTTATCTTGTGTACCACATTTCAAACGTGAATGTTTCATGGGCAAATTCCAACTACTGGAATCTCTCCAAAACAATAATGTAATAGAACCCGAGTGCTTTTAATTACATATAGTTTGGCACTATTATACTCTGTGACATTGGAAGGCAGAGTAAAGAAGAATTTGTCTCCGACTGTTGACTTGTTGGTAATATTTAATAGTTCCCAGAAAGCTTGTACGTGTCTGTGGAAAGTCCCCGTGGTCCATTTTTAAATCAAATGGGAGAACATCATTCTCTGGTGAGGTACAACTCGACTGTAGCAACCACACAAAGCTGTAACTCCCCAGTCACATACCTCCAGAGCTCTGTCTCTTTGGACAACCGAAATGTAACTTTTCTCACCTCTGCCTTCAGAGATTAATTAAATGGGTTTTGCATCAATACCTGCTCTGCCCTACTCGCCTCGGCTTGATTTGTCTGTTTTTTTTCAGCATTTTTCAAGTATAGGTGAATTATAAAGGTTTCTTACGCTATCGGCAGGAAACTGGTCAAGTTCAGCCTCCTCTTCCTCTCCTGGTGATACAACACGAGCCAGACTGGAACTCAGAGCTGACAGTTTCTGCCCAGGGAGAAAGAAACAGTCTTTTCATTATTCATACATTACCTTGTAAGAATGCATTTTAGACGCAGTGAATAACCTCTCAAAACCTACATCACCGTTTAATTTAAATGTATTCAATTTATTTAGAGCTTGTAAAATGTCAGTAGCTTTATAAACCAAATTTCACTCACCTTATTATAGACAGCTAGGTATAAAAAATAACTTTAATAAGCCAAATGCAGGGCAATTAGTCAGAGGTGGTGACACTTACCTCCGAGTAGCTCTCTGAACTCATGGCATAGTCCTCCTCATCTTCATCCTTCAGTTCAGATTCTGTTTTGCCATCCAGCTACAAGAGCAAAGATGTTAGCTGGGAACTCAGGGGTAAAGACTTGACCAGACGTTCAAAAATGTCTTGGGAAAAGACAGAAATTTCGTTTGAACATTCGGAATCTGACAAACCTTTGGTGGGTAGACCAAGTTGAGGGAATGGTAGAGCCTGAAGTTGACAAACCCCAAAAGAGTCGTATAAAACTCTGTGAAAGTGGCCATTACTCTGTAATCCACATCTGTTGGGTGCTGTAAGAACAAAGATCAATGATTGCAACAAAAAAAAGATATGTTTCTTGCCCCGAGACCCTGCAATGGAATGAGTGTTATAGCAAATGGATGGATGGAATTTTACTGGTCAAAATGAGTGGAACATTTTGGCAAGCAGCCATTAAAATGCATCCTGAATAGCATGAGCTTTTGGAAACATAACATGGCCAAAGTAGGTTTATTGTAATGAAAGTGACAAGGATGTTTTTATCAAGTTATCTATTTATTTCAGTTTTCCGTTTTGTTATGAGGCATCTTATTTCATACACACATCTCTTAGCACTGTGTCATTGTTTTGTGCATCTCATACCTGCCAATTACATAGATCTGTGCAGAATTGTGTGTATTCTGATAGTACTACAGGTGGAACTATGTTGTACTTCTGTTGTATACAGTACAACCTGAATCGAAAGATTTTGAAAGTGCATCTTGAAAACATTTATTCCGAATGACTTGTATGTGTTTGACAGCACTGTTGTTCGTTTACTTGGGTCTTGATTTTCAAAGAGCTGTGGCAGGCTTTATTTGTAATCCCAGAGTAATAAAAAGACTTAATTAGAAAAATCCCTGTTGACTCAGTGAATCTGTACTTACATCATGTGAGAACTGGTATGGCACCAGCCATGTAATGAGCTGCCCCATCACCTCAGCTTGATAATATATTCCCTTGATGGAGATGAAAACCTGTCAGGGGCAGACAACCAATTGAGTTCATTACAGGGTACAAGTGAACTCACAAAGTCACACAATGAGCCCGTGAGTAGTGTTTTCCTTTGTAAGATATTGTGCTGTGTAAACTTGTACCTTTCTAAGAGCACGGGCTGTAATAACATAGTTCATCCACTCCACGGTGAGGCGCCTGCACAGCTGGATTGTCTGCACATGGCACTTTCCTGTCCTGGCGAACGTTGAGAAAAGGAAGCACATGCAGAGAGCATCATCGATGTCACGGAGGGCATCAATGAAGGAGGGGTACCTGCAACATCAAGGAGCACCAGGAAGAATGAACAGTTTGCAATAAGATCTTTTCAATCTCACACCTTAAAAATGGTACCAATTACTACCATGCAATTGTTTCTGTGAAGAAATTCTCCAAACATCTTATATGATGCTGAGAAAAATCTATTAAGTTCAACAGCACTCTCTTATGCTATGGAAGGGAAAATAACAATCTCACCTTTCTTTGATGATGTGGTCCAATTTGTAGGTGGGCTTGTTTTCTCTTAGTCTTTCCACTGCTGACCACTCTGTTTTTCCATAAGCCTTCTTTAGTTTACGTACAAATATCTGTTAGTGGGAAACAAGAAGGTCGTTGGACTGTGTTCATACTTGAATCTGTTTTTTTCTTATAAAAAAAAGTAAACAAGATTTCTGAATTAAAAATAAAACAAATTAAACAAAGACACTTATGAATTTAAATATTTTCAAAACTAAATATAAAATTATATTAAAATGAAATTGAGCAATAATTACATTGATAATGAAAAAAATTAAATGAAACAAGCAAAACCAGTTACTATCTTTTGAAAAAATACCTTGTACTCTCTGAACTTCCCAACAATTGGCTCATGCAACAGGAAGCGGATGTCTTTGAGCAGGTAGAAGGTCCTTGGAGCGGTGGAGCCTTTATTGACTTTCTTCTTGTGTTTTGGCTCGTGGGGATAGATACCTTTAAGGATACATAATCGTCTGGAAATCAGACAAACAATTTGTTACTGGGTATCCAAATGTGGAGCTCCATGAAAAATCAAGGCTATTGAGAGCTAATATACGAAACAAAAAATATTTCATGACCTACTCACATCGCCGAAGTAAAAACAAAAAACACAAAAAGTAGTATTTTTGTTCAATTGTAGGTGATGAAGTAAATTAGTTTAGACAACTTTTAGATTTTGCGAAAGAGTCACCACCTACTTATTTTACAGATAATTTTCACAAGATGAAAACTTGCACTTCAATACTTTCTATTACAGTTTCTTATACTTTGTTTAACACCTGGGTCGAGGTGATGATTAGAATTTCAAATCTCCATCAATAGCATAGGCAACAAAATCCTTCAAATTCACTTGAATGCCGCTTTTCATCTTTAAACAATTATTAGAACACACCCTATTGTGTCGTATAACAACGTGCACCAGCAAAGTACAGTCCCGTTTCAATCTTTTTAGAAATGTTTTTTTTACCTGAAATCCGGGAGGCTCAACATGAGCTTCTTGCGGGCTCTGTTTCTTGTGATGTAGTTGGTGGCAGAGCCCCTCTCAAACTGTAAAAGACGTGCACACGATCATTATAAGCTAATATAAACAACTTACCTCATTGTTATTTTACCAAAATCCTTCTGGAGTAAATCTACATTCAACGGACTCCACTGTATCACAAAAAACAAACTCCAGCTAGCTCTATGAGCTAACAACCTAGCTTGGTAACTCTTGTATTTCTGTCCTTTAACCTAACTTTTACGGTACATCAACTCTTACCTTTTTCTTTTGAACCCCTCCCATTGATGTATGATTACAAAACTGTTCAAACTAGTAAAGGGGAACTGACTTATCCAGAATAATTAAGCTATTCACAGCTGAGCACCACATCCAGTTGCATGCACGTGTTGTTTGACATGCGCCGGGGAGTTGTGTTGAGGAGCAATGTGGACCCTGAGGTGCCCGTTTTTCTGCCTGTTTACAATATATTTGTGATCATGTTTGTGATAGTGAATAAAAAATGAAACCATGTTGCGGGTTTCATTGTGGTTATTTCCTGTAACAAGATTCAGTCATAAACGGACACCTCTACGATAAGTGAACAAAAGCTTTCAATTTCTTGTTTTCCCTCTTATACAGAAGCAATATATGAACAATAACTATTATTTAGGTCATTTTTTCATCTTCTTTCTACTGACATTTCTAGAAAAAACAGAACATTATATCTAAAATGTAAATGCTATAAAAACAGAAATTACCAAGCGTCCTAAAAGACATGCACTTTTATTAAAACATCTAAAGTAAAAGTAAGCTCTTGTGCATAACTTTAAGCACTTAATTTACAATACTTATTTGTCTGATTCTGCATAAACAAAATAATATTGATCATGTATTAGCTCCACCCCCTAGTCCTCTCTCACACTCACTGATACCAAGGATGTCTGAGCTATATGCCTTCTGAAACAGAGCAGCAGTAGACAGCGAGAATATGGAAATAATGTAGAGGCAGAGATAGACATTGACTTCAGCACATCTTTGAAAATGAGTGAGGCATTCTATACCATCGTCATGGGGCTGCGTGGCTTTATAAAGGAGTACTTTCACAGTTTCTGGGACTATGAGACCCCCAAGGTGATGGTGGTAAAAAACAGGACTCTTGGAGTCATTTACAGGGCTGTTCAGTTTCTTGTGATTACATATTTCATCTGGTAAGTGATAAGTGTGTTTGTGCAATTGCATGATCAATATGGTTCTATGAGATTATACTTCATATTAGAGTTGATCACAATTGATTTGTGTGTATAAGATTATAATTGTTAAAAGAAAATTCAGCTGTAATCATTTATTGAGAAATGTACCTTTTAATGGAAAACTGTAACTAAAACTAAACATAGGATGTGTACAGATCTAATGATTCATGTAAGTATTTCAGAGCATGATCATTTTTTTTACTTTAGGTGACTTTGATTGAAGTGCATCATCTTCATTTTATGTCTTCAGCAAAGAGTGCTGAACAGATCCTGAGTAACACGATACCTCCAATGCAATTTCACATTACGGTAGAAAATGTGATGATACTTCTGTCTGTTCTATCATCCACTAAGGTATGTCTTTATAAGTCAAAAAGCATACCAAGAGACAGAATCCCGTCCAGATAGCTCTGTTTATACTCGTATGAAAGGCACGGCAGTCCATGGAGATGATATCCTGGACACTGTGGAGTACGCCCGGCCCTCAGAGGTGAGCCGAGAATAAATTATTCATTGTCTTTGAAACACTCCAACCAAATCATATCCTTTATCTCTATGCTTGAATGTAAATAATTTTGTAACCTTTCCTTTTAGGGTGGTGATGTTATCAGTACGTTACTCAGAAGAGAGTTCACTTATGATCAGCGGCAAGGCACCTGTGCTGAGGTTAGAGGTCAATCAAGTTCCCCTTCAGCAATAACAGCATGAGTATGCATAAAGCAGCGGGTACACAGATGCTTCCATCCTCCCATGACTAACCTCAGCCTTTTCGCTTTTCAGTATTTCAACGTTCCCAATGCCAACTGTACGACGGACTCTGACTGCGTCGAGGGGGAAGTTGACTTTGAAGGCCATGGTACAGTTGTGACATCTTGTATCATCTTTCCATACACCTGTTTGGCTGGTATTCGCCAGGCCTTTTCTCTAATTCAGACACTTTGTTTTTACAGGTAGGCGGACTGGGAGGTGTATTCAGTACTACAATCACACTTTCAAAACCTGTGAGATCCAAAGCTGGTGTCCTATTGAGGAGTATGCTGTAGTACGGTAAGACAGATAGATATATAATGTAATCTATCCCAGCCGACCTGTCCCAGAGGTGGGGTACACTCTGGACAGATGTATCACAGGGCCACACAGAGACAAACAACCACACACATTCACATTCACTCCAAGTTTTGATAAGGAAAAAATGTCACCATAAACAATATGACATAAAAATGTGTAACAAAGCAATAAGGATTCCATCATACTTGCGGTTGAATTAATCGTCGACTTCTAAGATGATTCTACTCAGTTAGATTTTGTTTTTTACTAATTAACTTTTGATAAAATACAGTCTATTACAGGTTTGTGAATAGTAGTGGTAGAAGGAGGATTCACCTATTCAATTACGAGGAGAAAGTGCACTCCGGACAAAAAGCTGATTTTACAGGCGATGCATATCCAGAGCTTTAGTTATTTGAGTTAACAGGGCCCTGTGGTGATTCTCATGATAAAGCACAGTTGTCTTCAACAGAGAACCACCCCTTGTAGAAGCCATCAATTTCACTGTGTTCATCAGGAATTCTATCCACTTCCCCAAATTCAAAGTTCTGAGGTAAAGTATTACTTAACCAGCCAATGCCATTGGGTTAGAGATTTTTATGAATGATCATATTCTTCTCTTTTTCAGGGGAAATATAAAGAGAGCAGATTATAGGAAAACAAAGAGATACTTAAACAAGTGTCATTATCATGAGGACACAGAACCCTACTGTCCAAACTTCCGTCTTGGTTACATCGCAAATAAAGCCAGGGAAAATTTTACTGAGCTCTGCAGAACTGTGAGTATGAGCTTTATTGCTTTTCAGCTGGCTGAATTGATCTCTTTGATTTATGGTTCCATTTCATTATTCATTCAGGTTATTATCTCTGTTGATAATATGAATTAATTCAAATGGGAGTTAATTCTGTGACGTAAACAAAGTACGAGATATTTTTAGACATTCTATGTATTTGGAAAATCCCCTGAGAACATTGAAGATTGTTATTTGTTATTCGTAAGATATTGAGACACTAACACCCTTAAAAATTGAAACATTTCTTGGCATACTTTTTTTGCCTGTTTGCTTGAGCTAAACAGGGACCTTAAGACAGCAACAAGCAGTCTACTATATCAGCAAAAAGCTGCTCAATCTCAGTAAGGTACTGTTCATTATTAGATAATAAAGAGATAATTAGGCTGAGCTTTAATGGATGTTCTGTTCGGATTATATTCATTCACTGTTTCAGTTGTACACTGCAACTGGTTTATTTCTTTGTAGGCAACTCTTTAAAAAATAACTGTTATGTCAGTTCTATTCCTAGGCCATGTTGTTAGAATGGGATAATCAGTTGTTCCTTTTCGCTTTGCCTGACTATTTGAATAAATCCCACATTCACTCATACAAACAGGTCAAGTTCTTTTTAGTTAATGATATGTGACATGCTCAAATATTCTATCTTTATCTTAGTCCTGACAGTTGAAGCAATGCTTGGGAGGACTTTTTTTTCTCAAGACAGAATTTAAGCAGTTATGTCCAACCCTTGTTTAGCAGCTTTCTGTCTTGAATTGTCTTAATTTTTGTTTTGATTCTCTGAAACTCTACCTCAAACTTCAGTCTCTGCTGCTTTCTTTTTGATATAACAACTAAGCAACAAAGAAGGGTAATAACAAAAGAAATGTAAGATAACGGCACAGTATACTGAGTAAAAAGGTACTGCTTGACATATTCGCCATGCCGTACAGGGAGGAGTGATTGGGGTTTTCATCAACTGGGACTGTAATTTGGATCTGGATCCTTCTCACTGTAAACCAACATATTCATTCCGTCGTCTCGATCTCCGAAAAGACGAGGACAATTCTGGCTACTATTACAGGTGAGTCCCAAAGTAATGACTTAGACAATATTTTTTTTGTACATTTATTTTCCCTCAGGTCTTAAGAAAAGTGTAACTGTTATCATTACGTGATTGTCCAGGTTTGCAAAATATTACAATAAGAATGGAGTAGAGTCTAGGACACTCATCAAAGCCTACGGCATTCGACTAGACATCATAGTCCACGGACAAGTAAAAATACTTTCTTTCTTTTATTCTATGATAATAGTTGTGGTCATTACATAAGATATTGTTTAACTTCTCTGCAGGCTGGTAAATTTAGTCCCATTCCAACCATCATCAGCACAGTGACAGCTCTGACCTCAGTCGGGATTGTGAGTAATGACTACATGGCATTTTGTACTTTTGTAGAAGTTGATGTGACAAGTGTTCACTAAAAGCTACTTAGTCATTTTTGCTTCTGTTTTGTACCCTGTAGTGTAGCATCATCTGTGACTGGATCATGCTGACATTCATTGACAAGAATGAAGTCTATAGTGATAGAAAGTTTGATGAAGTGAGTAAAAAGCATTATATTTTCAGCCTTCCCTGTTTTTGAAAGGTTTAAAAGTTTATGCAAAGCCGAAATTAGATCAATTCTAAAGACTTTCAAGAAATAATTCAATCCGAGTATATGTTTTAAAAAAATGTTCACAAAGTCAGCGTTTATACTCATATTTTGAGAAATACTTGTATATTCATCTGTTGTTACCTCTCTAAGGAAGCTCTGATTGTATTTGCAGGTGATTAAGGAGCCCATCGAACACATTCCCACCGAGCTGAGCTACATCAGCAGCTTTGGCTCAAACCATTCAGACCTGTCAGAAGGTGTACCGCTCTGATGTGTGCACAGTCGCTTTAGAGATCCACTGCAGCATACATCAAATCAAATGATGGCAACAGGTGATGGAACCACTGCGCTCTGCTGTGGTCTGAGGGCGTAAACCACATGCCCAAGGGATAGCTTCTGAAAAACAGCTACCGTATTTCTCTGTTTGTAGCTCAATACACAGCAGGTTCAATTCATGTCACATCAAACTTTCATGGACCTTCGATGTTCACTGTGGAATGAAACCTGCTTCTCTCTAACTTTACCATATGCCATATAAAGAATGTGTTTATTTTCTCAGGATGAAAAAGCAATTTCATAGCAGAAGAATACGATTTACAAACTATACTGTATTGCAAACATCCAATCCACATAAATTCAATAAATGTCTTCTGTTAACTCATGTCACAATGTTTCTATGACAGCATTTGCGGAATTCAAAATTATTTAGCTTTCAAAATATGTACAAAATCTGAACTCTCTTTTAAGAAAGTAAATATGTTGATTCATTTTACTCCTTTCACCTGAAGCCTTGACAGAGGTTTAGGCAGCATAATGAGAAGATACAGGAGGAAAGGAAATACTGTGAGGAAACGCATAAGGAGAGCAATGAACAGTAATCGAATAATGCAGACAGTTCCCATAAAATGGTTTCTCTAACAAGATTATGAGAGAGTGTGAATCCATCTGTTTGCCAGAGAGCATTACCAATGTCAGCGGTGACATAAGCTTTTGGATCTGTTTGCCAAGCTCGACAGAGAGATTTATGATTTAAAATGATGTTTTATATCAAAAGAAGGGAAACTGAAGTTGATGTAACAAAGTGTTTTTTTTTATTCAACAGAAAAAATATTAAAACATTTACCTCAAGCCAGTAAGTGCTGCTATTTCCCTCCTGCACCAACCCAGAACCAATCAAATTACACATTTGTTCAATACCAGAAATGTGATAATTTATGTGGGAAACAACCATCAGCAGACGGAGCGGGCCCCCTGCACAACACGGTGTGTGGATTTAAACCCTGTGGTGCAAACCTACCACACTTACAATATCCATACTATTATTGGAAAATAATCAGGAGAACACAAACAACCAGAAAGTCCTGAAAAACTAAGCAGTCTCAACAGCTTAATCTCAATATCACGAGGTTAGAAACATCCAGCAGGCGTTTCACTGCTAGCTGCATAAAAGCCACAAACCTTACAGGATTCCAGGGTAATGGGAAATATCAACCAAGCCTCCAGAGAATATGGCACATGGGGAAGTTCACGTCCCTGCTTTGTGGTAGAACTGTGCTCCACATGACAGGAACTCAAACACTTCGCAACGGTAGGCATAATTTCTTTATTTAAGGTCAGAAATTCAGATATTCATACAACGTGTTGCTAAAAATTGGTAAAAGCAGGTTCAAACATATATACAGTGCACACATTCTCCTCCTGCCTGCCTCATAAGTGTTCTCATTACATGAGCTCACACTCCACACAGACAATACGGCTACAAGAACGCATTAAGTTTCAGCGCTGAGTGATTCTCTGATGCAGCACAGGAAGCCTGAGGATCCTCTTGTCGCATGTCACATTCACTAAGTGCTCTGGCTGATCTGAGGGCTCATGAGCACCAGCCAATTGATGGTCTCCTCCAGGAATCTCATATTGTAGTGGGACGCTATGCTCCGAAACACAGTGATCTGCTCAGAGAAGCTCTTTGAATAGAAAGGAGAAGAAAGCAGAGTAAAAAAGAATCCATTATATGTTTCTATCTCTAAACTAAGTCACATTATGTGACATTATGTGTTATTTAAGTTTAAGAAAAAAAACCTTGGCTGAGAAAGTGAGGTCGAAGTCTCCTGCACATCCACAGTAGAGGGACATATTTGCTTCTTTAACCCCCTTGCATTTGTTACACACCTTAAAGTCACAGAAAGAGGAGCATTTCAGTCAAATTCTTTAACAAAAAAACAGGACAGGTTAGAAATCTGTACTTTACATACTGTTTACATTACTAAGCTTACCAATGAGATCCAATGCAGCAACTCTGTCATAAAATACACTTTAGCAACATCTTTGTTGATTCTTCTAATCCTCATTCACTTTAATCAGCATTAAATGATCAAATTGTTCAAATGTCATTATCAAAAAAGTAAAAGCAAAACCACTGAGAGGAGGTTTTTAAATCAAGTGTGTGTGTATTATCCTGACTATACTTGAAACAAACATTAGAGAGCAGGGAATAATCCTAATGACTTAACATTTAGCCTCATTCTCACACAAAACAGACCAATGTTTGCTATGACTTTTGTCTTTTCCAGAGAGGAGCAAATGTAAAGGACCATCAACAGCATACACGACTAAGAACATCCCAAAACTTCAAGACCCCAAGACTGCCCCCTAGAGGCATGGATCACGTCTTGGCTCACAGCACATATTTTGTTAAGAGCTGTGTGTTTACTCACCAGGTCCTGCAGTGTGTAACTCATGAGTTTTTTCTGCAGTGCATCTACCAGAGCCATCTCAATAGACTCCGTCTCATACTGCGCCTGGCAGTTTGAGCAGAACCACTGAGGCAACACAGATCCGTCCTGAGGAAACAGCACAGTTCACCCCCCCTCAGATCTTTTCATTTCAGTAGAGGACCTTTTGAAATGTTGAAGCTGTTCGTACACGCTGTATCATACCTGTGCCACTGATGGGTCCTTGCAAAGGTCGAGGTCCCTGCAGAAGTTACAGTGGTGGCAGATGACCTCCGGTAGGATGTAGGAGTTACACGGGTCCCGGAACTGGGCTTGCTCGGAAAACTCTCCAACATCCACCAGTCGCAGGAGGTCTCTCTTCAGCTTGTTCACTTGATTCATAATGTTGGCGTCCAGTGAAAGAACCTTCAAATAGGGAGAAACATGAAGAAGTGGTGCCTCTGTTGTGACCCAACTACTGAAGCTGGGCCTCATACAGCGGCACTTCTCAGCATACCTGGCAGACATATTTAATAAACTCCAGTGCTGGGTTGTTGAGAGCCAGATGTGACCCGGGCAGGACGGGGAACATCTCTGAGGCCTGAGTCACGTTCCTGGTCCCGGTCACCTTTTTCTGGATTTTCTGAGTGATGGTGAAAATGTTCTGTGTCAGCTCGCTGGCCACGTATTCCTGGGAGAAAGTGATCATTCCTGTGAAAGAAAGAGCATTGAGAGCATGAACGCTTGGCTTGTGGAGAGCCGACTGGTGTTAAATGCAGTTCCAGAGAAAATAAACTGGCTGCGGACTCCAAAACCGCATCTCACCAGGAAGTGAACTCGGGTCTCCGAGCGCCTGCTGGGAAGCCTGGCTGCCTCCACGTCTTTTGACGGGGGTTGCTCCGGGAGTGTTGCGTCTCAGCTCCTCTTTCATGCTGTGGTACACTGCAGCAATGTATGCTGCCATAGGGAGGCCGGGTTAAGACGTTAAAGATGAACAAACCCAGAGAAACGGATACGTTTAGTGTTCGTCTCCCCACCTGAGACGATCATTAGGAAGTATTTCTGACAGGAGGCTGCCTGGGGGAGATATTGCATGATATTCCAGTTGCTTTCGATGAGCTCCTCCACCTCATCAGTCTCTCCATCTCCATCGTCTTCTTCACCATTGTCCTCCTCTTCATCCTCGCTGCCATCTTCATCTCCCTCCCCTTGCCCCTTTTTCTTCCGTTTGTCGCTCTCCTTTCAACAGAAAACATGGTGGGTGAGAAGGCACCGTGTACATAAATCTTTTTTTTTTTTTTTCCACTCATAAATTCACTAATGGGAAGTTTTGCTTGGCTGTACCTCTCCGTACAAGACGCTGGAGGGCAGTTTCCCTTTCACACCACCATTGTTGGCTGGGTCCATCCACATCAGAAACTCCCAACATTGGGAGAAGGAGATGGACAGAGAGTGGAAGATTTCTCTAGAGTGTATACTGGAATTGAAATAGAAAGGGCAGTTTGTTAAAGAGCATGTAAATGTCGTACAAACACTGCGGCTCATTTCAGGCCCACAGCGTGAAGCTTCTGCAACGATGAACTGGAATTCTTATAATGTGTTTATCAATTCCTTCCATTAGTGTAATGAGCGTAGCTCTTTTTAGTTCCATTCAACCAACATCAATTTCTTTAATGGAAACGCCAAAAAGATGTGTGGGTTCAACAACAGTTAATGTGTTTTCCTCGTTTCAGCTCTTGTTTCGGTTTTGGCTCTTGCTGTTAGCTGAGCTGTTTATGAAGCAATACATTTTTAATAAAATATCACAAGTGATCAATGCACATACAGTACAGATGTAATCTGACCTGTTGGTGATGTATTCCACATAGGCAATCGCATCGTCTATCCTGCGTTTTTTAGTACACAAGATGATTCTGTTAAAGTTTCCGTACACCACAGTTGAGCCGAGACGTTTAAACTCTGCGACCAACCTAACAAAAAGAAATAAAAAAGGTTGGCAAAATGGCAAATGGCAAAAAAGCAGAAGAACCATCAGTCTTTATAATCACAGGCTGCATTATTCAAATAGACAATAGTGTTGAGAAATAACACAACACAGAAGAAAAGGAACCAATCCCTTTTGTATGATGAGGCCAATGCCAACCTGTCGTTGTGACCTTTTTAAAAATAGAGCTTCTGAGATGTGACCGAGTACATTTTGAAAACGTTTGAACTAAAAGTGATTTTTCTTACTGGAGGAACACCTTCTTCATCATGTTGTGCAGAATGCGATGCAACGCTGGGTCGTACAGCAGAGAGCTCGGAGAGCGCAGCCACCGGTAGAAATGCATGACTTGGTTATCTGCATACACGTTGTGGTACTGTGTGATCTCCCTGACCCATCCCACCACCATGCTCTTTAAGATCCTGCCCAGGAAAGACAGAAACCACAGAAGCTTGAAAATAGCTTAAACCACATCCTGCTTTGTAGTTTTCCAGACATTTCTTAGTGGGCATTAATGGCTCGCACCACATTTGGTTACACACCTGAATGTGTTAGAGCAGAGAGCCGTCTCGTCATAACTAGCCAGAGCACTTGCACCCTGATTCCCCGACATCATGTCCTCCAGTGAGGCCTGCTGGATGACATCAAAGCTGACACCAAGGCTGGCTCCGCCCTCCATGTCGTTGACGTGCTGCGACTGGAGGATGGTGTTCACCGCCAGGCTCTGCAAGTCCAACTCTACACATACTGAAAAAGACACATCAAATACAGAAATTAAGGAACTCACACTTTTAAAAAAAAAGTATGTTCTGAGAGAGCCTGGTGTTTTTTTTATGTACCTGTGGAATAACATCCTTGTGCATTAATTTCCACAGAGCCTCTGTCGTCGCTTTCCATAACCAGACGACTGTCATCCGCTTCTTTTCCTCCAAGGTCTGGCCTGGCCGTGGGTGAAAGCCATAGCAGGTGGTTGTGTTTCCGTAGATGTCTGGCTAGAAACAGGTCCGAGCCAAAGGTGGACACATCCTGGGGCAAGTTCCCCACTGGTAAGTGGTAATACCTGAAAGTGGGAGCCGAAAGGTTTAAATCATTTCAACAACTGTGCAGTGGGAACAAGAAGGCAAGTTTGCGGAGGGGGAGGTGAACTGTTCCCACCTGGCCATGTCAAAAGCCTGAGACAGGCAGCTGTCCAGGTTGAGATAGTGTCGGATCATGCGGCGGGCACCATGGCGTTGCCAGTCCAGCACGTTATAGCTGATCTCATCCACCACGTGCACCGGAACGACGGGGAACTCCTCAAGCACCGGCATCCCTGCTGTCAGTCGCCTCAACTCCCAGTTTGACTGCACAGCGATGAGGGTGGGTCCACGTCGCTCCTCCTGTAAACAGCAACCCGTCACAGTGAACACAGTCTCCTGATTTGGTGCATTTCAGATTTTCGCAGCAAGCCAAGAAACTGGCTATGGAGTTATTTATACTTCTATAGTGTATGTATAAAAAAAGTTAAAGACAAACAAGACTTTTCTTCAGTGCTGTGGGAACAAAGTGCTGTACCTTGTAATTCAGCAGGATGCGCTGCAGGGCGCGGGAGATGGCCTTCATGTCGTTTTCAGCCCGAATCTCAAAAGTGTGTTTCTCTGGGGGCAACAGCTCTTCTGTGGTCTTCTCGAGGAGCGCGGTTCGCTCAGCGGTGTAGAGGTTACTCAGGTTGGGCATCTGGTTGCTTCTAACCTAAAAGTGAGAAAGTGTCACCACGATCCCTGCAGCCGAAAAGCAAAGCACTCCAAGAAGAAATATGAAAGAAAAAAATGACAGCACAAGAACGTTAGGACGAGATGTGCCGTTCTTACTGTGTCCAGGACGAAGATGTTTGCTTTCCGTTGGGAGGGGATGAACAGGCCGAACAAAGCCTTGTGGCCCTGGCTGTGATGATACAGGTACATGTGGCGAACACTCCCTGAGAAGACAATAATTGTTACATACTGAAATAGTCACATGCAAGTTATCAGGTTATTTACCCATAAATGAGCACAGTCAATTTGGGAGACAAGGAAACGAAACATATTACGAACTGACTTCTTTAAACGGGTCTTACCAGGCTCCAGGTAGCTGAACTGGGCCAGAGACCTCATCTCAAGATGCTCCAGGTCGAAGGTGTCAGCCTCCCTGCCAGCCAGATCCCTCACGACGTGTTTGTTGACCATACACATGCATCCGAGCTGCACCAGTGCACGGAACAGCAGAGGGACCTGAAAGGGGAAAAAGGCGAGAGGAACTTCCTAAATGCAGAATCAAGCTCACAACAATATCCACATTAAAAAACAAAAACACTTAATTTAATGCCATGTAATTCATGCTAGACCAGACACACACAGAACCTTCTGTGTGATGTTATAACGACACTTGGAAGGACTAGTAACCTGAGTTTCGTAGACGCCTTCGATGTCCGGCGCAGAGAGGTCAGCGTTGATCTCGTTGATGTGCTCCTGGTACATGTCCTCAGGCACAGAGTACTCATACAGGTAGTACGCCACGTTGGAGCGAGGCAGCATGCGGTTCACCTGAAGTCACACGGACAATTCGTATTTGCCAACCTTTTTAAGTCGGCTGCATAACATCTTCTAACTGAGCACCTTTTTGTATGTGGCTCCCTCCTCTTGTTTTGGCACTCTCTGGTTGACGTAGAAGACACGTGCGATGTTGAGTTTCATGCAGTGGAGGTCATTTCCAATAACCGCCCACAGCTTGTACAGACCAGGGTGACTTGTCTCTGCAATCTGAGGCAGAAAATGTAATCAATCCCACATTTCATACCAAACGGTTTGGATTTTTCCTTTTTTGAATGGATGAAATAAAGCGGGGGAATTTGTCTTACCTGCACAATCTGCCACGGCATGTCCAGGATGCTGCGCGCTGTCCTGCGGAGAAAGCCCCCCAGGCCGGTGGTGGGGCCATCTCTGATCACGCCTCCGCCGACGGGCTGCGCTTCACCATCCAGCAACTTCCTCCTCTTCTTTCTCTCCTTCCGTTGCCTGAGCTGCAGCTCCCACTTTTTCTTATGGTAGCGAAGCCACACCAGACGCTCCTCCTTCATGACAACAGAGATGTTGACAACAGGGCTTTTTCACAGTATGTGAAAAAGAATAGAGAAAAGAGATGCTTTGAAATCACTGTTTTTCTCACCCGTGTTGCCCCCATAGGAGGGGGAGGTCCAAGGATTTCTCTCCAGGACTGTGTGAGCTCGACGTCCTGAGACTCCACCTGGCTGTCGTCTCCCTGCGAGGCTCGCTTTCTCTTGGTGCTGATGAGGATGGCTGGCTGCAGAGGTCTGGCAGCCATCCCAAAGTCCTCAATGTCTGCAGCTTGGCCGGCTTCAAGAGGCTGATGGGCCACCTGAGGAACAAAAATAATAATAAGTGTACGATGCAGATGACTGGTGAGAGGGTTAGTGGTGGCAGACGCTGCGTTTTAACCCCAAACTCCAGTCATCCTACCTGCCTCTTGCCCTCGCTGGTAAACAGCTCACTAATTTTCTTTTGTTTGTAGATGTCATTTTTCTCCAGGAGTTTCTTGTGAAGCCAGTCAGGATGCCTCACTCTGGGAACTGGATTCTTCACCTTAGGATAGACAGAGATAATTTAACAAAGTGTAAATTAACCTGAAATATATTCAAAGGCTGGATGATTTCCATTTTAATCTTTAACCTGTTGCAGAGCTGCAGGGATGGTGATGATTTTCTGGATCGCACTGCCCAGCCGCTCTATATAATAGTTCCAGTCAAGGATCTGAAACAGCCCAAAATGAGAACATGTAAAATGAGAAGAGTAGAAACCTTAGACATGTACCTTTGTTTATTCTATTTTTTTTAAAAGGACATTTTAAAACTCACAGAGCGGATGTCCAAGTCATGCAGGCTGGGCATCTTCAGCCACTTTCTAAGGAAATGCTTCTTCACACTGGGCTCCGCTTGGAAAATGGCCAGAGGAATGGCCCTGATGGAGAGAAAATGTTATTTAGCGTCACACTAAAGCCTCTTTATTCTGATAATAGCGTTGAAAATCAGTTCTGGGATCAATCTGGTTTACTTTGTTTGGTTATTTCTACCCATTTGGACAGAGAAGGAAATGGCATCATATGTGGGTTTAACAATGATATCCGAAACAATTGTAGCCCCACCTCTCTGTGACAGGGGATCCCTCAGGTTTACGGGAGATGACATAGCGACAGCTGAGACCGGCATCTTTCACCATCTGGTCCCCCAGAAACTCTGCCAGCCTCTTGGCCGTGCTGATGGATGTGGATTTCTGCTCTCCGTAATCCTCCAGCTTTCTGGACATTGAACGATTCTCTGAAATCAGTTCGAATAGCTCTACATCTGGCATATTGGCAGCCTGGGAAAGCAGGGGAAATAATCAGCTTTTTGTGATGACGATTAAGGCAGGAATGAGAGTGCTCTACTTTCTTTCTTCCTTTTTGTTGAAAAGGAAGAAAACATCTTGAATACATTCTTTGAAAACATATGACCGTCCAGTATTTGAACCTTGGTATCTACCTTGCTGTAAAGGACATCGAGCCAGTAGTCTGCCACTTTGGCCACAGATGCATAAACTTCATCCAGAGTGGTCCCTTTGAGGAAGGCTTCAAACACAGATGACTGAAAGATCTTAATAAGCTGGAGCTCCCCTCTTCTCTTCACTTCAAAACCCTTGAGCTCAGCCAGAGAGCCATCCTCATTAAAAACAGCATACCTTAAAAGAAAAAAAGAAAGGATATATCAAATCTGTCTTTCTAATATCATTAAACCAGAGGGAGTATATCATTAAGACCTCAGTACTATGATTTAATCACAGGAAATAGATCAGTGAAATACTGACACACCTCTTCTTGAGCTTCTTGCCCTCCTCTTTTGAGGCAGGCAGGATCATGGCCAGGTACGGCCCATCCACTTCAAAGAAGATGCTGTTCTCTGCCCTGACGTTGTAAGTGAGTGAGGCAGGGTCGACCAGCTCGTGGTACTGGTCGTTGGTGAATCCCTCCTTCACCATGATATTCAGCATGGCCCCCGGGTAGGAGATGGTCACCTTGGGCTTCTTCTCGTTGCTGGTCTTTACCACAAAGTTCTCGGGAAAGGTGTTGGGGAGGACACACCAGATACCGTCTGTGTCCAGCTCAAGAGGTCTCCTGAGTCAGAAAAAGCACAGAGACACAAATCAGAATAACCGCGGGACCGGAGAGTCTTGTTAAGACATATTCATTTAACCCTCACTCGCTTAACTGCAAAGGAAACAGCACAGAAAGATGGAAAGGCTGAATTCAAGCCCACAGAAAACAGCTCTCTGGTGTCACCTGATCTCCATGATACGCACCCTATTTGTTCAATGAGCTCTCTGGCCTGTGTGATGATGTTGGCTCCGGTGAAGCAAACAATCCCAGCCATCTCCATGGAGTACCAGCGGGCCCTGAGCGAGACACAAAGACCCAGACAGCATCAGCTTTAATAGTTCACAGAACACGGTGGAGAGGTGATGACAGCAGGAGGAGGACGGCGGCCCCTACCCTTTCCTCATGACGTAGCCATAGAAGGAGTTCAGAATACACTTGTGGGCCAGCTGGAGAGACTCGTAGAGGATCTCCATGTTTTTGCAGCGCTTCACCTCGGCAGCATCTCCGCTGTCCTGAGCCGCCGACAGCTTCTTCTTCCACACCTTCAGCAGAGAAACAGCCAGATGAAACACAAAGCTAATCAACGCAAAAAGGAGCCAGTGTGCAATTACGACTGACCAAGATTGGGCGGCATCTTTTTTTTTTTTTTTTTTTCAAGCCCACCTTGTGAAGTCCTTTGAACTCGTAGCGCCGATCCCTGAAGGCTCTGACGGTGTCAACGTAGAAGGAGTTCTCCCTCTGGCAGATGGTGGTGACTCGCTCCTCCAGCTTGGTGACGTGAGTCTTCTTATAGGCCCTCCTGCAGTAGTCTAACACAGAGAAAAAGCACATCCTACTTTTGCAACCAGTATTTCTGGGCAGCCTGTAACAGATGTAAGACAAGGGCACCGGGATCGGACATTACCAGCCAGACGTTTCTTCTCGTGCTTGGCCTGCTCCTCCCTGTTGAGGGTGTGGAAGGCCCGCGGTGGGCCGTTGGGAAACAGCGGGGGGAACTTTTCAGACTCCAGCTGCTGCTGGATGCGGTGGAACTCGCTACGACTTGCAGGCACTGCGAACACGGAGACCTCTTTGGAGACCGTAGCAAAATAGAATAGTTTCTTTTTCCAATTCCAGAGCACTGTGACTTACTGATTTCTCCTCTCCACTGCCAGGCCATCTTCCTCTGGCAGGTGGCTCCGGGCTTGTTGAAGTCACAGGCAGCACAGGTGGCTTCGTCCACCATAGCCGATGGCTTCAAATGAAAAGATTAAAGACACTAAACCTCATTTACTTCTGCCTCATACGCTGCATCGCTTTTTATGTTTAAATTGTACCTGCAGGCGATTAGTAAGAATGATGTTGGGATACATGGCGCCAACATCCAGATGGTAAATGAGGGGGCATTCAATCCTGTTTGGAACCTCCTTCAAGGAAGTCAGCTTGTCTTTTATGTCATCACAAACCTGATGAAATACCAGAGATGATTCATTGCTTTAAAATACTGAGTTACAAATAATAATAACAAAATAAAAAAAAAAAAGACAGCTCACCTCGTTAAAGTTGGTGACCTGGTCCAGAGGGATTTTCTCCTCCTCCTCAATGGCGTGACGCATTGTTCTCTCAACCCGTTTCAGCAGGAAGTCAAAAGCACCTGGGTTCTGTTAACACACCGTGCCAAACATTCACTTTTTAAAAAAGGCACAGACATGACAGAGAAGCAGCACAGCGAGGGGGGAAGCGTGGCTACCATTTTAAAGCGACAGGGGATGTCGCTGCGGAACACTCCGGACTCCAGCGCCTCCACGTGCCCGCCCACGTAGGTTTCCGAGTCCAAGACGTGGCCGCTGTCGGTCAGCTTGTTGAAAACCTGCTCCTGCTTGTTGGGGAAGACGATGTTCGCATGGAAGGCCTGCACCATGAGCAGGGCCTCGCACAGAGTCCCAGACCCCTTCCTCAGCACCTACCAACAGACAGACGCACAGCAGGACAGCAATCACAAAAAGGCCGAGCTTCGTCGGCTTCATCGCCTCTTTTCAAGACAACTAACCTCATCAGGCTCCATGGGGATGATGGTACAGAGGGCGAAGATGAAGGGATGAACGTATTTCATGTAAAGGTAATATGTGGCCACAGCATCTGACACAGAGTAGGTGGCTAAAGTCTGGAAGACAGAAAGCAAATCAACAGCTAATCCTCTTGAAATGTCCAAAGTTTTGGTTTTCTTGGCAGGAAAAGCGGCTTTTCTGTACCTGTGGTTCCTCAGTTGCCATGCGGCACATCTCCTCTGGGTCCAATTCTACCGGGTCGTAGCCCAGTTTGGCCTTCGCTGCTGCCTTTAGGTTGTGGCTTCCTACAGGTAGGTAACTGTCTCTCTTGACCCACCTGACACAACAGAAGTGGGTTGGAAGGACCATGTTAGGTACTTTGTCAACTGTGCCACACATGCATGTTTGCATAAACCACACAAAAAAAAAAAAAAGAGAGAAAAGAGCCAGAAGAGTTCACACCTCAAGCAGTCCATGTGGATGGCTTGACTGGACTTGTACTCCCCCTGGTTGTCCTTCTGAAAACCGATCTCTCTGTGCATGCTAAGCCCATGGAGAGCGGCCCGAGTTTCAACGAAAGGCCTGCAGAGATTCAGAACAACATCAGAAAAGCTGCAGAATTTCGCAACTTAACTAAAAAAAACTAAACAAAAAAAAACTCACCAATCAAAAAAGTCTCCATTGTATGTGACAAAGATGTTGGGTTTGGTTTCTTGTACATGATCGAACCACCTCTGAATGAGAGCAGCCTGCAGCATGAAACAACATGTTATTACACCAATACGACTCCTCAAAGTGCTTCATGGACATAAAAGCAGTTATTTTTCATGCGAGCATGCTCTGCAGCAGCAGAACAACAAACCTCATCATCCTCATTGAAGACGGTGAAAGGCCCTTCGTACTCGGGTTTGGGAGTGAATTCAAAATCTTCAATGTTCTCAGAGACAATCTCCCTGTTTGTGATGAGAAACCCCTAGAAACAGAAAAGAAAAAGGAACATGAGACATCCAAACCACACGAACTGAAACGCGCCCTTAGGAAATTTCACGAAACAAACCTGTCCATCTATCATGTAAGAGATCATCATAATCTGATCCGTCTCTGCGTCTGGGAATTTCAGAGGAAGTTTGGTGGTCTCAATGTCAAAAGCCAGAACCACCGGATCCTAAAAGACCAAATGAAGGGAAAAGTGTTTTACAGAAAAGCTGTCAAACCGCAATCCTGCTGAATGGTTAGGAATGGATGACGGTTCTTAATGTAAAAGAAAAAAAAACGTCATACTGGGCGCTCAACGAGGTCGTCTCTGCGTACGATCTCTGGCGGATAGGCGCTGCCTCTGTATCGAACATTGTACCAGTGGGCCTGAGTTAAAGAAAGAAAGAAAACACTGATAAAAACAGCCGGAAAGAAGTGCCTGAATAGAACTCCTGACGCAGAAGTATTGAAAAGTGTTCTAACCACGTGGATCTTGAGGTCGATGGACACTCTCACGTGGTAGGGGACGTCATACTCTCTCATGTCCACTATGTTGTCCAACTGATCTGCGATGCTCTTTGACGCAACGTCTTCATCTGCTGTGGTCATTCCGGCGCCGGACATAGCGCTGGGAAAAAAAAAGCATACAAACAACGGCAATGATCAGACATTAGGGCCAGGTGTCCACCTAAACCCGTCAGGAGAGCGATGGGACCGATGCCTTGCTCCTACCTGGACAGCATTGAGGTGTAGGCATCGTTGGACTGCTCTCTCTCCCTGTTCTTGCGTACAGCTGGGGCGATGTCGCGCTTGACTTTGACCAGGTCGTCCACGGTGTTGAAGGACAGCTTGATGTAGCTTCTTTTCAGGCCGACCAAGTGGTTCGGCTACAGAAAGAGGAATCTGTTTGGTTACGTCATGGATGGGAAAGCTTAAATGTTGTTAGACGGCGCTAAAGCCAAAGCCCTCACCAGGTCCAAGTCCTCTTTAGGGAGACTTTCCAGCTTTGCCACCTTTCCTTGAAACTTCTTAGACAGATATGAAATTACCTCTCTGTCGCAGTTCTGGAAGCAAACGTTTTACAAATAGCAGCTTTTAAGCAACTTTTTTAAAAGACAAATACATGACAAGAGCCAAAACAAAGTCAATGTCTTACCCTTTTAGTGGCGATGTAAAAGTAAGGCTTAAAAGGAAGAGCCACCTACAGACAGAAAAAAATCAGGACTAATATGTCAGATTGGTCCATGACAGCATTTTTTACCATCTGACCCCAGAGATGGGATCATGAAATGATACTCATTCACACCTTGAACCTGCTTCCATCTTCCTGGATGAAATAATAGTCCACAGCACTGATCATCCTCTTGTCTTCGTCCAGGATCTCCGTCTACAAAATCAGACACACAAAGGATGTAAAGCGTCCCCTGCCAGCTCAGCTCAACCCCATAACTCTTAAAACTGCGTTAACTTACGGGGTGCATGTTGATGAGCCAGCCAGTTTTCTCCCCTGGCTCCCTTATCCGGTCGAAACCGAAGCGAGCGTCCATGTCGTCGGTGAACTGGCTGCGCTCCAGCCGCTTGAGGGCAGACATGGAGGAGCCATCGTCCCTGGTTTAGACACGCAGCTATGTTAAAAGTCCATTCTACCGTACACATCCGAGCATGTCAAAGGGTAAAGAGCCAAGTGAGAGGACTTACTGGTTTTCCTGATCTCCTCCACTTTGTCCCCGGTCCGCCTTATACCGTCCGCTGTTCTGCAGAACCATCGTCTACTGCTGTGTTCCGACAACAGAGCGATGAAAACAATCGGAAAAAACACCCGGTTTTAAGAAATAAGCACGTATGGTAACATTTGCAAAGACGGTATAAGTAATTCGAAAGTGTCCCTGGTGTCTTCCTCTGTCAGACTATGCAACGCGATTTGTGTTTTCTTCATTTGGCGCGTTCGAGCAGTTGCCGCGAGAGCAAAGCTGAGAATTGGAGTAGACAAAGATCGTTTATTCATACAGATGAGCCGCCTCAAACCATTTTTCATAATGTTAGATGAGAGCTACTGCCTTTCTAGTTTCAGACATGATAGCTCAAGTGTTGATTAGGCAAATGACAGTATATAACTTGTTTCCACTTTACAACTTCGAAGTTCAACAAATGAAAATTTAAAAACGTTTTTTGTGCAGAACAAGCACTGTGATTCTCACATTTCAGGAAGAATCTCACATTTTGTTGAGACACACCAGTGGCAGTTTAAGACATTTAGGTTGCAGTAAACCATCAGCCAAAGTACTATGAGAAAATAAATACAATGTATAAACTGTTGTCGTTGATAAAGCAGCCAGGAATCACACAGATTTGTAACGCTATTCATATAAACAAGTGACACAACACATTTATTCGTGCAGGGCATCTTCTCTTACAGACGATCTTTGGGGTTTCCCGCTTCCTGGGAGGAGCTTGTTAGGCCCCTCCCCCCTCCGTGGTTCTGTTTACTATCGTAGCCGGTAGAAGGAGGTGTTTGACGGCTATGCGAGAATGACGGACCCTGTGCTGCTACCAGTGGTAGGTGGCTTTCACATTTGTTGCCGCAGCTGCTTTGGACATTTTTTGATTGTGTCTACCTAACCAGCGATAAGGTCAATATTTCCCCGCTCTGACAAAGTAAATAAGAATGTTTTTCAATTCAAAATAAGTTGTTTGCTTGGTAGAAAAATGTAAAAGACTCGGGGTAACGTCCTGCTTAATAAGTGACTTGATAGTCAGTTAGAAAGTCAGTTTGTAAAGTTGTGGATTCAGCTCAGCTTCACCTTATGAGCCCTATTAGTGTAATTTTGAGTACATTTAGCTCTGGAGTGAGCTCAGCATGGAGCTTCAGCAATACAATCCATATATTTTCACTGGCCAGTGGAATTCTAAACTTTTAATTGCGTTGCCAAGCACTGGAATATGCATCACTTTACAGAGGAAAATGCAACTTTTAACTTAAGTTAAACTATTCTTTTTTTTTTAAGAGATCCTCTCAGATTATGTTCTTATTAAAAGTGATGGCTCCAACTGGCAAATGCCACCTTGTGTCTTCTCCACATGGATGGCATGTTAGTGAATGCTTGTTTTTCATTTGTAATTCAGGCCACAACCAATGTGATAAATACAGATGTGTACATGCTGACATATACTTCATTTATTTGTGTCAGTATTTGTGTGCATCTGAAGGTTGGTAAATGGCGTGTATTTGGATGTTTTCCTCCCACCTTCTGTCCCCCAGTGTTGACCTTTAGCCCACATTGAGTAGCCACTCTTAGCTCTGATGTCAGCTGTTGCATGCAGCCTGTTTACTGGATGCTAGCTGGGAAATGTATCCTACCAGGCTCCCCAGGCATGTGCAGCTGCAGATATTTACTTATCATAAAGAAGAATATATATACGAGTTTGCCATTTCATATTATGCCAAATATTAGTATGCGCAGGGGATATCTGACACCACTCTTTTCCCAGAAATAGCTTAGTTATAAACAGACCCAAATGCTATATAAAAGTTTTTTTCAGCAAACTAAAGTTATTTTTTTTCCCCAATTAAAATGTTGCTGTCAAAAACTTCTGCTTGAGAAGTGTTCAGTGTGAATTATTATACAGGTTTTATGGTGGAAAAAGAAGCTTGAAATGGACAAAAACATTAATTAATTAATTATTTACAGTGTGGGAATAAGTGTATTTCATTTGCATTATTCAGTCATGATTTTACTCTCATTCTTCCACAAAAAGGTGCATTTTAAAGATAACTTACGAGTTACTGCCATCTACTGTCTGAAAATTGAACTTAATCCTAGACTCATCATTTTTGCAGTAAGTTCTGTTGTGTTGGCATTTTGTGGAGTTTATAATACTTATTTCCAAAACACACAAAGTTTAATAAATAGAGATGAAACTGTCACGTCAGCATTGTGGTCCTAGGGAAGCATTGTCATTTTGTATTGTAGAACTGTGAGGGCACATAAAATAGAAATAAATGAAAACACTTTGTTCAAACTGCCAAGGTCAGAGGCTTTTTGAAACAGTTTGAAACTAATTCTGTCTGAAAGAAAGCTTCTATGAAGATAGCAAAGGCGGCATCTTTTGTAATATGGTAACTAAAAAGAATGATGGAGGTCAAAGAGCATCATGGCTCAACAAGTAACCTGATGGCTGCTTCCTCTGGTTTTTACCTCCCTGAGGGTTTAAACCCTGGAGTGGCACTGCGCTGTTTGATTCTGCAGCCAGGTCTGTATTAATTTGACCCAAATATTTGTAGGAATAGTCAACCGAAGGAAAGTTGCCTGTTAACCTCTGAAGTTTACCACTAAGCATGTAATCGCACTGAAGCACTTTTTCCTATGGGACCATGTGTGTTTGAAGGAAAAAATTAGCAGAACGCTGCCAGCTGGGAGCTTTTGTTGTAGCCACATGAAAAAAGCTCAGGGATGAAGGCAAAGCCCCTAAATCTCATTGAAATAGAAGTCTTTTGTAAAGAAAACGGCTGAAAAGGCCTGAAAGTAGATGTGAGTAGACTTCTCTTTTTTCCATTATTCTAAAATTCTATTTATCTAAAAGCTGTCTTCAGGTGTTTTTTATTGTCCTGTCCAGTCAAATGAACAGAAATGACTTTTGTGTTGAATTGTTTGCATGCCTTTTTTTATTGTATATCTTTACAAGTGTTAGATGGAGAGTCAGTGATCCAGCCTTTCTAAGATGTTGTTTCCACGATGGTGATGTTCATTTTCTTCTCGTTGCAGTCGAACGAAGATGTCTGCAAATGCTCCTGTTTGCGGCTTTGGTTTTAATCTTCTGGATATTTGTGCCTCTGTGGAGAAATAACACAAAGAGAGCAGCGATGCCTCTGAAAGCCGAGGAATCTCCACCCGACTGTGCTCCCCCGGCAGCTGGCGAGGACATGTCCGCCGAACACACCCCTCCTCGCGCAGGAAAACATTCCCTGTCAACAGTTACTTCAACCTCAGCTCTCAAAGAGCACGACAGTCTTCTGGCCAATGGGGAACGTGACGGTCTTGCGGTCAAAACAGTGGAGCCTGATCCTCCGCAGGCCTCCTCTGAGGTAAATCCAGAGCAACCCTTGCCTCCAAAGACTGCGCAGAGATCCTCCAAAGCCCCGATGTTCAGCTCGGGGCCCGAGGCGAGGAAGCGCCTCAAGTTCATACTGGGAGCGTCGGAGGATTACTCCTCGGACGACGAGGCTCTGGCCGCAAAACCCCCGAGCGGCGCGTCCCAGTGCCCGCCGTCCACCCTGAAGTCCTGCGCAGAGCATCCGTCCTCTGCAGGGCCGCCACCCAGCTCCTCAGTCATCAAGTAAGTATTTTTCATTTTATTTATAGGGAGTACATTTGAGGGCCGCCGTCTGAGCCCAGTCATGTGACTTCAGAAAGCCGAAAAGCCTTTGAAGAATGAAAGCTTCACGCTCACCCAAATACACGACAGGACCGCGGTCCGTCACAGTGTTAACCTGTTATAAATTTGGAGCGGTGTCGCTGGTGTGTGTGTGTTATCACCTGACTGCACTGAGTGGTGTTATTGTTGCCTGCCAAGCATCTCGGCTCTATTATTGGAACATGAGCCTCGGCCAGTGACTTTGAAAAGTACTGGTGGAGTTACTCAGGTCAGAACATAGTGAACACTCTTCAAAAGACTTTAAGTTGAGGTCCGAAGAGTTATTTTTTTTATGCACAGACTGGATGGTACGTCTATAAAGATGGAGGGACAGAGAAGTTGATAGTGCACATAACTTTACTGGATCTACTTGTTCAGATGTTTGCATGTGGGAGCCATGAAACGGACATGGGTAAGAATTTTTATCTGCAAACATATAGACCTTAAATAAATTCTCATTTTGGTGTGAAGGATTTGTTCGTGTTTGAAAAATATTGGTGTGGATGGCTGTTTATTCCACAGGTAGTTTTAAAAAGGGTTAGTCATGCTGCTATGTATAACCATATGTTCATTTTAATTTGGGTAGCAAATTTGTGAAAATAATATCTAACCTAATAAATTGATAGTTGCTGATTAGATGTTGTATATGAAAATGAAATTGCACAAATAATTTAGTGTAAAAGCAATATAAAAATTATTTTCAGCTCAAAACAGTTACATACCAGGTGGTGGCTACAGAAAGTCTAAACATTGTTTTCTTTTTATGTATTAAAAAAAGATATACAAAATCCTGTTGGTTTGAAATAATCAAAATAATTTAAAATCCAAATGAAGTTAAATATGACAGATAACACTTCCTGCATCCCATACTGAGTGTCACTGTTTTCGTCCAGTCCCAACAGTTATGCCACAGTTAGTTTCTGTTCTGTTCTGAGAGCCGAGCAGCCATACAAACACATCAGTCCTGTTCCCCATGTTTACCCCCACCTCCTGCAGGGGGGGGGAAACATGCAAAAAACAGGTATGAAAATGTTCCATCCATCCAGCCGATGACTATTCCGTTGGTAACTGGCAGGGTCCTCAGCTGTCACAGGCTGCCCCACACTGGACGTGCCACCAGTCCATTACAGGGGCACACAGAGACAAACAACCTCACACTCACTCACAAGGGGCAATTTATATTCACAAGTTAATCTAACACGTTTTGTTTTTGTTTTTAGCTGTGGCATAAGGCCACAGTACCTGGAGGGAACCCACAAATACATGGCGAGAACATGCAAACCTCATTAGTTCAAACATGTGTCCTCGTCTGGGTGCATTTTGAAGTGCAGCTGCTCTGTTTGACCAGACTTCTGACCCTGTTTTGGCTGCATCGAGAGAAACATTTGGTGTCCTTTCTCTGTTGTTTATACTTTTTGAGAGCACCCTCAGAGGACCTGTACATATTTTTTTCTGCATGTGTGGGAGGGGGGAAGGGTGGAGACAACCACCCCGCAGGAAGCACACTGCACAGACCGCCTTGTTATGGTCCGAGATTTTAAAGGACATTTTTTCTCATGCATCTATGGTGTCTTGCATTGATAAATAGGTTGAAATCATGGAGGGAAGGAACCTGTTTCCATATCTCCAAAGGTGAGTACCGGAGAGTTTTCTCGTCGCTCTTTGCACTTTGAAACTTTGATAGCTGCAGAGAGGGTCGAGGAAAATTAGCTTCAGGTTGCAGCAACACAAAATGAGTGATAACAGTCACTCGGTGTGCGGCTTTAATGCGCTTTGCAGACGTGTCCGCGAGCAGGAAGCAGCGCTCGTTTAGTTGAGGGGACGCCTCCGAAATCAGCCAAAACACCGACAACTGTTAGAGGAAGAGAACACCACGTCTTTGAGGCGTGGCATTATCTGGAGGCCGTACAGTAATACGCCAAAAAAAAGTTTTTCAAATCCCCCAAATCGTGACTACGCTTGTGTACTAATTGTCCAATAAAGCGCGTGCCTGCTCGTGCCCGCTCGCGCCTCTTGCCCTGAAAAAACATCAGACTCCGGTTGACACGAGCAGAAAAGGTTATCACACCCCGCTAAAATGGCATGTTGCCTATTCCCGGTGTACAGTACAAGAGTTAAAGTCCACCGAAAGCCAGGTATATCTGCGCTCCAGCTCTACTGTAATGTCCACTGAGGCAGCCGTTCTGTTGTCCTTAAACGGGACAGAGCTCCGTGAGACAGGAAGCACAGCTGGAGCCAGCGGATAATGGTGGTATGTACTTGGTACTTCAAATGTTTGTGCTGCCTCCAAATTGTTTTGCCTAACATGGAAGACTCCTGTTTTTCCCCTGCTCCGGTCACAGCCAGTCCTTCTTGACACTTATGGTATTCAGTTGTTGTCCTTTGATTTTCATCCAGAAAACGTGTTAGTAGTTCATTGTTAAGCTTTTCCTCTGTAAATGATACTAGAGACAGTACACTTTGGGATTATCCACCACATATTTGTTACTTCAGACTGAGTTAGTTCAGTTATTGTAGTACCTCCTGCTTCATCCAGACTGACTGCATGGACAGATTCATTCACTGTTCTGTTTAAGAAACAAAACATTTGTGCTATCTAAGCATTATTATTTATTTATTTCCTCCTAACTCTCCAGTCTTTTGCTTTTTGGACATTACAGTTGCATTCTTTACAGTGACTTCCTTATGTGGTTATAGTTGTACACAATCATCAGAATTTGAACACGGCGGTTTGAAAGTTTAAGCTGCGGTTCCTGTCAGAATTCTGATTTAGTTCTACAGCTACACGTGTACAGTGTCCCGGGGCAGCCAGAAATTGGAACAAGGCCATGGCTTGCATCACACTTTTGGTACAATTACCTCTTATTGGCCCCATTGCTTTGAGTCTGTTAAATCTGATTATTTACGAACGCCAGGAGTACATTAACCTACTTTCTGTTGCTTGTAGTTTTCCATTATTGTGCAGGGGAAGGGCTACTTTTTGTAAGTATTTGGGGATCATTTAAAAGATTAAAGGTGTGCTCCAAAGTCTGTTTACCTGTCGGAGATTGATTTGTTTTTTATTTTATTTCCAATGTTATAATCGTTTTATTTCTGTTGACATTGTTTTCCCACAAGTTCTGACCCACACTGTTAAGTGGATGTTGCTCTGTGGTCTGATTTCGTTCAGACTGTATGAGTCTCATTAAGGAGAAGCCTTAAAAAATCAGCCGTTTCCTGAGTTGTTCAGTGGTTATAACCCCTATGTTTTCTGGCCAAAATAAAGACAGGTAAAGTTTAGTGTTGCTGGACAAGCGGACTGACGGTGAGCTTTTATCTCCAGGCCAAGCATGTCTGGCCTGCACTTGGTGAAAAAAGGACGTGAACACAGAAAGATGGATCTGCACAGGGACTTCACTGTGGCATCGCCTGCCGAGTTAATCACACGATTTGGTGGCAACCGCGTTATAGAAAAAGTAAGAAAGCCAGAGTTTTCTGATCAGTTTGCTTCAATGATGTGTCCACCTTGATGTGAAGGCTAATCAAAGGCTTTTTGTTTCCGTCACAGGTGCTGATAGCTAATAATGGCATTGCTGCAGTCAAATGCATGCGCTCCATCCGCCGCTGGTCTTATGAAATGTTTCGCAACGAGAGGACCATCCGCTTTGTGGTCATGGTAACCCCCGAAGACTTGAAAGCTAATGCAGGTAATTAGAATTAGATTAAGAATAAAACAGGTACCTATTTTGTATAAAGGGAATAGAAAGCTGCTGTTGTTGATCCTGGGTCACACTATACGTTGCTCTTTTCCCCTTCTAGAATACATTAAAATGGCTGACCATTATGTGCCTGTGCCTGGAGGAACCAACAATAACAACTATGCTAATGTCGAGCTGATATTAGACATAGCTAAAAGAATCCCAGTTCAGGTATGCTTCACTTCCCTCTTTTCTGCCTGCTTTGAGAAAACATTTCATCCTTTTTTCCCCCCATTAATAAACGGCAATTACAAGTGATCACATTTAACTATTAGTGCATTACTCTACCCTGCACAGGGCGTGTGGGCTGGTTGGGGCCATGCGTCTGAAAATCCTAAACTTCCTGAGCTCTTGAACAAAGCAGGGATATCATTCTTGGGTAAAAAAAAACTGTCTGAAAACGGACATATTTCTCAAAGTTTTCATTTGGCTTGTCGTATGTCATCTTCAAGTAACAACTGCTTTCGTTCCCAGGCCCATCCAGTAAAGCCATGTGGGCTTTAGGAGATAAGGTGGCTTCTTCCATTGTGGCCCAGAGTGCTGAAATTCCCACACTGCCATGGAGTGGATCAGGTAATTCGTTACCTGTCTCCACTGGAATGAACTCACACATATGACCTATATGTGCTTATCTGTTACGTGATTGGGTTTCAGGTCTGAGAGTGGAGTGGGCTGAAGAGGACCAAAGACAGGGCAAAATAATCAGTGTTCCCCCAGATGTCTACAAAAAGGGCTGCGTTCATGATGTAGATGATGGCCTAGCAGTAAGAATATTATGCAAGTCTTCATATGAACATAAATAAATAAACATTTTCTTATTTATTGCTCTGCTCAAACAGTTATCTTTTGCTTAATTGTATTGCATATGTTGTTGTTTTTTTGTCAGGAAGCAGAGCAAATTGGTTATCCAGTTGTTATAAAGGCCTCTGAGGGTGGAGGTGGAAAGGGCATCAGAAAGGTTGAAAATTCAGAGGATTTTGCAAGCTCCTTCAGACAGGTTGGTGATTGCATTTAAGGCCTTAATATCTAATGCTTGATTTAGTTTCTGATTAAACTACGTGTTGGATACGACTGAGTGCAGGTTCAGACAGAGGTACCCGGGTCACCCATCTTCATCATGCAACTGGCTCAGCATGCCAGACATCTTGAGGTGCAAATACTGGCTGATGAGTATGGAAATGCCATCTCTCTGTTTGGACGAGACTGCTCCATCCAGAGGAGGCACCAGAAGATCATAGAGGAGGCTCCTGCCACCATAGCTGCTCCCTCAACACTTGAGCAGATGGAGCAGGTGACTTTGCTTGTCCATGTTTTTATACGCACAACATCTGCTCTTGTTGAGACTAAGTGAACTACATGGCTCTGTCCCACCTAGTATGCTGTGCGACTGGCCAAGATGGTGGGCTATGTGAGTGCTGGCACTGTGGAGTACCTCTACTCAGACGATGGAAGCTTTCACTTCCTGGAGCTCAACCCTCGCTTACAGGTGGAACACCCATGTACAGAGATGATTGGAGATGTAAATTTACCAGCTGCCCAACTTCAGGTAAACTTCAGTCAACGGACTCTGAATCTAATAGTCTACCAACAACACAATGAATGATTCCGGTACCATAGGATTGAGAATCTGACCTTTATCTGAATTTGACCTCATCCGTCAGATTGCGATGGGCATCCCCCTTCATAGAATTAAAGAGATACGATTGCTTTATGGGGAAAATCCATGGGGCGACAACATCATCAACTTTGAGACTCCAGACTGCATTCCAAGTCCCAGAGGCCACGTTATAGCTGCCCGGATCACCAGCGAGAACCCAGACGAGGTGCAGTTTTTTTCCCCCATCAGTCCTAAAAACACATCTGCCTGTGTCGCCCTTATGGTTTTTGCCCTAACTTGTCGTCTTCACACTCGCTCACAGGGGTTCAAGCCCAGCTCCGGTACAGTGCAGGAGCTGAACTTCCGCAGCAGTAAAAACGTGTGGGGTTATTTCAGTGTGGGGGCAGCTGGTGGACTCCACGAATTTGCAGACTCCCAGTTTGGACACTGTTTCTCTTGGGGGGAGAACCGTGAAGAGGCCATTTCGTAAGGTTTTTTTTATTATGTTTCCTTGAAAAGTGATCTTTAGCAATTAAAGTTTTCCTCTTTGTTATGTTGGCTGTGAGGCAACAGCTAGTGACGCAATGTCTGCCCTCATGTTGTAACTGCCCATGAGGCAATAAAACAAGTAAAATAAGCGCCGTCCTGGCAATTATATAACAAAACCTTACAGGAAAAGATAAAATTCTTAATCCATTATCAAAAAGGTTAGATCCCTGACTAAATAAGATCCCTGTCAGGGTTATGTTGATTTGAAACCCTGTCTGCTGTGTTTTCAGGAACATGGTGGTGGCTATGAAGGAGCTGTCCATTAGAGGCGATTTCAGGACGACTGTTGAGTACCTCATTAAACTGCTGGAGACAGAAAGCTTTCGGAACAATGACATTGACACTGGCTGGTTGGACCATCTCATTTCAGAGAAAGTGCAGGTTTGAGACTTGGAGCCAAACGGCATAGCTAAATCCTCAGCCAAGTGCCCTTTTTCTAAGATGCTTGCTCCTTATGCAGGCAGAGAGACCAGATACCATGTTGGGGATCGTTTGTGGGGCTTTGCATGTTGCCGACGCCAGCTTCAGAAAGAGCATGTCTGACTACCTCCATTCACTTGAAAGGCCAGTAGACGTATTATCCCTATGATGCTGTATTACTTACTTTCTCTTTGTATTTTTTGCTCTTAAACTCTCCATATTTACTGTCTGTCCCTGTAGAGGCCAGGTACTACCGGCAGCCAGTCTTCTGAACTCTGTCAGTGTGGACCTGATATATGAAGGAGTCAAATTTTGTCTGAAGGTATTTCTTCCATTTCTGCTCTTTGTTTGGCTCCGACTTGTTTTAAACAGTTAATCGCAAACATTTCTCCTGCAGGTGGCTCGGCAATCTCCAACCACCTATGTGGTCATGATGAATGGCTCCGACATTGAAATTGACGTCCACAGGTTGAGTGACGGTGGACTCCTGCTGTGCTACGATGGCAGCAGCCACACCACCTACATGAAGGAAGAAGTGGACAGGTGATGGCTTAACTGTGCAACATCCAGCGTGTCTGATTTTGGGTTCACTAATTTTAAGTATTATTTTTAACTCTGTAGCTACCGTGTTACTGTTGGCAACAAGACTTGTGTGTTTGAGAAGGAGAAGGATCCCACGATGCTACGGTCACCCTCTGCTGGCAAACTACTGCAGTACGTGGTGGAGGATGGGGACCATATTTTTGCTGGAGAGACTTACGCTGAAATTGAGGTGACTTGTCGTAGATTCTGATCAAATTGGAACCATGCCTATTATGATAAGCTTGATTTGTCCCTGTAATTTGACTATAATGCATGGACACAGGTGATGAAGATGGTGATGACGCTGACTGTGCATCAGTCTGGCTGTATACACTTTGTCAAAAGGCCGGGGGCGGTTCTGGTGCATGGCTGTGTGGTCGCACACATGGACCTGGATGACCCCAGCAGCATACATAAAGTAGGTTACTTGTGTTGGTATTAAGTATCCCTGACACTCTAACAACACACCTTGGCTTAAAAGTGACAGATTAGACGGTTTTGTCCTGCATTTGTCTGGATCTTCTCATTGAAACGCTACGATTCCAGGTGGAACTCAACACAGCCCCACTGCCACCTCAGCAGCCACTGCCAATGGTTGGGGAGAAGCTTCACCAGGTTTTCCACTGTGTGCTCGAAAATCTGGTTAAAGTGATGGACGGGTACTGCCTTGAAGAGCCTTACTTTAGCAGCAAGGTACATATTAGCCCTTCCCCAATTACAGATTTTCTAAATTAGAGACGTGTGTGAGATTTTCTGATCTCATTTGGGATTTTTATGTCTCTTTCCGCAGTTGAAAGAATGGGTGGCCACCCTGATGAAAACTCTAAGGGACCCTTCATTGCCTCTTCTTGAACTCCAGGAGATCATGACCAGCGTGGCGGGGCGTATTCCACCAAGTGTTGAGAAAGATATCCGCAAAGTCATGGCCCAGTATGCTAGCAACATCACATCTGTCCTCTGCCAGTTCCCCAGTCAAAGGGTAACATCTGTCCAATGTTAACATGCCGTTCAAAATGTTTGAATGTTTGAATTTCTTAGTTGATCTCTCTCATCACTTCTATGTGTTCATTTATTGTTTTATTTCAGATTGCGAACATTTTAGATAGCCATGCAGCGACTTTGCAGAGGAAGGTGGATCGGGAGGTCTTCTTCATGAACACTCAGAGTATCGTGCAGCTGGTGCAGAGGTTAATATCATAAATTTTGTTTTGTCAGGTGCAGGTAGAAGAGCATTTGAAACAAGCATTATAGGTGTGGGCTGATATTTATTTATTATCGGCAGATTTCGCCTTGTTGATTTTGGATCTAGATGTCTGTAGATAAGCCTGATGTTTATTTATCGTTTAATCAATACCTTGCTTGCTAAAGGTTGTAGTGACTAACTGTGTTCCTTTTCAGAGAATTTTCAGTCCTTTTAAAAGGAAAAGAAATGCAACAAATAAAAAAAAAAAAGAACAATAAACCAGCTGATAAAACGATGGCGGTCAGGAGTAAAGAACATTCATTAGTTCACATTGCCAACATGCAAACTAAATCCAGCATTAAATATTAAGGCCTTTTTTCATACAGCCTGAGAAAAAATTTTCATTCAAGGTTTTCTTTTTTTAACAAGTTTAGTTTCTTTGTCCGTTGACACTGTGTATCGCACGTAATTTAAAACCATGACTGAAGCAAGAAACATTGACCCAGTTATCTTGAACGCCCGTATCTAATGACTATTTGGAAATCCCAAAATCATTGATCGTTGTGCTGTGAGTCATCAAGGCCAAGATGTCAGACTGTATCAGATAGATTGCTCTGGGTGAAGAAGGGATTGTAACATAAAAAACAAATTGTTGGCATTACAACAGAAAAGTGAGATGTTCTTTTAAACATCTGTATGTTTATCAAATGTAGCAATTGAGGCATCCATAACACGTATGAATGGTGGTTGTGTTACATTTGGTGACACATTGGACTTTCTGCTGTTCAGATATCGCAGTGGAATCCGTGGCTACATGAAATCTGTGGTTCTTGATCTGCTGAAGCACTACCTCCAGGTAGAGATGCAGTTTCAACAAGGTAATGTCAATTCTTCCAGACTTGCTTCAATGTGACCTCTTCCTGCTACACGACTGGAGCAAATCTAAAATAATGTGTTTCTCCAAAACAGCTCACTATGACAAGTGCGTCATCAACCTGAGAGAGCAGCACAAGCCTGACATGAGTCCTGTGCTCGACTACATCTTTTCTCACGCTCAGGTGTCCAAGAAAAACATCCTGGTGACAATGCTTATTGTAAGGCCATATTCAGCTTCTACATACACACAATCCAGCTATCTTTCTACCTTTGATCCTGGTAATAAACCCACTGTCTGGATGTTTGTGTTTGTCCTGCTTAGGACCAGCTATGTGGACGAGATCCCACCCTGGCTGATGAGCTCATGACCATTTTGAATGAGCTCACAGAGTTGAGCAAGATGGAGAACTCAAAGGTGGCTCTGAGAGCCCGACAGGTAAGAGATGTGAAAGCTGCAACATCTGTGATGTTCTCTTGGTTTTCAATATTTAAAGTGTTGACTTTGAAATTGCATTATGCTATGTTTGTGGTTGCCTTACAGGTTTTGATTGCATCACATTTACCATCATATGAACTGAGACACAACCAGGTGGAGTCCATCTTTCTGTCCGCCATTGACATGTATGGCCACCAGTTCTGCCCAGAAAACCTGAAGGTTAGAGTTGCCCTGAGAAAATCTCATTGTGACGAGCGCTTTGCAGATGCTTGAATGTAAAATGATTTTTTTGAAATTTTATTTGTTGCAGAAACTAATTCTCTCTGAAACTTCGATTTTTGACGTTTTGCCCAACTTCTTCTATCACACCAATCAAGTCGTGTGCATGGCAGCCTTGGAGGTATGTTAAGTTAACTAAGAGATTTTTCTTTTCTTATAATTTGTTTTTCATTTCTATATTAGTGATAGTATCTTCTGTGTGGACTTCTAGGTGTATGTGCGCAGAGCGTACATTGCTTATGAGCTGAATAGCATTCAGCATCACCAGTTGCTGGATGGAACGTGTGCCGTAGACTTCCAGTTTATGTTGCCATCATCCCATCCAAACAGGTAGCAGGTTTCCCTCAGTCAGAACCTCACTTCAATATCACTTGTTTTTTTTATTATCTTGAACTCATACCGAGACATGAAAGAGATAGAGCATCTCTTTTTATTATCAGAGGCTGTGAAGTTGTTGACTATTGCCCTTTCACTTGAGTCTATGGACCTCCTCTTATAAATGAAATTCCAGAGAAAATGCCTCACTTCGATGCAGTTTTTTGAAGAAATCCAGGCCAACCCTTTTAATGTGTCTTTCTGCTCACTTTATGGCACTGACCTAATAGATCATAAAAACTTGTGAATAATAAAGCAATACTCAATGGTACACGTGGAGAGTGGCCTTCGAACTGCTGGCGTGACTACTGCTTATTGCTAACTTTTGATGCAGCGTGGGTTTTTTCACCCCCCAACTTATTTTTAATTTGAATGTGCACATCTTCTAGTGAGGTGCTTGCTCGAAACTAATCATGATGCGCAAAGGTTTGATCACCCACTGCTCATATTCACCTCTCAAATCGTTTTATTTCAGAGGGAGCAGCCCTACTCTGAACAGGTAGAGTAAAGCTCCTCCCAATAAGCCAAAGCTCCTCATTGTCTGTATGTTTCACAGCAATGCATGCTGGATGCACCATGTTGCTTTTTCCTTCTTATGCAGTCCTGTCGAGACAACTCCAACTCTAACAAATCCTCTCTTGTTTACTTCATGAGCTGAGCTTCTCCAGTTGTCTTGTTGCCTCTTCTCTCTACATGTAGCCTAAAGCATTTGCAACCTTTTTGAGAGGTACATGCTCCTGTTTTTTCATGTTCCTCTCAAAAACATAAGCCTGAGATTTCAGTGCATGCCTCCGAATGGGTTGCCTGAATTCTCCAGCATCAGATATTGGTGCTTGATTTGCAAATCTCAATCAGATATTTGAATAATTATTTCTGTGACCCAACATAATTCATAATCCCTTTTATTTTCAAAATACAACACCTGGATTGTACTTGACACAGACTTGAGACTTGAATCTTGGACGTCCAAACCAGTGACCAGTAACTATGTTGTAACATGAGATTTGATATCCAAACATTAAACTAAGTTACACTAATAATTAGCCACGGGATGCAGCCACCTGAATGCTGAGTCAGGTTACAGGTAAACAGGTCAGATTTATATATTATTTTATCAGTGATTTATTTAGAATATGATATGATGACAATATTGAAAGCTTTATTGCATTTTCCATTTTTCATATAGAAATATAAAGGATACAAAATAAAGTTCCTGATTGAAGAAACTGAAGAAGACAAGACAAATAACCACAATTAGTGAAAGGACAGTCTAAAACTTTCTCAAATGGCAGATTTCATCAGTTAAGCTCAGTATTGCGTAATAGACCTGGACTGGACTTGACTGAACTTTATGGTCAAAGCTTGGAACTTGCACAGTGATGACTTTGTAGTACCATTTATCAGTGTTATTTGAATTGAATCGAACGTGTTTCATTATTCTTCTTTTAAGCAGATGGAAACGTCTAAACTTTAATTATAAATATTATGTTGAATAATTATTCTCTGTACAAATCTTTTCACGGTTTTCAATTCGCTTGATTGGAGCAGTACTATTTTAAGTATTCATTCAGTGTTCCTGTGTCTTTTTCAGGCTTCCAGTGCCTGTGAGTGGAACGGGTCAGTCCAAGATGAGGCGGCAGAGCAGTGAGCTCTTCATGGATGGGGCCTTGTCTCCCCCCTGCCAGCGCATGGGTGCCATGGTGGCTTTCCAGTGTTTTGATAACTTCAGAAGGTCACTTTTCTCTCTCCTCTCTTTGACTATGTCAGACATACTTATTATGTGTCAAGTAATGAGCAATGTGGCTCATTTTGTTGGATTTCTTTTCAGGGATTTTGACGAGGTTCTATCAAGTTTTGCCGAACCAATCTTGGAAAGGGCTTCGTTTGTAGAGTCGTGCGCAAGTTTGTATGAGGAGGAGATCACAAAGGTGGGTTTGTGCTGGTGTGAAGTTGTTTTCAGTTTTAAAAAGGAAAAGCCTCTATCGTTAATGCTGCAGCCCATTTCTCCTCCATCTTCCACAGAACACCAGGGAGAACCCAATTCACATCATTAATGTATCCATAAAGACAGCAGACACAGAAGACGATGATGCCCTGGTTAAAGCATTCACTGCATTTACTCAGTCAAAGGTCAGCTACCATTCAAAACTAAAACATGGTACATATAAATGTGATATAAGTAAATATAACTGTTTCTTGATCTTTATTAACAGAAAGCCATCCTGTTCGAATATGGAATAAGGAGGATCACATTTTTAATTGCACAGAAGGTAAATCTTTTTGATGACTACAAAAAGCCTATTTGTGAAAGCACAACTAAGGTGAATGCTGGGTGGAAATTAATTAAGTCATTTTTAATGTTTATCATTAGTATTATCCTTCCAGATTGTGACGCTGAAAGCATTTAAATTCAAATAAGTTTCTTCCATTATTTTCATATTTTGGAACAAACGAGAATGTTACTTAGTGGTAAATAAACTGTTGAAGAAAACGTAAAGGTGCTATCATTTCTGAAGCATCCTTTCTGATTTTTTGTTTTTTTGTTCAAACAGAGGGAATTTCCCAAGTTCTTCACGTTCAGAGCTCGGGACGGAGTAAGTTATGGATAACCTGAATGCCCTGAATCCTCTAACATATCGCCAAATATATGCTCAACCACAATTATTTGCTTGTCCTCAGTTCCAGGAGGACCGTATATACCGAAATCTGGAGCCAGCGCTAGCGTTTCAGCTGGAGCTCAATCGAATGAGGAACTTTGATCTGACTGCTGTTCCATGTGCCAACCACAAGATGCACCTCTACCTGGGAGCCGCTCGTGTCCAGGAGGGCGCTGAAGTTACAGACTACCGCTTCTTCATTCGAGCAATCATCCGCCATTCAGATCTCATTACTAAGGTCCACAGAAGAAATTAAACGAAAGCTTCAAACCAAGCTTGCTGATCTGAATTGGCATGTTTTTAGATTTGACTTGCTTGTTGCTGAATATTATTATTCTAAATGGTGATTTTTTACATGTTATCTCTTCATGTTCAGGAAGCTTCTTTTGAATACCTTCAAAACGAAGGAGAACGTCTTCTATTGGAAGCTATGGATGAGCTGGAGGTGGCCTTCAGTAACACAAGTGTCCGCACTGATTGCAATCACATTTTCCTCAACTTCGTCCCCACTGTCATCATGGACCCCTCCAAAGTCAGTGTGCTGCAGTCTCTTCATTCATTCACTACAAATAACAACATTTTGCTTCGTGTACAAAATTATATATATATATTTCTGTTGTATAAGTCCTCAAGTGTTTAACTGCTTGTAGTATTTCATGAAATCTCAAGCATCTAAATTTCATGTATTTTACACGCAAATACATACATTTCGTTTTATTTGTGCTTTATTTTCTATGAAACCTATGGCCATCAGATTGAGGAGTCGGTCCGCTCCATGGTGATGCGCTACGGCAGTCGTCTTTGGAAGCTGCGAGTCCTGCAAGCTGAGCTAAAAATCAACATTCGCCTGACGCCCACTGGGAGTGCCATTCCCATCCGTCTCTTTCTTACGAATGAATCTGGCTATTATTTGGACATCAGTCTGTATAAAGAAGTGACTGACCCCAGCTCTAGACAGGTGTGGACGGTGGAGTGAGGTTTTTTGATGAAAAGTAATTCTCCCAGTGTGTTTCATGGATGTGAAAATGAATTAAATTTGCAATTGCAGATCATGTTCCAGTCATATGGAGACAAACAGGGTCTTTTGCATGGTATGCTGATCAACACACCCTATGTGACCAAAGACCTGCTGCAGGCCAAACGCTTCCAGGCCCAAACTCTGGGCACTACATATGTGTATGACTTCCCTGAGATGTTCAGACAGGTACTGCTGAAGCATTGAGCTTCACTTACCTCTGTCTTTGTTGCCCCGTATTGTCTGACCACACTCAACCTCTTTTCTGTAAGGCATTAGTCAAGCTGTGGGGTCTTGGAGACAAATGCCCAAAGGATGTGCTGATGTGCACTGAGCTCGTCCTGGACCAGGACGGCCGACTGGTGCAGATGAACCGCCTGCCTGGAGACAATAACGTGGGAATGGTTGCCTTCAGGATGAAGATGAAGACTCCAGAGTATCCAGAGGGCAGAGACATTATCGTCATCTGTAATGACATCACTCACATGATCGGCTCCTTCGGTCCTCAGGAGGACGAGCTGTTTCTCAGGGCCTCAGAGTTAGCTCGCACTGATGGCATCCCCCGCATTTACATCGCAGCCAACAGTGGGGCTCGAATTGGACTCGCCGAAGAGCTCAAACACATGTTCCAGGTGGCGTGGATAGACCCCACAGACCCTTATAAGGTAACTGATAAGACATATTTCTTTTTCAAATGTGTATTTATTAATTTTGTTTTTTTACTAGATGAGAAAAGATTTGCAATTTCACTTTTCTGCCTCTCCATTTTATCCTGTAGGGATTCAAATACCTTTACCTGACACCACAGGACTACACCCGAATCAGCTCCTCCAACTCTGTACACTGTCATCATGTAGAAGAAGGAGGAGAATCCAGGTACAATGCAAACCGTCATTATAATAACAATCTTGTGAATCTTAAGGTTATGGATATAACCCATGTTCTCTGATCAGCGTGAGTGAGTGTCTCACCAGACCACCCTCTTTGCTATGAAGCGAGGAGGACGTGAGCTTGTTATCAATAACAAATAATGACAATTTGGTTTAATATATTGGAGGAGGGTCCAAAATCCTCTCCTGCTATAGACTGTCACTTTAGCCAGCCAATCAGGGCTGAAATAATGTTATATGAGCTTCTGATGAGGTCACGCAGGAGGCGTTTCCCAAAGTGAGACACATAACGAATGCTATGAAAGATAACTGTCTGTATACCTGTCAGCTCGATTGGAGTGGATTCCCATTGTTAAAAATGGTATCAACATCAAAGTGGAAGTGAGACTAGACTTAACTGAATTAAACAATAAAGAAGTGTTTATCAGTGTACCCTCTTATCACAGGTACATCATCACTGACATCATTGGGAATGAGGACGGTATTGGTGTGGAGAACCTGAGAGGTTCAGGCACCATTGCAGGAGAGTCCTCTCAGGCCTATGAAGAGATTATTACAATCAGTATGGTGAGAATGTTTATCTTGACTCCCCCACAGTGACAGCTGTGTTTAGTCAGGCGGATTCTTACTTGTGCCACTCGATGCTGTTGCAGGTGACATGCCGAGCTATTGGAATTGGGGCCTATCTTGTCCGTTTGGGACAGCGAGTGATCCAGGTGGAAAACTCTCACATTATCCTGACTGGAGCAGGCGCTCTTAACAAGGTTTGTTAGTGTGTTTTTTACCCTTAATGGAATTTATCAGTAGGACTTACTGTTATGTCTGTAAATAAGTCATATAAAAGCAGAATTCTTTAGCTTAGTATTTTGGCTTTAGAAGAATTTAAGTCCCTGTTTCCATCCAGGTTCTGGGGAGGGAAGTCTATACCTCCAACAACCAGCTGGGTGGTGTTCAGATCATGCACAACAATGGAGTCACACACACCACTGTGCCGGATGACTTTGAAGGAGTCTTCACCATTCTGCAGTGGCTCTCGTACATGCCAAAGGTCCTGCTGATGGCTTGCCCTTGACATCTAAATATTGCGTAATTACAGCAGATTATTGTGATGATTGAACAAAGTGTGTTTATATTCCCACAGAACAAACACTCGCCTGTGCCTGTCATAGCCACCACAGACCCTGTAGACAGAGAGATAGAATTTACTCCCACCAAAGCCCCATATGACCCCCGCTGGATGATTGCCGGTAGACCTCACCCCAGTAAGCCAAACACTCCAAACACCTAAACATTTTGATGTGCCATATCAGTGGTGATTCAGTTTTCCATTTGCCTTTGCTAGCAGTAAAAGGTGGCTGGCAGAGTGGGTTCTTTGACCACGGCTCTTTCATGGAGATCATGGGGTCTTGGGCTCAGACTGTCGTAGTTGGAAGAGCAAGGTAAGCTCGAGCAGCATATTTTCTGGTTGGCTTAAAGAAACAGAAATTGTGAACTAAAAGTAAGGTTCTGTTTAAATTCAGGTTGGGAGGAATCCCTCTCGGTGTGATTGCTGTTGAAACACGCACATCGGAAGTCACAGTCCCCGCAGATCCTGCAAACCTGGATTCTGAATCCAAAGTGAGCCTGTGTTCCTATTTTTCACATTGTTAGCTGAGATTCTAACTAAAGAGCACATCCTGTCCCTCCTTTTAATGTCAGGTTCTGCAGCAGGCCGGACAGGTTTGGTTTCCTGATTCAGCTTTTAAAACGGCTCAGGCAATTTGTGACTTCAACCGTGAGCATCTGCCTCTTATGGTTTTTGCCAACTGGAGGGGCTTCTCTGGGGGCATGAAAGGTACTACGCATTACAAAGATGTTGCATAAAGTGCAAGAATTTAATGCTTCAGTGGACTGAAAAAAGTTATGTCTCACTGACAACATCAGTATGGTAAAAATAACGGGAAAAAATAACCTTTTATATATAAAGTCCATCCATCCATTTTACAGCGCTTATCTGGGGTTGGGTCTCTTTCAGATATGTATGACCAGGTATTGAAGTTCGGGGCCTACATTGTGGATGGCCTGCATGATTTCCACCAGCCAGTGTTGGTTTACATCCCACCCCAGGCTGAGCTGAGAGGGGGATCCTGGGTAGTGATAGATCCCACCATCAACCCGTTGTGTATGGAGCTCTATGCTGACAGGGAGAGCAGGTACATTAAAAAGTTTCTTATCTTTTCTAAGCGATGCATTTGAAATTCTGCAATACAGAAAATATGTGTGACTATGAAGTTTTCATTAATGTTTGCATGAACACTTTTTGTTCCAGAGGCGGTGTGCTGGAGGCTGAGGGCACTGTGGAGATCAAATTCAGAAGGAAGGACCTGTTGAAGACAATGAGACGACTAGACTCTGTCTATGCTAGTATAGTTGAGCAGCTTGGTAAAGTCCCTTTCTGTTCTGGGCTGTAATCACTGCAGTGTTCCATAGGATCTTCTTAACTCAGAATTCTTTCCATCAGCTTCCCCAGAGCTGTCTGACAAACAGTGCAAAGAGTTGGAGGCAAAGCTCAGAGCAAGGGAAGAGTTCCTGTTGCCCATCTACCACCAGGTGGCAGTGCAGTTTGTGGACCTCCATGACACCCCAGGCAGAATGCAGGAGAAGGGGGTCATCACAGTGAGTGTGCCCTGCATAAGCAAGCAGGGGTTATGGTACTGCACAAAGGTGGACTTTGAAAGGAAGTGGATGTTAAAATGTATTTTACTTCAATATTCAATAGGATATTTTGGACTGGAAGACTGCACGGACCTTCTTCTACTGGCGCCTGCGGCGCCTGCTGTTGGAGCAGGTAGTGAAGTGTGAGATCCTTCAGGCCAACAAGGACCTCAGTGACGGGCACATGCAGTCAATGCTGCGGCGATGGTTCGTTGAAACCGAGGGAACAGTCAAGGTGTGTGAAAAAGATGCCGTGTTAATTTATTTATCTTAAGTTTCACACTTTGACATATTCAAAACACTAATTTCTGTTTATTTTTATGGTCATCCTGTGTCTGTTTGTCAATCTCAAATGAGGAACTTGTCATTTTTCATTTTTAAAAACTGAACTAATCAGATTGTATGTTGTATTTTTGCCCACTTTTTAAGGCTTACCTTTGGGATGATAATCAAGCGGTGGTGGAGTGGCTTGAGAAGCATTTGTCAAAAGAGGACGGCACCCCATCGGCCATCCGAGAAAACATTAAGTACTTGAAGAGAGAAAACACTCTGAAGCACATTCGAAGGTATTTAAAGACACATAGATTGTGAAGTTTATATTATCTGATCTATATTGAAAACATCTGTGATTTAGAAGTTTTTAACCCTTCAATAAGCCCTTTTACATGTTACTTGGGAATTTTTTTAAAAATTTTTATTAGCCTGCCTATAATCAGACGTTGAATTAGAATGAATGCAGCAACAAACAAAAAGAGAAAATGCTGAGTTTCTACAAACGGAAATAAAAACCCAGAAACTATTTGAAATAACATAGGACTCTAAACATAATGGGCATTTGTGCCTAATAAATAAGACCCTAAAGATTTGAATTATAGGGCCAGAATTCAGGAATGGCAGTGAAGTCTTTTAGTGAAGATGATTCTCTGCATGGTTATCGCTAAAGATGTTTTAAGCCGGCATTTGATGTGCTTGATGTCATTTCTCCTTTGTGTGCAGCTTGGTGCAGGCCAATCCTGACATAGCCATGGACTGCATCATTCACATGAGCCAAAACATTACCCCCTCCCAGAGGGCCAAGTTGTCACATCTGCTGGCAACTGTGGACAGCACCAGCACCAGTTAAGCTTTGAGACTTTTCAAGTTGTACTATTAAAAAACGGAAAAAACAACATTGTAATCAAGTGTACAGTTGAATGATATAAGCACAAATCCTTTAGTGTTTAAGATGTTGATGGTGAACAAAAAGAAACTTGGGTTTCACAATTATCCTTTTGAGTATTACTTTGTAAAAGTACAAGCACGTGCACAAGAAGAGGACCGTTGTCCCGTTTTCTGTGTTGCCTTTCCATGTGTGTCAAACTCTGCACAGTTTTGAAAGTGTCTTTTATGTGAACAGTTCCCCCATTTCACAGTTCAGTCTTGTAAGGCTGCTGCTTCAACTCACAGGCTGCAACGCACATTTCACATTGCTCTATTTGTACACAACAGGAGTCCATATTTATCTAGCTTTACCGGACTCTTTGCAGTTTATTGAGCTGAATGAAAATGAGGCTCTTGATTTAGGTTCTTGTCATAATATTTGGTTTGAGAGAATGTGTTTTTGTCTTTGAATGTGTTGCCTTACTGCTTGGGTAAAACTGCAGTGATTATTGTGTGCCAGAAAATGACGAACTGTGTGAAATCTGATTTCAGTATTTTGATCTGAGCAGCACGATAAACACTGCCTCACTTGATCAATTTACAGTTGATGTGTTACCAGCTTTATTATTTCTGTTGTTCCTCTCAGTCCGTTTGTCTGCTGTAATTTGCTCTGTCTTATATTTTCAGTGACTGAAGATGGTGTGACACTGTATGTGAAACTTCTGAATGTTGATTTTTGTGTTTTGTCTGGATCTCTACGATACAAAGCAATAGTTCCCAAAACTCAGGTTTTGTCAAGAATGGACATTAATTGCCAAAGTGGTACCTCAGATGATAATGATGTCTTGATTTGCCTTACCTTGGATCAAACATCAGCTTTGAGATTTCGTTTGAGTGTATATCAACTCTTTCCTTTGTCTTCAATAATATGAGGAGAAATGTGTTAATAAATGCCACAAAGTGATTTTAATCATAATCTTTTATTTTCCCTTATTTTTATTATGATCCAGTTAATGCGCATAAAATCCATCTGACCTTCATACATGTTACTCACAGTGTGGAAAGGAAGGATTTCTGGAAGTGTGGGCGCACATTTTGGAATGATGTGGTTAAATGCTGTCAAAAGAAAGCTTTTCTGAGGCAATAGCAATTTCAGACATTCAAATATACACAGCAAAGATTGATGGAGTCATCACTTTCTCCAGCTGCCTTTTATAAATATAAATAAAACATCACAACAATAATAACTAACACAATACAACAGACGGGATTGTGAGCTACATTATGGAAAGGCTTTAAAATGAGAAGTGATCAGTAAAAGAACAGGTGAGTGTTAACTTACACGAAATTCTTCACAAAGTCTTTGTAGTGGAAAAAGTCTTTCGGTCTTTCGGATTTTGTAAGTCTTACAATGTTTTTCTTACAATCATCTTTTCATTTATGAACAGCTTAGGTTTCCTGTGCTCTGCAATGGTTCTCAGTTACTCTCCTTCAAGTGGTTCCTCGCGTTTCCAAATATTTGTGAAGCACAAAACGAACCAGACCTCCAATGTCATCAGCTGGCATCCTCAAGCAGCCAAGTAAATCACATCACATCTGTCAGGAAGCACTTGGGCTTCCTTAAAGCAGGGCGATGGGCTTGCTGTTGGTTGTGGTGCCCATGTACTGAGATGATATGGGTTCCTGGGACGTATAGGAGGTGTACAGCCCCGTCACTTGCACGTCAGAGAGTGGCAGGTTTGCTCCGCTGGAGGCGGGAGGGAGACTGGCCGTTCCCAAGTCACAGTCTGATAGTCGGAGAGGTGAGTTACTGAAGGTGCCCAAAGCATCCAAGTTAAAGCTGTCATCCTTCATTTCTTCCCACAGATTACCTGAGCAGACAGACGAAAGCTTTAGTACACTGATGGGAAAACAGCAAAGCTACTGTCACCTCCTTTTAAACACACTTCTTTTTTTGTTTCTCTCTCTCTTTAAGCAGTTTTAACTCGGCTCTGAATAGTCAGCACAGTTGCCACAGACACAAATTACAGGAAGAGTTGTGTGCGTGTAGGAGAGCTGGATTGGCTGGCCACGCAGTAATTTGGTCAGTCTAAATGGGCAATTGCGAGTAGATCTTCTCCATGGGAAAATTTTATAAAAATGTATTTATCAACATTACCTATTTAAGTTGGGTCAAACGTGGCAATGGACAGGATTTTTGCAATTATGCAAAAACTTTATAGGGGATGAATACAGTAGGAAAACCTTAAAACAGATTTGAGGAATTTAACATTTCTGAGCTTGCAGAACCTTAACTGACACAGATGGTTGACACATTAAAAAATACAAAACCCTAATAAGACCTGTATAAAAACTGTGTTTACCTTGAAGGGCGAAGTCCATGATGCTAGGGTCCAGTGCGTCCACCTCTGAGTGTGTGTCTCCATGCATGCTGTAAAAATCCTCAGGAGCCTTGCCGGGCTGCTGGGTGAGCTGGCTGTGGGACAGATCAGGTACGGTGTGGAGGGGGGGGGTCTGGGCCGGGGCGGGGGACATCGGAGCCAGTCGGGCCTGAGCCTGCAGCTGAGCTTGAAGCTGGTGGTGTTGGTGCATGGGCAGGCACGGCAGGGACAGCGTGACGATGGGCTGAGGCTGCATGTGTGCCGGCACCGGCAGCTGCAGGCCGGTCGGACAGCCGGCCAGCCTGGTCATGCCTGCCTCCAGAGCCTTTCGCCGGCAGCTCTCGGGGCGGTCCGTTATCAGTTTGTCCAACTCATCTGTGGGGAGGCAAAACGCATCGTCAGACTGAACAACAGAAAAGAAAGAACAAAAGCTGTATCTTCAGTGCAGTGCGTTTCTGACCAGGGTTGGCCATGCTGCGGCGAATGGCCGGGAGGTCTTTGCGCTTCCACTTCTGCATTTCTTCCTCCATCTTGTCAATTTTAGCCGGGTTCAGTGCCCATAAACAGCCCTTACGGGACGAGTTACTCGTCTTGTTTTCTACCTTCTCAAAGCATTTGTTTAAGGAAAGGTTGTGTCTGACAGAATTCTTCCATCCGTCAGGTGCAGTCTGCAGATGGAAAAGCAGAACATGATGAGTTACATTGCTTGCCTACATTTCCCCCCTCTCCCAAACATTTTCAATCCACGTCTCACCTTGAAATAAGGAAAGTGTTCCTTCATAAAGCTATAGATCTCACTGACAGGGAGGCTGCCAGTTTTGCTGTTCTTCAGAGCCATGGCAATTAAACAGCTAAAGGTGAAAAAAAAGGTGTTTAATTGCAGTTCCCAGAAGATGTTGTGAATAAATAGACCCATTAGGATGTCCACATGCCCACCTGTAGGAGTAGATTGGCTTGGGGAAAGACTTGGGCTGTAGTTCCTGCTCTTGGGGAGCCAGGCGATGTTGTGTGAATAAACTTTGGTTGTTGAAAGAGACGTTGCTATAAATCCCACCCGCCGAGCACTGAGGACAGAAGATGGTAGAGATAGCAGTGAAGATCCTTCCCTTTCACCGTTTCTCTGTGGAGAAAATCTTGGCCTTCAGTAGCAAAATACCTGTTGTCCCGTTTGGGTTAGGGAGTACACCTGCTGGGGGGTGGACTGATAAACTGAGGTAGGACACTGATACCCAGGAGAGGGCAGCCCATTCATGGAGAATGGAGACATCTATGAAACAAATGGAGGGACATTTTACATTACATTGCCCCCTATTAAAAAAACTTTTTTTTTCCTCCCATGCGGAAACTCACACTTCCACTGTGGGTGTTGATGATGCTGATCCCCAGAGGGCTGTGCTGCATGTTACTCTGGAGGTGCATCATGGAGCCCTGACTCACTGGCATCGTCATGTTGTTCAGCTGAGCTGGAAAGAGCCAGAACAAGTACATTCAGAAACGTTTGTCCACTCATCAAGTCCATGCCTCCCTGAGTGTTTGTAGTTGCCGTACATGTTGTAGCTGTCAGGGGCTGCTCATAACACAAAACGGCCTCCATATAAGAAGTTTAGCGGCAATTTTTCATTGCTTTCAAAACGGGATTCCTTGGATGAAACTTTAACTGACTTAAAAGTGAAGATGTTGTGGTATCTTTGTCGAGCAGCTGCGTTATCATGGGGTTTTACATGTCAGACTAATGCTCTAAAATGGCGGTTCTGTGTGCCAAATAAATAGGAAATCCAATTAAAAGGAGTCCTGATGTGTTGTCCAATCAGAGTTGTTTTTAATTTTTTTAAAAGTTGCATGTGTCCCCCCCCCCCCCCCTCCTCCCTGTCACTTCACCTGTCTGTTGCTCCAGCAAGCTGCCCTGGGAGGGCCCGTTGCTGTGGCCTCTGCTATCAGCCATCTGCTGCAGCCGGGGAACATCCACAGAGGTGAGCCATGACAGAGACTGCAGGTCCCCAGGGAGGTCCTCCACCCTAAGCTGGGAGGGGTCTGTGGTCAGGAGCCTTCGAGAAAAGGAGGGGTTGCCGGGTTAACACGGCTGTCAGCTCAGACACACATAGATCACAAGTGGAATTTAAACCTAAACACTGGATGAAGATTTCATCTGTCATGGACAAAACCATCTCAAAGACTCCGAATGAATGGGGGGCACATGAAAGCTGCTGCTCAAAATGTGTGATAGAGATAAGGGATTTAGCATAAGAAGATTAAATGTTATTTAGCAGCGACCGTTTTAATCCGCAATAAAATAACCTTCTCATTCAAAGAAAACTCGTTTTTTCCTTTTATTTTTTCTTTGTGTTTTGTATTTTTGTGGAGCACAAAGTAAAAAGGTTAACTTTTTAGTTTTTGGTTTTCATAGAACTTTTTGTTTTTGCACATAAAATGATCATTATTTTAAAGTTAAAAGCTGAACTGAATGATGCTCGTTTTTTAACAGAGGTTGACCAGTACCAGTCGACTTTAATTTATTCTGTTTTTAAATGGCAACCTTCAAAAGAAAGAAACAATAGACAGGAATCCTCTTGAATCCTCTCCAGTCTTCTCTGCACACACACGGTACACCATAATTGGAGTCGCTATGACAACACATAGAATTCAGTTACTTTGTGGGTCTGTGGACAGTGCAGGAGCACGTCACCCCCCCCCCCCCCATTCAGACACCCCAAATCTTCTAATAAAAAAGTGTCAGGTGACCAGAGCCTCCCCTTACCCATTGGCTGAATCATAAGTAAACAACGCATGAGATCGTTTGAAACATGGGACAGCAGCACATGTTGCCTGAAACAGTTGGCCTCGTCTATTGAAAAATGATCACCTATTGTGTCCCAAACGACAAATCTGCCCAGTGGCACGTGTCTCTATTGTCTTCCCCAGACCCTTCCTTGATTGTCTCTGTCATTTCTTTTCTTTCCCCGGCCCCTGCATTAATCTGTTGGAATGACAGCCCTCACATAAGAGGGACAAATAGGATACCATCTGCTTCCCTGTCCCTTTCCAGCCTCTATCCTCACAATCAAACCCCCCAATCCCTCCTGAACGGAGAGCTCAGCAGAGCCTCGGGCAAAAGGGGGTGTGAATGTAATTTGAGGTCAGGGTTTTGCTTCTGAGGTCTGATTAAGTGACATCATAACAGCAAAGAATCAACAACACACGTCCATAAACACCTAGCATGAATATCCCTGTGTGGCCACTAGTTAGAGTTTCTAACATCAGAGTTTTGCAGAAACTGACGTCTTCTCTTTTTATTTCACTGAACTTCCTTTTACGTTGAATAAAGTTTAAGTCCAAGTTTAATAGGTTATGCGATTTGATTTTCAATTGTCATTGAAACCTTTATAGACTTATAACACAACATATGAAACGAATGGGACATTATTCCCACATCCCCTCCCGGCTCATTAGCAGAGCATGGAAATTGCTCGCTGATGCAAAACATGTTGGGCTGGTGTCTCTGTGTAACATTCAAGTCTTTCCAGGAGATCAGCCATTCGAAATATTGCACCCCCTCCCTATTGGCCTTCCTTCTTTTCTAGTGGGGAACTACTTGTGGACGCTGGTGACCCAGAGCGCCCTGTCTCCCCCTGAGCCAGCCAGCCCACAGGCTCAGCCTCTCCATGTGGAGACAGCGGGAGTGTAAACAGAGCTGATGGTTTCTGACAGATCCATTCAGACTGAAAATCATTTATTCTTCAGGATTTTTTTTTTTGCCTCTCTCCTTTTTCATGCACCCCCCACCTCCTCCTACGCACAAAAAGAGCTGTCCATCTAGCATGAGATAAAATATGCTTCTTTTGACAGTTTTCTATACAACCACTTCAGAGAAGCAGTTTGAAAGAGTTTATGCATCTAAAAAAAATGTGATTTTTTTTACCTCTTGAAGTGTCTCAGGTGCGAGTGTTTTCAGTAGAATGTAACAAGGAAACAAGAGTTTGCTCCGTCTGAATGCTAGTAACTTGTAGTGGAGCTGAAGATGGCGTGCAGTCCTACCTGTAGTTCTGCGGAGACAGATGATGTCCGGCATTCTCAATTATTCCTGACATCCCTGATGTTATTCCACCCTCTATCATTTCCTGGGATATGTGGTATCCTATCTGTGCAGAAAATAACACACTCTTGTTTATGCACAAGGTCAAAACTCCCCCAGAAACAAGCAAACAATTCAGAAACAGTTATTACAATTTTTGCTATTTAGTATCAGATAGGGTCTAATTCAGTAAATAAACATGGAGAGCAACAAGGGGGATTTATATAGATTTGGAATAACTCTTTAACAGGGAATTGCACCCAAGTTTTCATTCATGGTTCAATAAAAAAAACAACAACAACCAAATATACAAGCCTGCTAAGTCTTTGTTGTTGCACAACCACTGATGTTACACAGTTTGAGTATATAGAATATAGTTTTCTTTAGTTAAAAAGACAGCAGTTTAAAAATGTTAATAGGTTGCCACATTTTTCAGACAAGAATGAAATGTCTAATTATTTAGAGGACCTACAGAAGGATGACGGTCAAAGTTTATAAATCACTGAAGTGACTATAAAACTATATATCTAATGGATACTGTATCTGAAAAAGAGGAAATCAGTTTGAAAGTCACCTGTTTTTGGTTGATATAGACGAATGAGAGAGCAGGCCGCGAGTCCCTGTACTGTATTCCGCTGTGCTGGACTTGATTCTCCCAAAAAACCGTTTTTAAATTTCCCTCTCTGGAGCTGTCCAGCGCTCACGCATGCGCAGTGGAGCGCTCGCAGGGCTCCCACTCGGCCGGGGGGCAGGAGGATCCCATGAGTTTGACAGCTGTTGTTCATACACTACCTGTCAACAGTCCCGGCCACATCGAGCTTTGTGATAGCAGTCCTTACTGTTTTAGGGGTATTTTGCACAACGGTTTCATCCAAACTCCAGCCAGAGACTAAAAGCTTTGCATTTAACGTTTGTCAAACGAATAAAACCAGGCGGTCAATCTCGTCTCTTTGGTCCCATCTGCGCCTTTGCTGCTAAAAAAATGACAAAATACGCCAACTGAAGCCTAAATCATGTCCAGATGAACTTTTAGGGCACAAAAAATATTGAGTCAATTTTTTTTTATCCAAAAGTTTCGCATAGAATAAAAAAAAAAAAAAATCGACGGTAATAACAAACAAAAAGTCCACTATTTGAAATAATAATAAAAAAGACTCGTTAGGCGTCCATTTTGCTCCTCCTGTCCTCTTGAAAAAGTTATTCAAAGTAACTCCCTCGTTCAGGTCTAAGCCGTTATGAGTCTTGTGGTGGCATCTGTGCATGTAAGTGTGAAGTTTTTTTTCTTTTTTTTTCCTGAGGAAGTGCTTGTAGATAATTTGCTTCCCGCCGCAGAGGCCGCGTCCTGCGCCCCTGAATAGTGGGAGAGGAGCCCGGGAGGCGGTGCAGGCTGGGCAGGGTAGGGCAGGGGGTCTGTGGGCTGCAGCAGGAGGCGGCAAAAGCTCACACTTGTCTGAAGAGTCCATTAAAAAAAAACAAAAAAAAAACCCAACCCTGAAAGGGTTGCATGTCTGATTTAGTCCAGGGGTATTTTCAGAGTCCAGAATGAGCTGGAAAGTGGAATGAATGGCCTCCCAGATTTCAGTTTATGTTTCACTTTGAGCTCTTGCTCAGTTTACCAGAACAGAAAGTGTTGGAAACATGTGATGATTTTTTAGAAAGAAAGATTTTTGCAACAGAATTTGAAAGCATGTTGGGTTCATTTTATAGCTACCTGGTAAACATGTTAAACCAGTTTGGAGTTAAACTGAGACTGGAAACGAAGGGGAGATAGAAGTATCAGTGGTATCAGCCCCATGGGACCATACAGATGGTAAATCGGCCTGTCACAATAGGCACAATCAATGATTACATGCATGAACGTAACGGACAAAAACAAGACCATCCTCACGGAGAGGGTCCTTTAGGTCCTAAAGCCCGCGGGGTTGTGATGTGGAAACAGGGTGAGCACTGCAGAGACTCATGCTTGGACTGTTACAGACCTAATCCGGGGAGTGTTTAGGATGATAAGGATGATGGTGATGGAGGTGGTGTAATTTATTTGACAGTTTGACCCTTGCACCCCGCTACCATGACAATCACACAGTATAATCAGCAGGTGGTGAGCATAAATAACAGGAACACCTTAATACAGCTGGAAAAATGGTCGATTCCACAAACAGTTGAGTTATTATGATAATCAGTTAATGATTTCAAAATAATGCAACCATAAAAAATCTAAAATGTACTGCAAGCAAAATCAGTGAGAAATAAGAATCTTAAAGTTGATTAAGACCCATTGATATTAAGTACATGCTGATAACAATGTCTGACGTCTAATATTTAATCTGTGCGTCTTACAAACATTATTCAAGTTTATAAAAATTTTACTTTTTCGTTTGTTCCCCTAACTTAGCTTTTGATTTTAAGTAAAACACACGTTATTTATAATAATTCATGTTTTAAAGATTTAAAAGTGTAGCATAGAGTGCATTCACATTTTAAGTAGATTTTTCTGAATCTGACAGAGTACAAATATTTGCAATCTATAAGATCAGAGTTGATGAAAAAAACTGAAGTCATGCTGATGTTGGAAAAATATAATTTTCCGTGCAAACGATAAGATATCTGAGAGTAGTGATGGGATGGCAGTGGCCTGTGGGAGGGGTCTGGCCCTGTGCGGTGCAGGCAGACCTAGAACTGCTGAGAGCAGGAGCCCTGCCTGCAGCTGAGGAGCTCAGAGGGACGGCTCCGGTCCCTCCTGCCTGTTCAGGAGCAACGTGGAAACAATGGGATCAGCGCCGGAGGGCTGGCCCCGGTTTGCAGCCCGTGTTTTTGTCTTGCACCAAATGTTTACTCAAAACACACAAGCCCCCTCTGAGAATGGGGTCAGCTGGCCCCTCTAATCGCCTCCGCAGGCAGAGACACGGTGTCCCTCTGAGGAGCTTGTCACCTAGAGTGACCCACCGGTCACACTCAGGAAGCGACTGTCAGCCATACTTAGTCAAGGCGCAACATCGGTGTCCTGCCAAATACTGCTTCTTTTTTTTTTCTCCCATTAAAGCCTCAACCTGGATGAAGCGGTGTCCGGATTGTTAGGTCACAGGCTGTTCTGTTGGAGTCAGTCAGTTATAGATGACTTACAAGTTGTTCTGTTGAGGATACACCTTTAGAAAAGAGAGATGATGACTAACACGTTGCATCAATGGCTATGATGATGTACTATTTACTTCTTTACCGTAAGATTGAACAGTGTGTTTACATATGCAATACAACTTTTATTTTGTCTCTATTTGAACTAATCTGCAATGAGGTAAAAAAAAAAAGTCAGTGTCATCCCTATATAAATGCAGAATACAACCAGTTGAAATAAAACAATATCATCCTTAAAAGGCGTGCACAGATAAGCTCAGATTTTGTGATTTCTGCCACATTTTCAAATATTTCAAATATGTAAAAGCAGAAAATTCTTCAACAGTGAACTTGAAGCTGTCCACTTTTGGGGTTGTTCTGTGAAGTGGTAACAGGTGTCGACATTGCTCGGTATGCTCATTGTCATTTTGAAATTGTCCTGGAACAGTTGTAAACTTGATACTGAGATGTCCTGTTGGCTGTGTGAGTCATGAGCCCTTCATTTATTTGCATATAAAGCAGGGAGGTGACATTTCAGTGGCCATTCGAGACTCTTGCTAGTTCCAGCTGTAAACTGATGCAGTTGGAACTTGTGCATCACCCATTTATCAGCAGTCTTCTCCAATGATAAGGGTCTTTGGTTGATCCACTGATAATGCACGGCCATTATTTTTATTTTACCTCAGGGTCAAAAGCTACAGTTATACAAATCACAATTTGATATGCAGTATTTAAAATGAAAAAGTACGAAAAAAGCTAAACCTAATCAACAGTGAATATGAGAACTTGGTAATTTTATAGTCCTGCAAGAGATTTATAAGATGCTGTAACCATGCACTATATCATAAAACAAAGAAGAAGTTGCGTGTAACACGTTATTTAATGAGAAAAATCACAGTGCCATTATATGTCTTCAACTGGGAAAATAAAAAAATAGTGTAATCAACAAACAGTTGAATGTGATTGAATAGAAAATCCTAGTAGCAGCTAATCAATGTCATCTACTTCTTGATTAGGTCAACATATTCAGTTTATGAATCCATCACATTATTTAGAGAAAGTGAAATGTTTCCAGTTTTTCCAGACCACACAAATGAAAAGGTTGGGGTGTGTATCTTGAAGCCTTCGTTAATTTTCCTTCCACTAAATGGAACTATGCACCGTGATGAATAAGAGCAAGCTAAAATGATGTTGTATGTCATCAACTTCACACAACATGTCTTTTAGTGTAGTTTTACATGGGAACACCAATGTCAGACTTCAGGACTGAAAATGTTTACTTTCTGCTTTGTGTTTTATCGGTTATTCATGTTCAAACCATTGTTCCATAGTAGTCAATCATAAATGCCTCTAAAGAGTCCCAACAAACCATTTTCTTTTTCTACACAGCAGATAAATTCTCTACAGAACGCAACGCTTTCAAGTCCCATATCCCCCAGTGATCACAGAGAGGGATTTATCAAATCTTTAGAAAGGGTCAGCGGTATTGACCTTTGTGTGGCCTATGTCAACACCAAAGCCTCTGCTCTAAAGCAATGTCAAGCTTTTTCAGTGCCTTAAATGGTAAAGAGGGAGCAAAAGTCCTCCTCTTTTTCACAGATGATTGAATCTAAAAGAGCATTATATCCAAACAAGCTTTTACCTCGTTTTAAAGTGGCATAACCGGCACATTGTCTGTCCAATTCGAGTGGCACTAAGACACTCTTAAGTTATGTTCCCTGTGTCATTCTGCATTCACCTTTTATGGCACCTTTTCAGTTGATTTATGCTTTTATTGTTTGTTCAGTGTATTCTCTAACCAGCTAAAATCAAGTTGAAACTAGCCTAATGTACATTACAGAATGAGAAGATCGCAAGTTTTTTCTGATTCTTCTGCTTTTCATAAGCAAGAGATACATTTTACTGTCATAGATAATGTCCTATCTGGTGAATGAAGTAACCTCACTGGCCCATCAATTTGGGACACACAAATGATGATGGGCCTGGCCTTCGATACGCTGCCCAGAAAAATCTGAATAATGCTCTATGAAAGCTTGAGATATCCAAAGAAAAGAAAAGGGAAGAAAGGCAGTCCGATGGAAAAGAGGAATTAGATAGGAAGACAGACAGAAATAACCAGAGGGAGGGGGGACAGTAAGATGGACAAAAAATGAAGAGAGAAGACGGAGGGGGAGCGGCAGTGGTGTGATGTGAGTGTTATCATCAGCTCTCATTCTCAGCATGGAATCTATAATGGGAAAATCAACCTCTCTGACTCCTGTGTAATTGGATTTGCCGGGTCTCGTGCTGAATCAGAGCCCAGTGGGTAGCACAAAGCTTGTTAAGATTGGACAAGCATTGCTGGGATGGGGGTCGGGGTGGGGCGAGAGGTAACCGTGACAACTTTTCTACAGTGGAGAGTGAATAATTTAATATGTTGAACACTCAACTGGTCCTCCATTTTAGGCAATTGACTGAAAGCTTCTCACACAATAATCAGTTCATAAACTTGGGGGTGGGAGTGGGGGGGGCGACACCTGAGCTTTTCTCACATATAGGTCACCAGAGCAAAGACAATGGAGACCTGCGTTACCTTGGGGAGAAAATGTTTTCTACCACTGGTTACTAGGTTACAAGGGTAAACACTTTATAACACCAGCCTAGTCATTTGTACAAGTTCCTGCTACTTTGAGGTCTGATCTGTTTTGCAATGTCATGATATAAAAAAAAGCCACTGGAGATTCTGAGATGTACATTAACCTAACACCCCATTCCAAACTGGTTTATCCAGGGGCCGGAAGCTGTGAAAGGACAGCTGTGAGAGAAGAAAGCCAGATGAAATTATTCTTGGTGGTAGTACATAACATGAGACGAAGGCAGCTGTGTGGAGCAAGGCCAGAAAAATTGTTTATATAAGAGGTGCTATACTGTTGCCCAAATTTTAAATCCTTGATTTTCAGCTGCCAACTCAGTTTCTATTATGGCAGAAAACAATGTTTCTTTCTTTTTGGGAGTCAGCCTCTATGCATCTTACAAATCACTACAAGTGGTGATGGCTCGGAATGTGACTTTAAACAGCATTATTTATCTGGGTAACATATTTTGAGTGATCAGACCCACCTAATCACAGATCGGTTACAAGACCTACAAGACACGCCAGCTGAGAGAATATTGATGTTTTTTTTTTTCTCGTGGTGGCAGTGATGTAATGAAGCTTGGGCAGAGAGATGGAGAAGTTGAAGACAGGTGAATCAATTGGTGTGGTCTGGATCTTGTTTCTGTTTTGTCACGTTACACTCAGTAGAGCAGTAGATACCCAGGCATGCACTGAATAAGATCTCAATGTCCCTCCACCTCCCAGACATGAATGATTAAGCACTGAGGCTGAAGTGCTCTCAACTTGAGCAAAGACAGTGGTATATGTGTACATTGGCTTCTGTGCAGCATGTCCAACGCTGTACTCCCAGCTCTTAAAGCAGAAAGGAGCCACTGCGCACACCAGAGGGCACAGTGAATGTATTTCTGTTGTATCAAACAATTCTGTCAATTGCCAACTAACTGCCAAGAATTAAGTGTCTCGGTGACAGCCCCCATGCAAGCGGAAACAGAAGGACTCACCATTTTTGTCTAACGTCTGCGGTGAACAGGACTTTTTCCCCGTTTGGAGTCAGGCCGCATCTGTCCAGCAGACTAAAGACGCTTCGGAAATGCAGGTTTGACTTTACTTTGTGTCATGAAAATTGAATTTGTTCTTGGTTGATCGTTTTGTCCACATCCTTTTTCATGTTTAAATGCTTGCTGCAGTTCAGAAATCCCACTGTCAGCACAGGTTCATGAAAGTTCCCCATTAGTGATGGTCAAAGACGTCACCCAAGGGTTTGACTATTTTCCTCACCAGATAATCGTGGTAATGGTTTAGATCTGTGGGCTTGGATGACTCATGAGTATCTCCGAAAAAATGTGACATTTTGAAAACCTAAAACAATTTCTAAACAAAATTTCGACAGAAAGAATGATACCAGTGCCACGAATGTAATGCAACAGCCAGCAAGAAAAGGGGATGAGATCAGCTTTAGGATGACATCATTTACCCACAAGCACCTATTGTTATTTGCCTGTTTTCATCAGTTAGCATTTTAAGCACGATAAAGTTGCTTTAACACAGTTTTAAGGTTTTGGTGGCATCACACTTTTCTACCGTTTAATTTTCAGTGCAAAACAAACAAACACTATGGGGTCAATTAAAACATCAGTGAGGAGCTGATGGGCTGACTGTTACAGTCCAATGGATGACCAGTTTAGAAAGACCTAAGCTTGACCGTGGAGTATCACCCTATTTGACTTACAAACCTGAGAACTGTACCAAGCACCTCAATTAACCCTTTAAAGCCTGATCGAAGAAAAATAGGAAGAATATTGGATTTGTTTTAGTCTGAAGTCTTTCTTTGGCCCCTCAACAACATATGAAGAAAAAGGAACAGAAATTAGTTTGATCAAATTAGCGTGCAATAAGTCAAAAATATATTTTGGTGTAGTCTTCTACTGGCTGTTATCAGGTATATCTGAATGTACAACAGGGGTTTGAGCCAAGCTTTTACCACTGAATGATGCTAAAAGTCTCAGATCCAAAAGACTTCAGAAAGCGTATGAATCAAATATGATACATTTGGCATTATAGGGTTAACTTCTGCACAGGGAGCAAATGAGGTGTTTCCATCAAATTTTGAAGCCATTCTGCAAGGTCTGTGAGAGGTAGGCCCCTCTCAAGGTAAAATAAGCACATAAAATGCCTTTGTGTCTGGGGAATGAATTTTTTTCTTGTTTGTGAATAGAATACTAGAATAGTTCCAAACCTGCTCCCCCTCCCTCCCCCATCTAAAACTACTTCCACTTCACACACCGATGAGGTCACTTTGTCTCAGGCAACACTGACACTCTAGACCCAGATGAGGGACCATCTCTTAATTAAAATACAATTGCTTTTACTCTGAAGTGGCATGGTGATCTGTCTGATCTGACAGTGGCCTTAAGGTTTAGTTACATAAACTTTCTTTCCGTTGCGTGTTGTACTGACTTGCATGTTGATTTAATTGTAATCAAGATCAGAGTCTAGCTTATTTAGTTTGTTCAATGTATAAGGCTACAATAGCTCTTGCAGCAACCTTTTCAGTAGTCAGATGCTTTCTTCAGGTCGGGCCCTCTTGTCTGCACGGACTCAGAACGCCCATTTAGTGTTCAGCCTTTCAAGCACAGAGTCATTAGAAACAGTTCTGCCTGCTGCAGACAGCTTTCTTTAAAAGAGATACCGGCAGGACACCAAAGGAACCTGAATGGCAAACAGCAAACTTTTAGATTTAGTCAGATAACCGAAAACATTAGCATTATTATCGCCACTGAATTCATTAATCCGTCCCTTGACAGGAGCTTATCTATCCATGTTATTACTTGTAATACTGTATGGCAGATCCCTAAGTCATGCAGTCCCAGCACATTGTCTACTTTTGCTGCCCTGAGAGAAGTTTGTTCCCATGAAGGAAGGGGTGTGACACATACCCCACACCAGCACGGCTACCATCACATTGCCAGATTGATTCTGACGTCCTAAAAAGGGCTCCTTCAATGATATTGTTCACCTGTCTCATTGGCTTAAAGTGGGTGGGTGGGAGGGGGGTGATGTGGGAAGGGGGTCGTGTGAGGGTTATTGGTGGGGACACGGGGTGAAGAGCATGGTTGAAAGAGGACTGAGAGGATTGGGGGTGCAGAGCTGACAGGTGGAAAAAAAAAAAACACTCATCTGACTAGCCTCCTTCAACCTTCCATGGGGCCCTGTATGAGCAAAGTAATGAAGTCCAAATTACGGCACAGGATTGCGAAGAACAAGCCTCTATTGTTTGCCCTCGGGGCACACTAAAGCAAACTAAATGAGTGTCACAGCAAACAGCAGGACACAGACCGTTACTGCACTATTTAGTCTGTCCCGTTGTCTCGAGACGGCCCCGTTTCAGAGGTTCTCAGATCAGACAAATACGGCTCCCCTTCTCCCCCCGCCTCCTTCGCCTTCAACCTTCCTCTGTACAGCTGACCCCCCCCAACTCCTCACCCCAAAATAGGCCAAATCTCCTCTATTGTGTTTCGACTGCCTAGTGTGAAATTCACTGTGACGTTAAATGTTTTCTAATGAATAATTACTGAATGGATATGCAGGGGGAATATGTGTAATGGATTGTAGACTGCATTTTAAAGACGTTTTTTTGTCTCTGCTCCGTGGTATTTACAGGACAAAAACACTTGGCCTTTCTAAGAATAAATGAGGGCCATAGGCGAAGGACAGAGCAGGGGGAGGAGGAGGGAAGGAGGGCTTTGTGTCAATTAGATCCATTGGATTATCTTTTTTTAATGTTTTTGCAGGGAGAGTTGAGAATCAAAGGACTTCTGCTTCCAAAAGACAGAGAAAAAATACAAAACCAACAAAAGCTGTGAAAACCTTTGGTCCAAGTGTTGATGCTGCGAATGCAAAACAGATCGGTGGAATTTTTTCCCACTATGCTTCTTAAATGTGCCGCGGGCTCCGCCAGTCCATTTGCACACTGTGTTGTGTTTGGTTGGTGCCCCAGCTCAAGTGAACCGTGGGCCGCCAGCCAAGGTCCCTGTGTGCTGTGTAGCAATGATTATCTTATGTCTGTTCATCTGCACAATCACAAACCTTGGCTTCAAAGACATTTAAGACATCCAGACCTCTCATTTCAATAGATCTAACAGACACCATGTTTGTGCTTTTTCTGGTGCCTTTTCCAGCACTGTCCTCTCCCATGGTGCCATTTATTCAAATAATAGCCTCAATTGCCAATATGAATGAGTGCTTTTTAAGACCAAATTCTTATGCATGCAAAAATGGCTCCCGTTTTGTTATTACTTCGGCCTTGTTTACCTCTTCTACTCACACTAAAAGTTAGAACTGGTTTATTCTGGATCAGGTAACTATGAAGTATGTAGTTGTGTTTTACAAGTAATAGATTTAGTTGTTAGATGTAGATTATGTTTGATAATGCGGCCTACCACTTGTTGTTCAGGGTCAGCTGGACATGGAGGGTGCCCTGACTGCCAGGGACCGGGTGGGAATTCAGGACTTTGTCCTTCTGGATGAAACCACGGAGGCCGCCTTCATCAGCAACCTGAAGAAACGTTTTAGCAAGGATCTTATCTATGTGAGTCTGGCCAAGGACTGTTTAAAACCCCACTTTTAAAAAAGATGTGTCCGTATTTGCATTCTAACTCTTTCCCATCATTCTTTTAGACTTACATTGGTACATTGTTGGTGTCTGTCAATCCATACAAGGAGGTGGACATCTACAATAAGAAGCAGATGGATACCTACATGGGAATCAACTTTTTTGAGCTTCCACCTCACATGTGAGTGTATGGCTAACATTAATACTATAACTGAAAAGACAATGACAAAAACGAGTAGTACACAGATATAAAATTACAGAATTGTCAGGATTAAAAATGTATGACTTCACAGAGGCTGCATTACTTATTTCAATTGAAGGCCTTTGCAAGATGTAAAATTAATAAAACCATATTTACTCTATTAATGAGCTGTTTGTCTAATGCAAAACACTGTTTACTGAGATCAAATATTTTAAACACACCAGTATCCAGATTTATTCTATGACTCACCCTGTTACAGAATTTCTTAGAGATGAGGAATTATTTTGATGCTTCCTGCTTTAGATAGCATTCTCCCATCATATTTTGGGAATATTGAGCATCATACTGACTCACTGCCACCTCTGTATTTCATTATCAGGGGTAGATACTCACCATAATAATCTTGTTTTTGGCCAGTTAAAAAACACAATACCATAAAGAGAATTAAAATCTCAATACACGTGAGCAAGCAAATTTACCTCAGTTAGTTATGTCGTTGCATTTTTATATCTTTTGTCAAATGAAGTGACTTTTTGTCTAGTTCATAGAACTTTACTAGTGAGGCCTAATGATTACCATTCATACTTGCAGCTATGCCTTGGCAGATAATGCCTACCACATGATGCTGACAGAGTTCAACAACCACTTCATCCTCATCTCTGGCGAGAGTGGAGCGGGGAAAACCGAGGCCTCCAAGAAAATTCTGCAGTATTACGCTGTCAGCTGTCCAAGCACGAATTTACTAAACACTGTCCGAGACAAGATGCTCATGTCCAACCCCGTCCTGGAGGTCAGATTCTTACTATACAGTATATCATTGCTGCCTCACAATGATATAAACAGTGGTCGTTGTGCTCTGCTGCAGGCTTTTGGGAATGCCAAAACACTGAAAAATGACAACTCGAGTCGGTTTGGAAAGTATATGGACATCCAGTTTAACAGCCAGGTGAGAAGCCACAGAAATGACAAAGCCTTTTCTCATGACCATTTATTAAAGGAAGGTGATGAGCCTTAAGACAATGGGAGAATTAAACATCAGAAAAGTTCTTTTGACCACCAATTGATCATCACTGTCTTTTTTAAAAGACTTAAATTAAGGAGATTCCTCCTGAAAAGTCTTAAATCGGGTCTCCAGACCATAGGCTATGCTTTTTCTGCAAGTTGTGGAGCTGCTGTCTTCTGGATCTTGCTGCCGTAGGGGGATGCTGTTGGGGGCCACATACTGAACTACCTACTCGAGAAGTCAAGGGTGGTACATCAAAATCACGGGGAGAGAAACTTCCACATCTTCTACCAGTTGGTGGAGGGGGGAACGGACGACTTACTGCGGCAGCTGGGCCTGGAGAGAAACTGTCAGCATTACAGCTACCTGACACAAGTGCGTAGGGTTTTCGTGAGGCTTCTCTAGGTAATACCAATCCTTACTCTTTGACAGTTTGTTTCATGTGTGCTGTTTCCGACAGGGGGAGTGTGCAACTGTGCCATCCATTAATGACAAAAATGATTGGAAATCTGTCAAGAATGCACTGCAAACAATCGACTTTGACGAAACGATAACAAAGGTAAGTTGGCTGGTATTGCAGATGCCTTTAAAGTGGTTGATGCTTGTCTGTTTGGTGGTGATGTTGAAATCCTAATTCTGCGCAGCACTTGTTCGGGATTGTTGCAAGTGTTCTCCACTTGGGGAACGTTCAGTTTGACATCGACAACACAGGCCATGCCCTTCTGGACAAGAACACAGAACTCCGCTGGGTTTCAGATGTAAGGAGATAGAAAAAAAGATTTTAGTGTCCAAGAAGCAAAACACTGTCTGATATTGGTTCTGTTCTCACAGCTGCTTGGTGTGGATGCCCAAACACTTGAGGAGGCACTTATATTCAGAAAGATAGAAGCCAGAAAGGACCAGGTTCGTGATCATTAACACTTCATTATGTTTATTTAAGTGTTCAGCTGCTGTCTTGATCAAACTTTCCATATTTCTTCATGGTAAAGGTCCTCAGTCCATTCACAGTTGATCATGCCATATATGCCAGAGACGCCCTGGCAAAAGCCATCTATGGACAGACCTTCACCTGGCTGGTCAACAGGATCAACGACTCCATGGAAAACAAGGTGAAAGAGATAAGGCTGTGTTACAAACAGCAAATCCCAGAAAGTTCAGTTTGTTTTACTGATGTTTTTTTAATGATAGGATTCGACACAGATGACAGTTATAGGGCTTTTGGACATCTATGGATTTGAGGTTTTCTATGTCAACAGGTAGGTGGTCATCTTCACATTTTAGCACTTTAGTTCTATCACCTCGCAGCAAGAGGTTCTGGGTTTGGTACGGCTCTTCTCTGTCTGTGGTTTGCTGGAATTGTACGTTTTCTCAGTTGCTCAGGCTCCCCATCATAGTCCAACTAAACTGAGTATAGAGAGTGAGCATGCACGCATGGATGTCCCTCTCTGTTTACTTTGTGATGGAGTTGTGACAGAAGATGTGTACAGGAAATAAAATAACTGACTGGGTTCCTGAGCCCGGTCCCTTCGTCTTCACTCTTTTCCCCAGCTTTGAACAATTCTGCATAAACTACTGCAACGAGAAGCTACAGCAGCTGTTCATCCAGCTGACACTCAAATCTGAGCAGGAGGAATATGAAGCAGAGGGAATCGAGGTGATGTAAAGAAACTCGAACAACATCATAAATGAAGGACTCTTTCCATTCGTGTGCTCTTAACGTTTTTTTTTTTCTCTCCCAGTGGGAACCAGTTCAGTTCTTCAACAACAAGATCATCTGTGACCTGGTTGAGGAGAAACACAGAGGAATCATACCACTACTGGTGTGTATTTCTGGGCTGATATCGATTATCAAAATATAACAAACAAACAGTAACACCAGCTTACGATTATCCCACAGGATGAAGAGTGTCTCAGACCAGGAGATGCTACAGATCTCACCTTCCTGGAGAGGCTGGAAGAAAAGATGGGGAATCACCCCCACTTTGTAACGTGAGTTAAATCCCGTCACAAGCAGGGATATGACACAACTTTACAAAAGAGAGAATTTAGTTACTGAATGATGTGAAAGTTGTCCCTCAGTGCTAAAGTCCATTAACCAATGCCTCAGTGATTGCAGTCAACATTGTGCCAGCGGAGAAAGAGGATTAGCAAGCGCATATAAAGCCCCTCACTCTTCAACCGTTTGTCTCTCTCCACCTCCTCGAGTGCAGACACAAACTGGCTGACAAACTGACACGTAAAACCCTGGAGAGGGGAGATTTCCGTCTCCTGCATTACGCCGGGGAAGTCACATACTGCGTTGTGGGTAAAAAGAGCCACAGTGTCCTGACTTCTCCCTCACACATGTACACCATTTTTATTGTAAAATGTTCACTCGGTGACTCCTGAATTTGAATTTGTGTTCTGTCGATAGGTTTCTTGGACAAAAATAATGACCTGTTGTACAGAAACATAAAAGATGTAAGTTGTTGATTTGCTGCATGGTTTACATTTGATACATTGAACAAAGGTTTTCGATATGACGATCTTTTATCATGCTGGATGCTTGTAGATAAATAAAAAATTCTTGGTGTTTCACAATTCAGCATTTATGTGCCAGAAAGTCTACATTGTTGTATGTCATGCCACCTCTTCCTGTAGCTGATGTGTCAGTCTAAAAACATTATAGTCAGAGAGTGCTTCTCCACCATGGACACAGAAAACAAAAAGAGACCAGAGACAGTGAGTTCCTTCATGTATTGCTCTTCATACCCTTCGACTCTAACGTCTAAATCATTAACCTATGCTCACAATGACCATCGTCATTTGTCTGTAGGTGGCAACGCAGTTTAAGAGCAGCCTGCTGAGGCTGACGGAGATGCTCATGGCGAAAGAGGCTTGGTATATTCGCTGCCTAAAATCCAATGAGTCCAAGACACCTGGTACGACAATAGACTAACAGCATGGCGCTTAATGTTCAGAAGACGGAGACGTGAGAGCTTGACTAAACTGCTCTTATGTCAAACACACAATCACAGGTCAGTTTGACGAGGCCCTGATCAGACACCAGGTAAAGTACCTGGGTCTGATGGAGCATCTCAGGGTCAGACGAGCTGGTTTTGCTTACCGACGCAAGTACGAGGATTTCTTAAAGAGGTGCCTAAATGACCACCCACAAAATCACACCCTTTGATTTTTCAGTCAGAAAGTGTAGTATTTGAGTCTTTTGGCTTTTCTTTTAGATACAAACCGCTGTGCCCGGCCACCTGGCCACACTGGAGAGGAATGCCTGCAGACGGAGTGGAAATACTGGCCCAACATCTGGGATACCTGCCAGATGAATATAAAATGGGACGGTGAGGAAAGCAGTCGAGAAAATGCACCACGAGCCAGAGATACAAAAGACACTGTTGCCCATAAGGCTTCATTTTGTCATGGTGATTATTGATGTGTATGAACTGGAATAAAACGTGCAACATGTTATCTAAAATCATTCAATTTTATCAGGAACAGTGTAAGGATTTATTGTCAAACAACAGTTATCTATATTGGTGCAATGTTTGATTTTCACAGAACCAAAATATTCATCCGACATCCCAGGACACTTTATGCCACAGAGGATGCTTTTGAGAAATGCAAACATGACCTGGGTGAGTTTGGATGAAATGTTAAAACCTCTCATTAGGATTATTAGCATGAATTAAGTTTATGCTTTGGATTTCCAGCATCAAGACTCCAGGCAAAATACAAAGGATACAGGGTAAAAGGAGAGTACCGAAAACAGAAGGAGGCTGGTAAATGTGACAAGTTGTGGTGCTTGAAAGTTTGCGAACATTTTGGAATTTTCTGCAAAACTAAGGCCTTGAATATGAAAATAGATGTTTTTCAGTGGATAAACCAAAGAGGAATCCGTGTAAAGTAGTGAAAACTAAAATCAAATACAACATTATATATCGGTTGGTTTGGAAAAAGAGACCCCATATCTCATCTGGAATGACCCTACATGTTTTATTGCTCTGAACAGAACAGATTCGAAATTAGATTGTTTGTTTTTTGTTGACAATTCTTCAGTAAATTACAGCCATTTAGTCTACTTTGACATTTCTTTATAACATGTCATGCTGATTACATGCTGGGGAAACAAACCAACATTGTCAGTGGAAGTATTCCACGGAAGGGAAAAGATTTCTGTGCTTTCAGTGTTGTTTTTGCACGAAAATGAAACTACAAAGCTCTACTTTGGCCTGATAAATCTGTAAAAAAAACGATTTGAGAAGCTATTCATTTGTTCCTTTGATCTTAATCAAAAAGAGCATGTATAGTAATGTTTGCGTTGCAGAGAAGTGGCTTTTCCTCTAACTTTTCCTCAAACTCTAACTTGGACTTTTTGAGAAAAAAAACAATACTTTTAAAATAATCTTTTGTTGACCACTCCGGAAAGGGGTCACAGTGTCCTTGGATTTCTACTAATTATACATAATCACGCCTCTTAACGTTAGGGGTGGCTCCACCGCCTGCTCTAATCAGACGCCTCAGCAACTCTTTGTTCATGCACCGATGAAGTGATCCCTGTTCGGCCATAAAACCGGCCACACACTCGTTTGTTGAACCCATTCCATCCTGATGCATTAAATAAGTGTCCTTGAGCATGTTTGGAGAGTTTCTCAGGTCTAAGTGGACAATTAGGTTGCCTTTGTAAACTTTTAGCAATTGCATGACAGTCTGATGCATTTTCAGGTTATGTTCATGCAGAAATGTGGTGATTTTTTTCACAAATGTTTAAGCCTCACAGAAGATGCTCACTCTCGATGGTGAAATCATTAAACTGCACGTCTTTCAACACAGCCACTAAAATTGAGACGTGTTGGAGAGGAGTGCAGGCTAGGAAGGAGAGAGAGAAGAGAGCCTGGGCTGTGAAAGTCATCAAGAAGTGCGTAAGAACTAAATGAAATGATGCATCGTCACTGCACCATGATTCTCCGTAAGCATTTATGGCTGCATGCTATCTAATCCCCCATTTTCAGGTTCATCAAAGGCTACATGACCAGAGGGCAAGCAAAAACCACAGACAACTCTGAGTATCTCGCCTTTGTGAGACAGAGTTACTTGAACAGGTTAAAAGACAATCTGCCAAAGACTGTTCTGGATAAAAGCACCTGGCTAACTCCACCACCCGTGCTGACCGAGGTATTGCAGGACATGCTTAGATTTCACCAACCTAAGATTTTTGTTTAGTTTTGGACCCCCTGCGTGTCTCTATTCTTTTACATTTTTATAGACATCAGAGATTCTGCGTAAACTCCACTACCGTTTAATGGTGCGGAAGTACGTGAGAGGAATCACACCTCAGAAGAAAGCCCAAGTAAGACACACCCAATACATCAGATGAGACGGGAATGGAGTAATTTAGAAGGTAAACGGTTTAATTTTTTGTCCTTTTAAGATTCAAATGAAGCTTGTTACCAGCTCCATCTTCAAAGGCAAAAAGGACAGCTATCCACCAAGTGTCCCTCTGCCTTTTGCAGACACAAGAATCAGTAAGAATCAGATACAGCCGCACACTGATAAGCTGGTCTTGAAAAAGCATGTTTAAATAACTTCATATCTTTAGGTGAACAAGATATAAACACAAGGGTTCTACAAATGATTCGTAATGAGCAGATTAAGGTAATAAGTTGCCCTTATCACCTAAAGGTATTTCAGCATGGCATCACATATAGCTTACAGGCTTGTGTTTGGGGTTTTTGCAGTACAGCGTTCCAGTGGTTAAATACGACAGAAACGGCTTCAAACCGAGACCCAGACAGCTCATCCTCACTAAGGCTGCTGCCTATGTGGTAGAGGAGGCCAAGATCAAACAGAGAGTACCATACACCTCTCTCAAAGGTTGGAACAATATGAAAATATAGAGATATTCTGTCCATTGGGATACTCTCCTTCATCAAACTCTTAATTGGTCCATTACAGGAATTTCAGTCAGTAACTTGACTGATGGAATCGTTGTATTCCATGTAACATGTGACGACCCTAAACAAAAGGTATGTGGATATGTGTGATACACTGTTTTATAGGTCTGTTCAGAATATCTTATATTTCACAGATGTGAAACAGGATATGCTGGAAACACAAATGGTTAGATTTGGTGGAACATATTAAACTAAAAGGTGTGCAATTCACAAACAAATCAACTCAAGCTATTTCTCCCTGCTTTCACTAGGGAGACCTGGTGATGCAATGCGACCATCTGATTGAGTTTTTGACTAAACTCAGCATCATTGCTAATAAACAGAATGTGATCAGTGTGGTTCAGGGCAGGTGAGGCTGAGCTTTGAAATGACCAGGTTCGGCTGGACGTGAGCAAGGATCTAAAATAGCTTATTCTTTCACCCCTCGTCAGTATAAAGATTGAAATCCAGGCAGGGAAAGCCACCACAGTGGACTTCAGCACTGGGCCGGAGCCCATGGTGTACAAAGCTAAGAATGGACACCTTACGGTGGTGAGTGGAGAGCAGCGATGACGTTTTGCACTGTATCGAACATTTCACAAAAAAAAAACCTGTTTGTGACTGCAGGTGGCCACTCGGGCACGGACACGGTGACCTGCAGGGCTGAGGAGGAGACACACAAGTAGCTCCTGCATATTTTATCTGCGACCCCCGAGGAGAGGATCAGCATACCTATAGAGTACACACCCGACCAGAAACAGAAGCAGTCACCATGAGCCTCACTTTAGGATAGATGCACAAATCTCATTTATACATGAATCTGGAATCAGACGTTTTCTTCCACCTAAGAATAAACTAGCACAACAAAGCTTCAAGCCTTTACGACTAAAGCCAGGGACAGACATAAGCACCATGAACCCTTTGCTAAATGCAAGTCGTCCTTAAATCATTTAACACGTTTATAAAGCATTTGTATCTAAAATGTGGTACAATACTGCTTCAATATGCCCATGTGAGTGATGAAGCCATATGTGTCATAGTTTTGTATGCTAAGAACCATGGGAATGTGCTAATAAATAAGCAGTGATTGAATATTTGTATAAATTTATTTGTGATACGCTGTGTATAAATATAAAACACGTTTATGTTCACTCCTGTACAACAGAGCTAAAAGTACTGCAACTTCATATTTCAACTGAAACCTGTTGTGTGCACACTGTACATTCTCTGATGATGGACATGTCTAATTTCCCTCCCTGTTAAAAGCTTGTAGACAGGGTTCCCTTCCTACCAGCGGATCTCACGTTACAGTCAGTCACTTCAACCTCAGCTTCCATCGGTCAATCAGCCCTGAACATCTAACACCTCAGGTCACAGCTCACGTTCCCTCCACAGAGGAATGATTTGTTCACTGGTCCGAAGGGAAAATTAATCCATGTTAGAACTAAATATAGCCGAAGCTCTACGGTGAAATTTTGCATCCATCTATGTTAGCTAAAATACATTCTATTAAATGTTTAATGTGTATAATCCGCAAGCTAAAAAAAACTAAACATATAAGAGTGAAACGGTGCCACCCTGTGACCACATTAAGTACAACTTCAGTTTCCTCCACTTTTTTTGTGGATCCTTTAGAACCAAGGAAGAAGCTCAATAATACACATTATTTTGTTCATTGATTACATGATTGGAACTGTTTCTTTCGTTTGTTGCACGGTTTCTAACTCCAATAACAACTTATACTTCTCTCCCCCTCCACATACGCACATAAGACAAAATCTGTAAAAAAAAGTGATTGTGTCTAACAAACGGATAATAATGTACTATAGCTTGAGAGCTTTACAAATACATAAGTAGACACAAACACACACACAGAAAAAAATATTGAATTGATTCATTACTAGACACTGCTTATCAGACTGTCATCTCAGAGCAGCCACCTGGGGAAGCCCGTCAAATCAGAGGGGAAGTCAAAGGAAGAGAGGCGCTGGTTGTTATAAGGCACAGGCGTGGTGTGAAGACAACTCAGAGGCCAGAGACACAGGGTTACAGGTCAGAAGAGGCAGAAGTCACTGGTGGTGGTGTGTGCGGTCATCGGGTCGTTTGATATGAATCCTACGAACTCGCTCCATTCGATCTCGCTCCTCATCCTCTTCGCGGTTATTAGATCGTCCTGCAGCGCCCCCTGTGGCCTCCAGCAGGGCATTGTCTGGACCTCTCCCGTCGTGGGACTCGTACAGGAGGATGTTGAGGGTCTCCTCATAGATTCTGGCCTCAGGGAACTCAACCTATATGTGGGACATTCAATTTAACAACAACTTAATGTCTTTAAAGAACAAGACAGGAAAACTGTGTTTAAGGGCCAACGTGCATCCCATATTTACCTTGGTTTGCTTTTTTTCTGTGGCATAAACAATGGAAGTGCAACACACTTCAGCGATCTTATGACCCTGGCCATAAAAAGACCAACAACAGATCTCATCCCCGATCACATCCTTGATGAAGAGCACTCGACCATTGAACCGCAACGACAGCTTGTCAAACAGCTCAATATTTTTCAGCATGTTGTCATCAGAATTACTGGAGAAGGAAGAAAAAAAGTTGTTTAATGGTTGAGTAGCACGATCTTTAATCTGATCAGAGGAAGGGACTCACCTAGTGTAGGAATACTTGTTGTTGCTTCTGTTATAAAGCAGTTTCACAGTGGGCTGAAAAGACAAAAACAGAACAAAAAAATGTAGGGCTTATCCCAGGAGCTTTGGCAGATTATGAGGGGAAACAACTCATACCTTATTTGAAGTTGCGATAAGTCTCTGCTCTTCCTTGGATGATGTCATCAGAGGTACTTTACAAAGAGGTTCATAGGTTTCTTTGTTCTGGAAGAAAGATTTTTCCCATTTATATATCTAAATATAACAAAGGCATCCTGTGCAGAATGCAGTTATAGAAGAAACACCTCTTTGTCAGGAGGGAAGAATTCACTCCTGCTAAAATAACGCGTGTTCATAACTGCAGTGTTTTACTGTAGATTAGACTTCTTACCAGCTCGATTATATTTGTGCGTTTGTTATGTAAGCAAACTACATCCTTTTTTGTGGTAAGTATAAAGTAAAACTGTGATCCAACCTGAATCTGACTCCATTTTTTTAAAGGTTCAATACCAGCTCCACCGATGTCTGAGTACGAGTCTGTATATCTTTCAGACTAGTTCACATTCCTCTGCTATATATCCCAGACAGTTAAGCATTTCATAAACTAAATAATCTCAAACAAGGTTTTCAAAGTATGTGTCCTGTTTCAGTAAAAAGGACCATTTTCCTTAATCTTTCAAACAACAAACATCGGACTGAGAAGCAAAGTTAAGGCAAGCAGTAATCTATTATTCATTTTCTTTTTTGCTGTGGTTTTTTTCACCAAAAATTGGAATTCCTTACGCACTGGAAAATTGAATAAAACCAAGATCAACATTTAATGCTAACTTAACACACACTTTGGGAACTCAGACTGTACTGTAGATTCAATATTCCTATGATTGGCTGTATTGACGTTAGGTGGAATGGATTTCAGGAATGCTGCCATAGCAACACAATTCTGGAAATGGTACCTGCAAAGCTGCTGTACATTCATCAGCCAGGCCTTGGACAAGGTAATACTTGGCCTCAGCCAGCAGCTCCTCAGTTTCCCGACGACTGTCCGGGAGTGGGACTGCTCCATCTCTGAGGTAGTTAAGGATTGTTCCAAAGTGTTTTCCACAGCGATCAATCAAGATCCAACCTATCAACATTGAATGAGGAGAAATTAAAGGATAACAGATAACATTGGGAGTAGTGTCTGCAGAGGGACTGCTTAAAGTTTCCCCAAAAACTCACCCTCACTATCGGTGAGCACCTCCATCCTGCCGCTGAACATGGCCTTGAGCATTGTGTCCTGCTTGGTTAGTGTCTGCATTGTAGTGTAGTACAAGGCTCCACCCACATTTAGCTTCACATACTTGGAGCTGGGGCTGGAGCCTTTGAAAGATGTGGTCCGTGTTGTAGCTGCCGGCACTGCCGAGCTCACCACACTTTCTCCTGACATCTCTTCCTATAACACAAAATAACTCCTGATGCTCATGGAATCACTCAAATAAAGCAACATGGCCCGTTTGTCAATTAGCTGTGTTGATCTAGCAATGTTATTAGATCAACTACGTTAATAAGGAATTTGTAATGGTTGGTAATTAAGCAAAAAAGCCTGTAGTGAATTCTTTAAGTGTTTTGTTTATTGGCGTTGTGTCCATGTGGAAATGGCAAAGATGGGCATAAGTTGTACAACCATTAACGATGCATTTATATATTCTGGTGCTATGCATAATGACCTTTTAGCACCATAAATTGGTCATACAAATACATTTGTCAAATTATAATTCTGAAATCCATCTGCCATCAATTATTTTACTGGGTTTCTATGGACAAAAAAAGTCACCTCTCCTATGAAAACAGCCTTGCAGCACTGGCAGTGAATATTTTTGATAAGATGGAGGACACTTGATAAATATAATTTCTGTCTGGTAACATATGTGACCCATTTAGTATTTTTATAAGATTTTTTTATTTAAACAAAAGTATAAGCCGATCCACAAATTTGATTCGTGCCTTTGTATTCAAAGTCCTGTCAACTTGCAAGTAACTTTCTATCAAGGTATGACAGTTGAATGTTAATGTGTTGTTTTATCACTACAGTAAAAAGTCCTTTGTTTTTGTTTTTTAAAAGAGGAAAGAGCTTACTTTCTCTGAAAAACAGAAAAGCCAGGAAAGCTGTCCTTTCAGTAATAAGCATTTAATCTTATGGAAAAAGCTGGACAGAAATGTATTAGACTGTCAACATCTAACAGATTATAATTTCAAAAACTGCAGCTTCTAATGGTCTTATAAGGTATTAGAGCGAGGGGTTTTACTTAGTTTTTCCACAAAGTGGTTAAACATTTTGATTTTCGTTCGATTATCAGCATGTAATATTTCATGTCATTTTTAATTTGAGGTTGGTTGTCTTACATCTTTGGTGTAGACCAGATTATCTTTTTAACAACGCTGTGATAAAGAGGGTTTACTTGATTTTCACTATTGATCATGTAGGGCAGGCAGCTTTATATTGTTAGCTAGTTTCGTGTAACTGACAATATCTGGTGCCTGCTTTTAAATAAAAAACACTTTCATATATTTGACCACTTTACAAATAGTGAGATTTTCAGGACATCGAAATAGGTGTGAAAATAACGCGTGTACCGACAATACAAAGACTTTTCAAATGTAGTGGGGGAAATGTTTTAATAGTAGATATATTTAGAGCTAACGTAGTTGAAAGACCATTGTGTTTTGTATATATAGTTTTAACCTTTAATACTTGATTCAGTAGGTGGTCATTTTTTCGAAGACATCACGGGCTAGCAGGCTAGTTAGCATGAACTCTTTCTATCAAATATTTCATACCAGTGAAATACTATACACCATAAGAGTAGCACATGAATATGTTTCTTAATTCAACGTTTACATATGTTTAATTAAACAATGATTAAAATAGAAAATCGGAATATTTACCATAGAACCCACAGCAAACTTCGTAGTAGTGGCTTGCTAACGTCAGTCAGCTAACACCCACTTCCTTCCGGTTCACCACTGCGCAGTTATTTAAAAATGACGTCAACATTTACAAATACTGCTTAAAGTGACAGATTACATTAGTTTTGTAAACGTTAACGTTTTTAAATCTGAGTTAATTGAGATACTAGGTAATAGTTGAACACTTTACATTAGCTGATTGCATATCCATCCAACTTTAATTGATATAATCCATGAAAACTACTTTAATTACTTTAGCCTGCAGATTTCCGTTGATGGAGTAACAGTAAAAATATTCCTTCCACCCAAAACACTGGATGAGAATTACTATACTCTACTCTAGATGTACAGCGTCGCTGCCCATAAAACCTGAAAATAGTGAGCTTGTAAAATGCCAGACTTTTTATTGGTATTATTTATTGTGTCACTATATGAACTCGGGGATAAACATTACCCGGAACCATTTAATGCGACACCAGGGATTCATGGCTGTAGTCAATGTACGGATCTGTCCTTATTGTTTACATTTCTAAAGAGGGTCTTCAATGCGGCAGAGATACTGACATTGACAGAGGACGAAACATCAACCTATAATGATGATTTTCCCCCCAAAATGTATGTAAACAAATTTCTCAATGTGTCATTATCAATCGGAAAAGCTGCGAACTAGCCCTATGTGCTAACAGTCGCTGCTGCATCTTCAGTCTGTCGTTTTTTTGTTTTTGTTGTTTGTGTTTTGTACAAAGATGGCGAGTTAGCCTCTTCCTTTTATTCAGCTTCCATACTGCTTTGATGTCAATGATACGGCAAATGACTGAGATATTATAGCAACACGAGAGGCTAAAGGCCAAACAGAATCATCCTATTTTCAGGATCGAAGGTACGTTCACTGCTAAGTACACTCTCAGCAATGTGATAATTTGCCATTTCTTGTGATGTAACGAGTACATGGTGGTTATGGCAACTTGTAACTGTCATCGAACCATCGTGCAGATAGCCTGGGAATAATTCTGTGGTATCCCATCAAGTTTTACATTGTTGTTTTCCAAGGTCCACAATGTTTGGGGTTCCTCAAAGCTCAAAGTCCGAGTTCCTGGACAAAGCCAGGCAGGCCAGAGAAGAAAGGAAAGGACAGAAGGAGAAGGAGAGGGCAGCAATCCTTATTCAAGCTCTGGTCCGGAGATTCCTCTGTCGCTGTAGACTGAAGAGGGAACTAAGGTAAACTGAGGTTTAGGTTTAGGTTTGTAAATTGCCACAATTCCCAATGCAAATCCTGAACCATTTAGTTTTTAATACCTAACCCTCACCATCTTTGGTTAGAGATGGTTTTCAGATATGCAGACTGTTTTACATTAATTTAATTATCACTTCTGTTTTTGCTATTTGTCTCACTAGGAAGGATGTCGATGACTATTTTCAAACCTCTGAAACTGGAACAACAAAGAGAAATGCACTTTCAATTTTCAAAATTGCTCGAAAATTACTATTCATATATTGTCACGAGGATAAGATGGTGAGTTACCTGATACAGTGTGTATCTAAACGATAGTGATTAGTTTATATACAATAGAAGTATGCTGTGATGATGCGATTTTCTGTCTGTCGTTGAAATAATTCATGTTCATAAAGCATTTGTTAAACCCAAAAAGCTGTTTTAATTTATGCTATTTAATTGTGAGCAACAGCTATAATATTAATAATATTGTAATAACACCTCATATGTAATACATAATGATATTTCAAGACTACATTTTATTTGATTATCGTACTTCAGTAAGACATTTAGCACTTTTTAATATTTGATAAGTATATCTGCACAGATATCTGCACAGAGTTTTCACATGCTTTCTTAGTCTGTCTTTACGTAACAGTTAGTCTGCATGACTCAAAAAGACTTCTTGCCTTTCAGAGATTTGAGAAACTTTGTCGCGCTATCTTGGCCAGCATGGAGGTTGAAAATGAACCCAAAGTAAGTATTCACATGTTTACAGTATCTGTTTATACCAAAACACTTTAAAAAGTGACTTTTGTCTCAGTGACCGTTACATTTGGTCCTCAGGTGTGGTATGTCTCCTTGGCTCTGTCCAAAGACCTCACAATTCCCTGGCTCAAACAGGTCAAAGATGTTTTATGGACCTGCTGCCAGCTGCTGAAAAATCTAAAGGTAAGTAGTCTTGTTAGAGGTTATAAAATATTCATGTGTTTATATTAATTTAGGTTGAATAAAAATGGACATACAACTTCCTGTTTTGGCATTTTCAGCCAGACATACTTCAAGACAACAAGTTGGTGACGCTGTACCTGACCATGCTCGTGACCTTCACTGACACGTCCACATGGCGAATCGTCAGAGGGAAAGGTGTGTCTTCTATCAACACAATCGTTGTTATTTCAGGTCATGCTTTGGTCGAACAAAAAAATATTTTCCCATCACTATTGCAGGTGAAGCTCTCAGACCGGCTTTGATGAGGATTTGTGAAAACATCATGGGTCATCTTAATCAAAAGGGATTCTATTCAATACTGCAGGTTCGCTATTAAAGCTCATGGTTAAGAATCAGTGGCATCCTCAGTGTTGTTTAGTGTTCTTTTTTAATTATTTAACTATATGTTAACCCCACATTTTTAGATCTTGCTGACCAATGGCTTGGCCCGTTCCAGACCATCTTTCTCCAAAGGCACTTTGACGGCTGTTTTCACTTTATCACTAAGGTAAATATTTCAGTTTTAGTTAAGTGGAACAGAAAAAGTAACTACATTTATAATGCTTTTCTGCTGTGATCTTCCTAGTGTTTATATGTGTTTGTTTTCCTGCCACGCTTTTAACTAAACCTGATGTTTTACAGGCCAGTCATTGCTGCTCATTTTTCTGAAAACCTGCTGCGATCATTCCTAATCCACATCATGTCAGTTCCTGCCATCATCTCCCACCTCAGTGTGCTGACTCCAGAGGTAAAAGCCCCGGCCTGTGTGACACTGTTGCTCAGTGGGACACGTATGAGGCTATCAAAACGAAAGATTGCTGGTTTTGATCTTTGCTTTGACTCCACAGTGCATGGCATCCATCCAAACACACGACCTGCTGCGGAAGTTCATTTTGTTTCTCAGTCGGGAAGAACAGTGTCTGGACATTTGCGTCTGTCTCGAGGGCAGCCACACTCTCTGCTTACTTGGTACGGTTGTGGACTGTCTCATTGCTCACACTTTAATCTGGAATTCTATGTATGAATGAAATGGCCCTATTCTTAATGTCACTGCTCCGGTTGCTTCTCGTGTTTAACAGGCAACCTGATTCATCTGGGCTATCTCAGTGGGAAGGTCTTAGAAGAGGAGGCCAACCATTTTGTGAAGGACCTAACTGACATGCTGTCCTACTGCCAGAGATATGTTTCCCAAAAAAAGTCAAATTTAACCCACTGGCACTCTGTCCTGGGCTGGTTCTCTCAAACTGTGGACTATGGGTTTGTGAAATATTTTTATGTTTTTCGCTTGATTGTATGAAACATTTTAATTTTCTAATGTAAATTTGAGATTCTACGAAAAGGTCACATTTAAGGTTTTATATCCTAACTTTGATGCTTGATGATGGAGAGCATTCTTAAAGCTTCCTACTACTGTTTTTCTTTAGAAAAATAAACCATATTTTTACACTTGGGCTTTTATTCCAGCTTTAAGATTGTTTGCTTTTGCTATTTTTTGCTAAGTTCAAAGAATATCCTAAAGACCAGTTTTGTTATGTAAAATATGCTAAAATTAAGTCGGGTTCAAAAAGGAGAAGCTTGCATTGTGCGTTTAGTGCAAAAGAGAAATACATCCATGTGGTCTTGATAGACTGCTGACTCCTCTCTGTTCTTTTCATCTCTAGCCTGAATGAATCGATGCCTCTGGTCACCAAACAGCTTCAACACCTGTGGGGTGTGTCTATCATTCGAACCCTCTTCAGTGATGTCCTTTCTAAAAAGCTGGAGAGCCAGGAGCCCACTCCCCTGCCCCCACAGCCCAGCACATCCCAGAACAACCTACCAGTTAAAAGTAAGTTGAAAAAGAAAACCTCTCTCAATGTTTTGAAGCTGAAACAAAAGGCGTGTAGGCTCTTTTTCCATCGGGCTTTTTATTTTATTGTCAACGTTCTATTTGTCAGATCTGTTCAAGAGGGCATTTCAAAAGTCTGCCTCTGTGCGGAACATCCTGAAACCAGTTGGAGGGAAGCGAGTGGACTCAGTTGAGGTTCGGAAGGTGTGCAGCATCTGTGTGCTTTATCAGACCGCCCTGTCCACTCTGACGCAGATACGCCTGCAGATACTCACCGGTCAGCAACTAACCCCGCCTTTTTATTTGAAAACTACCGGACAAACACACTATGCCGTCTGTTCACCACATGTTGTGTTTTTCTGCAGGTCTGACACATCTCGATGACCTCTTGCCCAAACTCTGGGCCTTCATATGTGAACTTGGTCCTCAGGGGGGGCTCAAACTCTTCATGGAGTGTCTTAATAATGACACTGAAGAATCCAAGCAACTTCTGGCTATGCTCATGCTCTTCTGCGATTGCTCTCGCCACCTTATCACGTAAATCCACAGATCTTTTACATTACTTGTGTATTAGGGGTACACATAAACTCATTTCTATTCAAATGTTATTGTTAGAAGTTTTATTCGCCTTTTCCCTAAAGGGATTAATCTCTACTTATATCCTCCTATAATGAGGGCGGAACTGTAATTTAACATCCAGCCTTTTATAACCAGTTTTGACAAACAACTTCCAGATCATTTAGTTGTTAATGAATTTGATTTACCACACTTTTAAGATGCTGTTTGCTGTTAATTTACCTCATTATTTTTCTGTTTGACATTTTCTTTTGCAGAATTCTGGATGACATTGAAGTTTATGAGGAACAAACATCCTTCAAGATAGAGGAACTCCTGACGATCTCCTCTTTTCTGAATACTTTTGTGTACAAGATGGTTTGGGATGGAATTTTAGGTATTTGTATGACTTATTCCTGAAATTTGTGAAGGCACCTTTTATATTAAAGGGGTTTTTATGTATTTAATTTTTAATGACATTTTTAAAAAAATGGTTTGTTAATAGAAAGTGCAAAAGGGGAGAAACTGGAGCTGTTCCATAGTGTTCATGGTTGGCTGATGGTGCTTTATGAGCGGGACTGCAGGCGCAGGTTCACCCCTGATGATCACTGGCTACGAAAGTAAGCACAAACCTTCTATCACTCCCTGCTGTCCTGTTGCCGGGTTTACTGATGTGTTTAAAACTTTTCTTCCGTTACATTCAGGGATCTGAAGCCTAGTTTGTTGTTCCAAGAGCTGGAGAAAGGCAAGAGAAGAGCCCAGCTTTTGCTGCAGTACATCCCCCATGTCATCCCACACAAAAATGTGAGTGAAGGGGGTTCTTTCATTTCTGTCAATGTTGTGCTGATTTACAGTCCTATGAATAAGTTTCCTCTCTTTCAGAGGGTGCTGCTGTTCAGGAACATTGTCACAAAGGAGAAAGAAAGTTTGGGGTTGATTGAAACCAGCTCTGCTTCACCACACGTCACTCACATTACAATACGTCGCTCGCGGATGTTGGAGGTATGGGATCAAACATTTCTGCAGACAAACAGTTTTTTTTGTGAGAAAAACAACATCATACTGCACTGCTCTGTGCACGTTGTTCCATAATAACGCATGGATTTCCCTCCCTAGGATGGATACGATCAGCTCCGCAGGCTGCCAGCCAACTCGATCAAAGGTGTCATCCGTGTGAAGTTTGTCAACGACCTGGGCGTGGACGAGGCTGGAATTGATCAGGATGGTGTTTTCAAAGAGTTTCTGGAGGAAATCATAAAGAAAGTTTTCAACCCTGCTTTAAACCTGTTTAAGGTAATCCTTTGTCATTTGCCAACCACCACGTTTCTGCTGCCAATGAATCTTTTTTTGGTCTGATGTCGCGTTTCTATTTCATAGACTACAAGTGGAGATGAAAGGTTATATCCTTCACCCACGTCGTACATTCATGAGAATCATTTGCAGCTGTTTGAGTTTGTTGGGAAGATGCTGGGAAAAGCTGTTTATGAGGTACATGTACCTTCTCACTCTGCTCTACCCCTGTTGGTGGTATTCTGGTGATCTTTAATGTTTTTCTTGTTCTCTGCACTCAGGGCATTGTTGTGGACGTCCCATTTGCCTCTTTCTTCCTCAGCCAAGTCTTAGGGCACCACCACAGCACCTTCTACAGCTCCATTGATGAGCTTCCCTCACTGGACTCTGAGTTTTACAAAAACCTCACCTCAATCAAGGTTGGAATGACTTAATTTAGAACAGTGTTTCTCTGTTAAGACAAGCTCGAATCTGTATCCCAGAATTTTGTTTCTAATTGATCATTTTTCCAGCGGTATGATGGAGATGTTGGAGATCTTGGACTGACACTGTCATATGATGAGGATGTTATGGGACAGGTAAAAGAAGTGTTCATGGAATGCATTAAATAAATGTTGCTAAATATATGTATATTAAAAAAAATATATAAATATATATTTTTTTCTATTACAGCTTGTCTGTCATGAGTTGATGCCTGGGGGGAAAACTATGCCAGTAACCAATGAAAATAAGTATGTAATTCTGCATATAGAACTAACTAACCCATCTTTTTTTAGTTTGCTTTAATCATTTTTAGCTCTGAAAATTTCTATGACAATAATGACCTTTTCCATTTGCTGCAGGATTAGCTACATCCACCTCATGGCTCACTTCCGGATGCACACGCAGATTAAGGAGCAAACGGCTGCTTTCATCAGGGGCTTCCGCAGCATCATTAATCCAGAGTGGCTGCACATGTTTTCCACACCTGAGGTTCAGCGGCTTGTCTCAGGAGATAACGCTGAAATTGATCTAGACGATCTCAAGTACGTAACATTTTACCTTTTGATTTCTGTCCTCCCTTTTCCCAACACTGATGATGTCTTATTAAAGATGTTGTATAATACTTTTTTATAAAATGATTGACTTAAAAAGGTTTTACAAATCCACAACTCATGCCAGATCAGTTTGTATTCAATCATTGGGGATTCTGTCAGTATAAGGCTTTCCTTGCTTTTTCAGGAAGCACACGGTCTACTATGGAGGCTTTCACAGCAGCCATCGTGTCATCATCTGGCTGTGGGACATTCTATCAAGTGACTTTAATGCTGAAGAAAGAGCCATGTTCCTTAAAGTAAACCGAATTGTTTTTTGACAGATTCAAATTCAAATTCTTCTCTTTATTGTCACAAGTAGGTTTAGTCATTCACTTTATATCCAATGTGTGTTTCTTTTAGTTTGTTACCAGCTGCTCGAGGCCTCCTCTTTTAGGCTTTGCTTACCTCAAACCACCCTTCTCCATCCGCTGTGTGGAAGTTTCAGACGATCAGGTAAGAACAGAAGAAAAAGTTAATAAGATTTAGCATAGAAGACTTTATTTATGGAACGTTTTCCTTCCAGCTGGATTTTTCCATCTTTGATATTGGTCTGGGCATTTCTTTTTTTTTCCTCTTGCCCTTTAGGCCTAAATTTAATGAATACATATTATAGATTTTGTTTGACAAAAGGGCCCAAATGATAAATAAAATGCAACTGTGTATTCTAACAAATTTTACATTTCATCTGCTTTTTCCAGGACACTGGAGACACTCTTGGGAGTGTCCTCAGGGGCTTTTTCACCATTCGGAAGAAGGAGCCTGGTGGTCGACTACCCACTTCATCAACATGCTTCAACTTGCTCAAGCTACCGAACTACAGCAAGAAGAGCATCCTGCGTGACAAGCTGCGCTACGCTATTAGCATGAATACAGGCTTTGAGCTCTCCTAACTTGGTTCTGCGTCGGAACAAATTGCACTGAAGAATTATGTCAAGCTGCATAAGCCAATCAGAGGCCTCTCTTACCTGTACCCGTGCGTGTGACATTTAAGGAGCATTGGCTAAATGACAGGAAGCCCATGAAGTAACTTTTTGTCTCTAACAGTGAGCTTTGATGGAAGTAGTTCTTCTGTTTCTTTCTCTCTCTCCCATCAAGAGAGACACGGCTCCCGCAGCACAATCAATTTTTAACATCTCCCTCTGCCACTCCATATAGTGAATATATGGTGTATTTAACTCGGAAAAAGTACGGATACAATGTGGCGAGATCACTGATTCTCAGGCTTAACAGAATCGTTCTTGGATCTAACGCCACTATTTTAAGCAAATTGGAAAGCAATACAGATGCAATGTAAGCCATAGGAAATATGGTCGGCTCATTCGAGCAAAATCAGATGATGCATCTTTGACATACTTAAACGTTTGGATTCCGTCATGCAGACAACTTCAAGCTGGCATTGGATGAGTCTTAAGATGTTTTGCCGAACATAATGTATCTTGTACAAGTGGAAGAGAAATCAATGTCTTGCGTTCAACCTCAGTGAAGAAGAGGTTCCTCAAAAGAGTGACCCTGTGTAGATTATAATACGTTTCATTTTGAAGAAAATCCCTGGACCTCTGCCCGTTTCTCCCTGTTAAACTGTCCACCTTCCCATGAGAGACATTGGTTCTCTGGTTTTTATGTTCTTGATTAATTTGAGAACTTAACACTGGCTTCAGTTCAGGTGAAGCAGCACAGACTGATCATCTCATCATGCTGTGGTTTGATTTTACGAAGATGTCCTCACTGAAGCATTTAGTACCATTGGGGAGAACAAAAGGAGTAAAATGTCTGTTGTTAGGATTTGTATCTTCAGAGAAGAGCAGACACTGTTGCTGTATGTCACACATCTGTGTTTAACTTCCACTTTAACAACATGAAGATTGGAATTAATCAGCCATGTTTGTCTGTTTTTATTAGAAAAACGTCCTCACGAAACCTGTAACGCTGAGTGCCTCATGTGTCACCATTACCCCTCGCCATCGCGTTTTTGACTCTGTTTCAGCTGTAAACCAATAACAATACGTATTGGAAACAAGCCATAGAAGTGGGGGCTATGTTCCTGGATTACTTCTCCGATCCTACCCAACCACTGTACTACCACCACAACATCCATAGAGGGTTTACCTATGATACTCTCTGATCTCTGTGGACTTTTTGGAGCCATGAAGCAAAATTTTGAGGTCTAAAATCTTTTTAAAAAATGATGTCATGGACTGCTTTGTCAGCTAAATGCAACTGTTTGATTTGATGAGGCTTCCTTGGAAATGTGGGAGCCACGTTTCTGTGGTATGTGGCAAGGTGAAGGAGGTGAATGTGACCTTATAAGCTTAACTATTACTTCTTCTTTACAGGGTTCATTTACATTAGAACGGGAAAGATAAGACTTCTCGGTCATTTGCAGGAAAAAGAACAGCGACTTTTACTGAAAGAAATGAGTAGAGGAATTGAGCAAACGCTACCAAGTTCTATATTATGCAAAAAAAAGTGTCTTCTGTCAAGAATGAGTGTGAATACTTTTGTTTGTAAGTATCCCAGTTTCTAAATAGTTATACTATTGCCACTAACGTCCTCATAAACAATTTTAAAATAAGTATTTCTAATTAAATTGTAACCCTTACGTGTAGAGATAACACTGGTTGAAATTTAACTCTTCACAATGGTCTTCGAAATATGACAAATCAGTGGAGAACCCCTCAGTTCGTCTCTTTTTCAGCTTTACAAGCAAGTGTTGTTGAGACAGGAAAGTAGGATTTAAAAAAAAAAAAAAAAAGATTAACTGCAGTGAGTATGTGTTGGTGTGTAAATGATAAAATAACCTTACATGCTTGTCTCCTGATGGGCTCACTCCTCTGTTTTAAATGATGTCAAGAGAAGGCTAGACCTTCAGTGTACCAGTGGGCCCCCGAGGCTTTGACTATCCTATCTTTTAGTACAACAAAGAATAAAAATGATTGTGAAAACGTTCCCAATCCTGCTGTGAAATGTAATCTCTTTCATAAAAGATGCACCGCTGTATGGAGTGTTTTTGTGTTAAGATGCCCCTGTGAGGTTTGTCCACTGTAAGATACTATGTTCTGTAATGTCAAATCTTGTACACAAGTATTATATAAATTCTTTTAAACCATTTACACCTAAACTGTTTTTCCCCCCCTTCCAGATTTATGGTTGATTTAAAACACCTGTTGAGTCATGCCACAGTGGAACCGTGAGGCTGAAGCGTGCCATTGCACACAGGTTATGAGGCCTATAACTGACAGCACGCCGCAGGCCGCCGACTCTCTGCTCACGTTTTCGGTTTTTCCTAAATACCACGCATGGCGGATTATGCTGTAAGTGCGCACGGCAGAGTCAAGCGACTAAGGCTCTCTTTTGGGCTCAGTGACTGCTCCGTGTGAGGAGGTGAGCGGTGCTCTTTGGGAGGATTTCCACAGCAACTATCCCACTTGGAACCTTCTAGATAAGCATGAGCAATCCTCCGAGTCCTTCTCCCAACCGATGGTTCAAATCGCTCCGCAGGTAAATCCTCCACTCATTCATTCATACATACATGTTTGCTTTAAAAAAAGAAAAAAAAGAAGTGAAACAGATGTTTGGTTATCTCAACACTGGCTGGATTGAATGTGTTGGATCATCATAAATGAATGAGGATGTGAATGGGACACCTCTGATGTGGACTTTGTAGTGGTTGAGCTGAATATTAGTCTGCAGCTCTGTTAGTTTTATGAGCATCACCTGATTGGCTGGGGTTATTAGGATTTTCCACTATCCTCCCTTTCAGTTGGGCTTTTACTGAGCAGGTGCCCAGGCTTAACTTCATATGACTGCATTCAGAGGTCACTGGAGCTTTACTTTGACTGGAATAGCTATGAGTGGGAAAATAAGGGCATGCTATGTCTGCCAGAGGAATGGCCGGCTAACATGCAGAAGGTACCGTTATAATACAAGGTCTGGATTTGGGTTTATCCAGAGAATGGACCTGTGGTGGTAACACTAGTCTGCTGTTCCAGGACCAGGCTTGGGGAGCCCTGTTTGAAGACCTATCCTCTGGAGTGTTTGGATCTGCTGAGGAGGGCTAGAATTGCCTTTCAAGCAGGGAGGACCGTGAAGGAGAGCTTCAGACTGGCCCAGCTAGAGTCTGTGATACGGATGCTGGAAGAACATGAGTGTGACTTTGTGGATGCTCTTGGAAGGGACCTCCATAAGGTAGGAGATGAGGCATCTTCAGGCCTCTGTAATATTTCTTTCCTGCACTGGAGCTGTGCTATAAACAGAACCAACAGTGTTTAACTGTACTGACGTATTAGACTGTTCACTTTTTTTTTTTTTTTTTGTCCAACTAGCCACGTTTTGAAACCATTGTGTTTGAACTGATCATGGTTAAGAATGAGGCTCTTCACGCCATCAGCAACCTAAAGAAGTGGATGCAGCCACAGTCTGTGGAAAAGAATCTGGTGAGACTGCAGTGTGTAATTCTGCCTTACACCCAAAAAAATTATTCACAATAACACTGGGATTATTGAAAACTTACACAACCTCATTGTGCAAGCATTCCAGTCTGGCTTCTACAAAGAAATGTATTGTTTTGAGTTTGCCAAAGTAGATTAAAGTTAAGTTGTGTTGACCTTTCTGAGCGTTCAATGGGCTGATGTTAGTTAACCTCTTTGCTTTTCTTCACTTGTAACCTAATTTTGAGCCTTCTGGTTGGTGCAGTCCACCACGCTGGATGAGTGTCTTGTGATCAATGAGCCACTGGGGGTCGTGTTCATTATGGGGACCTGGTGCAGCCCGGTCCAAATGTGTTTGGTGCCACTGGTTGGGGCCATTGCAGCAGGTGCAGCACTCGTGTAGTTTCTGAACACACACACAAACAGGTTTACCGAGGCACTGAGAACCACTGATGTTGATTTTTAATTTTTGTAGGAAACTGTGCTCTCATTAGCCCCTCTGAGCACAGCATACACACTGCAGAACTCATCCACCGCCTTATTCCCTTCTACTTGGACAATGTGAGTAACAAAGCAAAGAGAATTGACAATTGAAATTTCTAGAAATCTGATTGGCAAATATTCTTTGGAAATTTAGGACGCATTCGGAATCTTTTCTAATTTCAATAGTACAACAATTAAATTTGACTTTATTCCTAAAGCGGTCTGAGTACTAAAGCAGAAATATGTGATTAATCTGTCAAAGTATTACTGTACATTCTACTTGTACTGTTTTATACTATTGATTGATTATTTATATTGCAGTGTCAGCTTGCAAACATGTCTCTGTTACAGAAGCGAGCTTATTGATGAGAGGACATATAAAGAATAAACTGTAGAATTTAGAGATCTTTGGGTTTAGTTTCACTTCAAGATACTAAATTCTGTTGTGGGACAACATGACAATGCTTACATTGCTGTTAGTGTGTGCATTCATTATGATCTTTAATTGTAAGTTGGGTTATGCGCAATTAATCATCTGGTGCCAAAATTCTTATTTTCCTCAAGGAATGCTTCCATGTGATTCTTGCAGGCATCAGTGACTTGCCTGAAATTGTGGAGCTCAAATTTGATCATGTTTTCTTCACAGGTAAATAATAATCTTCAAGCATGTTTGAAGTACCGTTGAATCGTCTGTCATGAATTAAATAAAACTGTCATTACTTAGGAAACCGAGAGGAGGGCAGCAAGATTGCTGTGGCAGCAGCTCGCACCCTCACGCCAGTCACCCTCATCCTAGGGGGCAAGAACCCGTGTTATGTGGACCAGGACTGTGACATTCCCGCCTCGGTCCAGCGCATTGCTTGGGCACGTTTTCACAATGCGGGGCAAAACTTGATGGCTCCAAGCTACATCCTGTGCCACACAGATGTCAAAGCACGACTGGTGCAGGCCCTAAAGTGCTGTCTGATGCAATTCTATGGTCCTGATCCCAGAGAGTCCCGCAGCTTCGGTCGAATGGTCAACTTGGAAGTCTTCAACCGAACAAGAGACCTGTTGTGGAGATCTGGCAAGGTGGTTGTTGGTGGACAGGTCACAGAGGCTGAGAAATATATTGGTGAGAACGTTTATGATTAGGTCATTTGCAATAATCTATTAATGCGTGCAATATGTTCTGATATATATCTTTGTTTTTTTTCCTCCAAAGCCCCAACAATTTTGACAGAGGTGGCTGAATCGGACCCCATTATGCAACAGGAAGTTTTTGGCCCCGTTCTTCCAATACTGACTGTAAATGATGCGGACGAGGCAATTGCCTTTATCAATAAGCAGGAGAAACCCCTCTGTGTGTATGCCTATTCCACCAACAACAAGGTACACCACACTAAGTCTACACAGTGTTCATCAGTTCTTCCGTGCATTCTAAGAATGCCTTGGCTTTTGTAACAATACAGGTCATTTCTAAACTGATGAGTGAGACCTCAAGTGGAAGCTTTTGCTCCAATGATTGCATACTGCAGAGTCTGATGGTGGCTCTGCCTTTCGGTGGAGTAGGTAAGTCTGTAACACCACATGAAGCGTTATGGCAGGGTGAGTGCTGCCTGCGCCTTATCCATTTGTCCGTTTTATAGGTGCTTGTGGAATGGGGTCCTTCCATGGCCGCTACAGCTTTGACACCTTCTCTCACAGAAAAGCCTCGCTGCTAAGAAGCACACGGTTTGAATGTGTCACATACCTGCGCTATCCACCATACGAAGACCGCAACCTCTCTCTAATGACATGGGCTTGTACTTTATCCCAAAAGAGCCAGGGATGGTGCCAAATCATGTGACAGCGTTTTTTTTTGTCTTAATCCATGTGTGAATGTTGGGTCATTCACAGCTCTGAAGATTTGCCTTTCTTAAGAACTGATATACAAGTGTACTGTTGGTGTATTAAGAGATGGATTTGCAAAGAAAAGACCTGATTTACAGAGGATATTAAAGGTAATAATTAAACCTCAATGCAGGATAGTACCTGTGGAATCAACAAACGTAGGTGCTTTAGAGTATCTTTTTTTCCAAAGGAGAACCACTGTAAATGGCATGTAAGCTTAGGTAAATGTTTAATCAAAATGATCTGTGTGAAAATAAATTGTAGGACACAAGTATTTGTATGTACATGTAATGCCTGTAAGATTTATTATGCTCATGTGTTAATGATGCAGTATAAAAGTGAGAAAAACACTCTTAAGATATGTCTTAATGCATTTATAACATGACATGTGACATTGGATGTCAGCATCCAATATCCATAACAAAACAAGTTCTTGTCTTAATCCACTCGTGGTTATTCAGGCCTCTTGTAGATTGTTTCCTCTTTGTCTTCCTTCATAGCTGCATATCTGGCAACTGTAAACAGGTAGTCGCTCAGCCTGAGAGAAAATGGAAGGAAATTGACCATTTATTTGATAGGAAAAAGTATTTTCTTTCTGTTTTCTTAAATCGCAAAGCTGACCTGTTCAGGAACTTGGCAACCTCTGGGTCTGCCTCACCCGAGCGCACAATTGGAGCAACACTACGACAAGCACACAAAGAGTCTCTGAACAAAGTAACAGTGACACAGATTGTTTTAAAGCACAGAACATGCTGAAACTGACCTGCGCTCTGCCCTTCGACAGACTGTCCGAGCCAAATGCAAAGCTGCACTACTTTTCCCACCAGACTGAAAACCAAACGAAAACAGAACTATGAAAACCTATACTCTCTTTAACGATGTGTTTCCAGGAGCACTGGAGTGGGCTTACTGGTAAAATGAAGTTGGTCAGTGGAGGGAGCTCCTCTGTAAATGCATCTATCCAGGTTTCCAGGTCTGCAATCGGCTGCACGGTAAATTTAGTCCTCTCTTGGATAAACGGAGGGAAAAATTCCCAATGGCATTAAAGATCAGGAGAAGAAATTTGAACTCAGACCAACCATTGCGCATTTACTTATGTGGCTGTCTCGTGCAGATGATCGAGGGGTGGCAACATTGGAACCCACATCTTGCAGAATGCACTGTATCTGCAATTAACAAAAATAAGAAAAAATGTCAAATCTTATGTTTTGGGAATGTACTGTCTCAGCTCTGAAGAAAGTTTGTAAAAAGTATAAGGAAAACAAACCTTGTCCAGCTGATAAGTGAATGTGTGACCTTTGTCAAGGCAAAATTCTCTGGCCAACCTGAAATGAATTCAGGACATGAATATCAAAGTTTTTTTTTTGTCTAAACAATTTTCCTAATTAGATGTACTGCTTTAGTGCTTTATTCCCTGATGCCATAAATGAAGGATCAGTTGATTAATGTCTTCGATTCCAAACATTCGGTGCTTTTCATATCAGAAAAATATCAACTAAAAAAAGAACATTGGAGAGCAGAGCACAAAAAGTAGAGGAGAAGCTAAGTTTGCATTAGCTTTGAAATCTACAAAGAAAAAACTAATATTTATAACACATTTATTCTCAGTTACCTAGTCCCGCGTACTGGAAATCATAATAGCACTGAAGCTTTCTTTGTAATTCTATAGCAGCCCCCCCACACACAGCTCCTGTCAGCTCATATTCAGCTGGCCCACACTTTGACTTATTTTAGGGTAATGCGAACTTGATTGAAATTTGTTTTGTGTAGGAAGTGTGCTGCAGAAATATTCTCTGGAATATGACTTAAAAAAAAAAAAACTTTTACCCTATGGCTGATGACAGTTCATCTGTATTTCCTAAAGCTTCGAAAATATGATCCTCCTTTGGCCTCCTTTCACCTGTAAATGTGCTGGAGAAACCTATACAGAAATAATTACTTATTACTATTTAAAATAAAGTATACTTTAAGAAAACTAAAATATAAAAAAAATGACAAGAAACCTTTGTCTCCAGTTTTGGTGTATATTTTCGGGGTATTATCTCCTCCAGTGGAATACCTAATGAGAAAAATGACAAAAGATAATAGAATGTGATTCATTAACAGGCAATAATAATTAATAACGCATCAGATTTCATGCAGCACAGGTTTGGTCCAGCTTCCTTTCTCTTATGAGCCATTAGTAGTATCTTTTTGCCTTTGAGTCCATGACTTCAGTTTTGTAACAGTGCTAAGCTGCCACATGAACGCAAAACTCAACACATGCTTGGACACATAACAGGGTTGCATGCAAATACCTTCTGTCTGAGCACAGCAGTTTTTGTGTTCGATGCTCGCTTAAGAGCCAGCGCGTCTGCAGAACACAGCGAAAGTGAGCAGGTTTGAATATAAACTGTGTCATTTTAGGCTACAAGCTAGCAGCTAGAGGTGAATGTTGTCGGGTAATTTGATTTGTACCTCTGTGGTATCCGTAACATATGGGCGTTTCATTTACATCGCATGATTGGTCAACTCATCAAGTCGCTGCAGATTTTGAGATGCTGATTGGTTGATATGAAGCGTATTCATTTTATGTGCGTCGCTGATTGGATAATGGGAGCACTACCCATGCTCGTCTCTTCACCAGTGTGTTAGCTGTGTTTTTAGCATTGCTGTCACGCCACACGGGAGGCAGTCCGGGTAAAGGCAGTGTCGGGGTTTTTATTCTTGAACTTCTTCCTTAAATACATGATATTTGTTGGTCGTTTGTGAAACGTTGGTAGTTTTCGAGACGAATTGTGGGCTTTAGTGGATTAACTTTAGCCAAATTAGCTAATGATAATATTTATAGTCAAAAGTTTACCATAGGCTTTTGTTGTTTTTTCTTTCTTTCTTTTTATTCTTTTTTGCCCTGGAGACTGTTAAAGAAATGGAAGTTAAGGACTGCTTGGTTTCTGCTCCAGGGAAGGCCATCCTTCACGGAGAGCATGCTGTCGTGCACGGAAAGGTAATCTGCAAGAGGATGAGATTATGCTGAGTGCCCATATAAACAGGAAAAAGCTTTGCTCTTTGGAGATTTCCTAGACAAATCAACCACACACAGCAACAATATTTAGTTTTCTTTTCTTAAAAATCTCCTTTTTGCAATGTCATGGCTAATTTGTTTGTTCTGGGTTTTGTGAAATATTGACAGATACGCTTTGATTCTTTTTTTATTTCCCTTGTTTCTATGTTTTTCATTGTAGGTGGCTCTTGCTGTGAGTTTAAACTTGAGAACGTACTTGCGATTAAAAGCTACATCTGATAACAAAGTTTGCATCAACCTTCCCAATATTGAAACTTTCGTCTCGTGGGACCTCACTAAACTAAAGCATCTTGCACATGATTTTTGTGGTAAGAAAAAATGTAGCACCACTAATGTTATTACTATTACATCATTATTACTACTACATCACATACAGCATAAACACAAGCTTTGGTGACAAGAAATCAATGAAAGGGAATAATTATGTAAATATTAGTTGATTGTTTTTATGTATTCAGTTAGCCTTCCATTACTTTCCACATTTATTCTATTAAGTTTGACATTCCCACACTCAATTTACTTTGATGCTCAATACCATTTGAAAGTAATTGGAGGGTTGGACTGTAACACTGATGATAACGAATTCATATTTTTGACATATTTCCTGGTAAGATTGGGCCAATTTTAAACCAATGCTAATTTAAGTTGCGCTGCTACGACCGTTTCCTGGGCAGTGTGCAAGGAGACATTTTGCTGACATTTAGCTAACCTTTGGCGAAATCGAAATCATTGATTAGTTGCTGCAATGGTGGAGAGTTTTTCACTCTAAAGCACTGTTGAATACAAACTGTATCTTTTATGCACTCACAGATCAGATTGTGTGTTTCTGTGTTTTGTCTTTTAACTGGTAATAACAGGAAAGAGGGAAGAGGCCCAGCCTATGGATGCAGAGCTGGTGAGGAGACTGCGTGAATTTATGGGTGTAACCAATGGAAACTTGGACAGTTGTAACACTGCCACCTTAGCCTTCCTCTATATCTACATATCCCTCTTTAAGTCCAGGTGAGATAATTCAAGAGTCCTTCTCATAATTTCTTCAGTTTGTAGAAACTGGGCCCATCATTTGTCAGGTGTTATAGTCTGGTCTTACATACCTATGGCACTAGTCCATTTTGTGACACAGTTGGCAAGAAAAGTAGCAACATAGGAGAAATGCTGAGCTTAAGTTCTCCATCTGGAAGCAAAGAAATCAACAGTGTGCCAATGTGACAGTTTCACCGACTGCAGGCATTAAATGTTGAAACTGTGTGTCTTTTGTGAATAGGCGCTGACTGTGTTTTTGTGCATGAACTCTTAGACTTTTGCAAAAGAAACATTTTGTGCTGAGTGCTGGAACAAGGTCATTGTGCTCTAAGTCTGTCCTCTCTGTACTTTTGGAAGACGAGAGAAATGCACGTTCTATTGAAATACTGGGAAAGACAAGTGTTTTTTGTCAAGTCTTTTGTGTCGAGTTGTTAAAATGTTGTTTAGGTCATTGGATTTTTTTGTCTCATGTTTTTTTTTTATGTTTAATTTTCACAAATATGCTCCCTATTTACAGAGTCATTGCATATTTAGAAACCCTTTAAAATGAAGACAGTAAAAAAAAGAGGAGAGACAGAAAGGTGGATGTTAGCTGCACCAGCAGCTCTGAACAGGAATGATGCTCGGGAACATTAGAATTGCAAGTTGTCGGAGGGTTTAATCGGCGCTGACACAGCGTTGGCGTGTCGGAGAGAGGTGAAGGGTTTCTGACAGGATAGCCACTAATGAGAGTCTGGCACTGGGCCACTCTGCACCCTTTAACAAGTCTGGATGTGCTTCTCCCCTGAGAGGAGAACTGGACAATTAGTTTATAGTATTCCCCTCTCCGTCTGAAAGCAGCCCCTCTGACGGACAGTGACAGAAGTGTCAAGTTCCTGCTGCATTAAGTAGTCTGGAGGTTACAATTCATTACATGTGCTGTGAATATGATGTTACTTTGCCAAGTCTAATTTAGACCCAAAGAATAAGACACAGTGTGTCAAGACATTGGCCTTCACAGAAAATTGTTACTATAGGTTAATATGTTTTTTTCTTCTCATTTTGAAATGCAGGAAAAAAATGGTCTCTTCAATAATTATACTGTCAAACAAAATAATGATAAACAGTTATCACATTTTAAGTCAAATACGAGAAGGATTTCAGTCTTGATTGTTTCCTCAGAGAGCTGCCGAGCCTGACTGTTTCTGTGTGGTCAGAGCTACCGACCGGAGCAGGACTCGGGTCAAGTGCTGCCTACTCTGTGTGCCTGGCTGCAGCTTTGCTCTGTGCGAGTGGAAGCATTTCTACTCCCCTCAAAGAGTTTGATCACACTGCCAGGTAATGCCATCATAATAAGAAATGGGCTTACATCAGGAGCTGTTTGTGCTGTCTCTGTCTTCATCTGATCACATTGATGAATTCAATATCCTGGGGTTATTCATACTTCGGATTCAGTGAAACCGACGTACGAATGACCACAGGAGGGCGCACAAGCGTTAATAAATGGTTATTTATTGCTCATGAAGGATTTGATTCAAAAGTTCGAAAAAAAAAAAGTTGAGATCTGTTTAAATGTACTGTTGTGATGCAGCACAGGTGGCCAGACACTGTAGTTTAAAGGTGAGGGCTAGAGTTTAGGATTCCAGGAGCTTGTTTGGGGTCACCTTCTCTTGTGCTTCTAACGATGCACTAAATTTCAGAAAGTGTTGGTCTGGACTGGGGGTTCTGCTTGAATGCAACATAAGCTGCTCCAATACCGCCCTGTAATGCTCAGCATTTCCAGTACTCTGCCCGACACGTTAATGTACATCCATACCATCATGGATGTCTCAGTTTTTTTGTTTTTTTTAAATGAAAAATAAGCATAAATAAATAGTGTTCACATTCAATATATTTCCCCTCTGCCATGTTCATGAAAAACAATTTGATTATTTCAAGAGTTGAGTTATCTTTGTTTGGAACATTTTAGAAACAATCATGTTTACGTGCTTAGAACAGATACAAAAACAAATATGGTAGTGAGAATGAAAGACTTTTGTGAAATATTGTTTGAGTGTTGTGTTTAGTAGAATCGGACTTGCTGTAATCCCTGAGTGAGCCTGCAGTGGCAGCTTGCAGTATTTGCAGATTTTGTTTAGACTCCAGGGTCCCCTTTTCATTTTGAAACGACTGCAGGTGGTGTCAGGAAGACCTAGAGCTCATCAACAGTTGGGCTTTCCAAGGGGAAATGATCATCCATGGTAACCCCTCAGGGGTGGACAACGCTGTTGGAACGTGGGGTGAGGCATCATTTTTCCGTCTGCCGTACTCCTTAAGGCAAACATCAGACCAGCGCTGCACCACAGACCATTATTACCTGACCAGGATCCCTCTGACAAATTTGGTTTTATTTTCTTTAGGTGGTATGCTGAGGTTCTTTGCTGGGAAGATAATACCGCTGAGCAGGTATTGATGCTGAGATAAAAATGAAGTAATACGAACATATTTATTATTACTGATAGAAACCAAACACTTTCTGTGTTAAAAGTATAAAGTGTGGATGAGCTGATTTATAAACTGTAATCTGTCTTGCTTCCAGGGTGCCGTTATTAAGAATCCTCCTCACTAACACAAAAATACCTCGTAGCACCAAGGTACTTGTTGCTGGGGTGAAGGACAAAATTAACAAGGTACTAAATGGTTTCTTCCTTCCTGTGCGCCACTTGCTGATACCATAATTAATATAATAGGCAGTGCTTTTGCAGAGCAGATACTCCTGAGCATGGGGTTGAGTGCCTATATGAAATATTGAAATTAGACCCTTAGCCAGCACCCCTGTGTGCTGTTGCCTTGGTGACACCGGGAGGTGTGCAGGTTTCTCCCTCAGACACAGAAGGACCTGCATGATGTTGTTAGTGTTGAGCACAAAGTCAAATACGCCAGTTTATAGTCTGCACACAGGCTGTCCATCAAAAGCTGTGTACCAAAACCTGCACAGACACTCTAGTTTTTTTTACAAATAAATTCTGTGCATACATTATGCCGAAACCTTATCTTTTTTATTTGCTTTGTTTTTCCCCTGAAGTTTCCATCCATCTTGACTCCTGTGCTTGACTCTGTCGATGCCATTTCCTGCATGTGTGAGAAAGTCCTCTCACAGATGACTTCTGAACCCATCACTGGAGAGCACTACAATATTTTAGAGGTACAAAGTTTCTTTGAACAGGGGTGTGAAAAGAAAAGTACCAATAATTGCGATACTATTCATGTATATTGTCTACAGTGTCAAATGTTTACATTCACCTGAAGCAATGAGAACACATCCCGGCTGTCTCATGTCATTGACAGGAGCTGATTGACATCAATCAACACCATCTGAACGTGATGGGTGTGGGCCACCCTGCGCTGGACACTCTCTGTCGGGTCACGCTGGCCAAAGGGCTCCACAGCAAGCTAACGGGCGCAGGTGGAGGAGGCTGTGGCATCTCCCTCCTGAGACCAGGTGCTGTAGGCCAGTGGGTCAGTGGTGACCGCTGCTGTGGTGTGCACTTTGTGAATAACACTCTGTCCTGAACTATAATGTTCTGGCTGTTTAAAGGTTTGGGCTCTGTTGGTTTTAAAAAAGAGGTATGACCAGTGTGGATGGACAGCACACACTGGAATCGGAGACTGGACGTTTTTTGTCCTCTCACAGAAGCCTCGGTGCTCTGGGAGGCTACTCTACGTGTAGCTTTTTAAGGAATGTCCACAGATCCCTTTTAATTAAGTTTCCTTGCTGAAAGAGTTACATAGTGCTTTTTGTCCTTTTTGAACGGTGCTTAACCGGTTGCTTGTGTCAGGCTCCTTTCACCCTCAGCTGGATATTTAATCACAGAAATAGTAGCGTTGTGGTTTAAATTCCCCCTTCTCTGTACGGGTGAAACATTCTTCCCTCATCTGAATTCAACACGAGCTCAGAAACATTTGCTTCTCTCTTGTGCTTAAAAGCTGATTAATTTCCAGAACTCTAATTGTTAACATTCCTTTAATGAAACATCAAGAATGCTTCTATTAATCCATTTGGATTTTTAATGGGTCGCTGAGACCTTTTCATCATGAGGCTTTATGAAGGAAGTTTGATGTGCCAAAGAGACTCATTTTGACATTAAGTCCCTCTCTCCAAAGCTCCTCACTCTCGATACAACAGTTGGAGTGACAGGAAAAATGGAGAAGGCTATAAAAGAGGAAGAAGAAGTGTCTTTGTAGGCTCTAAAGCTGAACTGGCTGGAGGGGAACTCTGTGATCCTCTCTGTGACAAAGCAAATGGGGAAAATAACCAACAAGTTCTGTCTTTGTTTATGCCGGAAGCCTGAAGCATGCAGAAATTTGATAAGTCCTGAATCCCCCAAATGCATTTCATAATGCTTTGTTTTTTTTCTCAAGCCTTTCTCTAAATTACAGCTATTTTGGAGTGTCTGCTAATACTCTAAAGCTCTGTGAGTTAAAGTGGGCGCTAAGTTATTTAATCTGTGCCTTTTAAAGCTGTGCCTACGCCTGAAGCTTGTAAGACTTACGTATGAATTGTGTTTAGCTTCCATGCCACTGTGCAGCCCTGTGCTTCCTGTGGACCTGGCACCAATAGTTTACCTGTAATGAATGGCAGTGAAGTACATGGCATTCGCACAAGCCATTTTCAAACCGATGGTAGCAGCACACCTGAAAAAGCTGGGACTTCACCATGTTGAACCTCCACAGTGTAGGAACCACCTCTTCTTTTATCAACAGTCTGCGAGCGTCTGGGAACAGCGAGGGACCAGTCGGTGGACCTGCTCTTATTTTGGATTGTACCTGCATGACAGCCGTTTTGGTCTTTGCAGCATTTTTAGGTTGTGTGGCACCTGGCCTTTCTGCCGCAGAGCCGTGCTGGAATCGATGAGAGAGGCACATTAGCATTGTGTTGCTGAAACGTGCCCAGTGGAGCACATTCACTGGATGTGTTCATATGTGCCCACCAAGTCTGATGGTAGCTGTACGGCAGATGGCTGAATCGTACAGTTTCACAGTAGGGAGTATTATTCTGAAGTTGATCATATTGTAGCGTAGACAACATTTTTTCTTTTTTGTGCATAATTACTGAAAAATCCCCAGGTTAGCTCTGAGATATTCTGCCTCTTGAAAATCCTGTTTTTATTTCCAAGTCATGTCACTGGCCTATAGTCAGTCAATCTAATTAGTTTTGTTTTGAATAGTAAAATGTTTCACCGTCAGTGTCTATTAGCCAAACAATATTGTGACTTAATGTTTTATCATTGATATTTTGAAGTGTTCTTTTTTTTTTTATTCTTGGGGACTGGTTTTGTGAATGTTTTTCTTTTTTTTTTCTCATTTGAAAATGTTCTGTTTACTTCATAGAAATGGACTCCTCGGTTGTCCAGAATGTCATACAGGACTTGAGAGACTGTGGCTTCGACTGCTGGGAAACAAGTATCGGAGGACCAGGCGTCCAGCAGCACTCACTCTTCTTCGTAAAGGTGGAAGTTTTGGAGGTTTTAAATCGTTACTAAAATCCACCTGGAACTGAACAAGATGGATGCACTGTTTGATTTTTTAAAAATTATTTTCACATTGAAACAATATTGAGATAACCAAAGGATACTTCTCCCCCAGTGGAGCTGGACCAGAATAAAGAACGGTACTTTTTGTAATGAACAATAATCAGCCAAGTGTCTCATTGAAGCACGGGGCTGTGTACTGAGCTCTTTGTCCACTAGATGGGTTCAAAGTTACACAAATACCTTTTTACGAATCTGGATTTCATTAAGCGGCTCTGATAAGATTGATGCCTAAGCAAAGCACTTTCCTCCAAATGTAGAAACCAGTAATGGCTAAGTCTTATGAATAAGATGACTGACAATCAGTCACCTCTCACGGCTGGCACTGTAACGAGAAATGATGTTGTATAACCACCATCAATGAATGCCGGAATCTTTAAGCAGGAAATTGTTATTGAAGAAGTCAAAATGATTACAATAATATGCTAATAGATCACAGCCAATTGCAGAGCATGACATTTTAAACGGACTGCAATTACTGTATTTATTTTTGTGTTGGCATTCGACATGCTCTACATTAAACATGAATGTCCAAGTGTGAAATTAAAAGAAACCAGACAATTTGCTCTGTTTATGTCTGTAGTCTAAGACTAACCGGTTGTACTGTTTTGATAATTGAGGGTGAAAGAAAGGCGGGCGGTTGAAGTATGTGGCCTCTCTGGAGCCTTCGGCTTAGAACCACAATAATGTGAATAAACAACCAGCATCTTTCTGAGTCACACATTTATGCTGACACACACACAGCGGCTTTCCCAAATTCTCCTCACCTAATCGCTCATCCTCCTAAGCATGACAAAATATCCTGCAAATGCCGCAGATGCAGACGACAGATCTGCTAAGAATATCCCCGATTTGGGGAAAAGGTCATTGTGGGATTCAGTTGAGTCGGAATATTTATTTCATTTTCTACTTTTTAAATGTCATGAAGATTGAGTAGTCCAAATCTGGCAGTGTACATGAATAAACAACATTTGTCACCCTCCCTCCTTTTCTGCCTGATCCCCCCCTGTCCTCTTGAATTGTGTCATCTTTATGTCAGGGCAGCGCCCCCCCCCCATCAGCTTGCTGCACAGTAGACCCCAACCCCTGCTGGAATTTAATTACCACTGCGCTTTTCAATTGAAATGGCATTGACGAGGATGGAGAGATGAGGGGGATGGGGGGGGGAGACCTGTGGGATGGGGGACAACAAGGATACAGCTGAGCCAGTTTTATTTGAAGACCCTCTTTATGATTTCTGCGTCACTCTCTTACTCCTTTTAACCCCTGCAAGGCACAGATGATATATTTGTTTTTTACATGGGTGTCAGCCCTGATAAAATAGATGAATAGAACATAAGGAAGGCCCGAGATTATTTCCAAAAACAGAAATAGTGAGGAAACGCTGTCAAGGACAGTTGAAAAATGTCAGAATTATGGAGGCTCGGCAGTGATAAAGGACATGTACAAACCATTTATTATTTGGGGTGTTTGGGGGAGTTTTGTCTGGATGTATCAATATAAGTGAATCAAGCATGAATAATTCATTCTGTCAAAGTAGGAGAAATAAAAAGCTAAATGTGAATTTGCTGAGTGGTCTTGCTCACGGTGGCATATTCCCTCTGGCCCTCTGTGGACTGGTGAAGTGCTTGTCAGAAGCCATTAAGTTTGAATACTGAATAAGAGCTGGCTGACAAGATATCATGATGCTGATGTCCAGTGGTTTTACTCACAGAGATTAAGTGAATGAATTAGTTCCCACAGCAGCCATTTGAGTTCACACTAATAGGCTGCTGGATCACAATCGGAAGTTGGTTGCGATTCGGAAAAAAATCCTGGTGTCATTTCTATATTTTCTGCTTACATACTGTATCTGCATGGAATGAGGACATAGAAGTGGGTAAGATTTGGGCGAACATGCTCTCAGCATTTGTATGAACGCAATGACAGAGGCGACGTCAACATCATGAGCTCCTCTGTCATGATGAGCCCATCCTCTTGGGGGTGTTTGCCCTTTCAGCAAGTGGAGGTTGGCGTCCGGTATTGGCAGCAAAGCTCCAGTTTAGACAGAAGGGTTGCAAACTTTACAGGATTAAGTTTTCCAGTTAGAGGAACGCTGCATCGGTGCAGCCTCCCATACTGGAACTAATTCTTCATTTGAAAACAAAGCTTTTCTTTGAAGCAACATCAACTTTATGAAGTTAACTTACAATTCTATAAAAGTCTAAACTCACACCTGCATTCAGGAGCTTTCACGTCTCTGTTGTTGCTACTGATGGTGATGAGAAAAAAGTTATGCTACATTTGAGCTTTGATAATTTGGGACCTGTGGTTCAGCAAGTTAACAGGGCTTATCATCTTCCCCGCAGCTCACAATAATTCTGAGATGAAAAGCCTTAAAACTCTTATTTTTCCTTGTTTGTTTTAATTGGCCACAGGGCTCTGAGGAAGTTACATTAATCCTGAGTATCCAAAATAAAAAAACTGTTCAAATATAGCATCACATACTTTGTTGTCCATGAGTAGGAAGTGAAGAGCTGCGGACACTACGGCACAGAAGTTTTTATTCATACACTGTGAAAGAAATCCATCATACACACACACTGCGCTGTCACCACTGCTGATTCCGTTCATTGTGTTTTACAGTAAAAACAGAGTAAAGGTGCATTTTGATCTGATGGAGTTACTCAAGGAGCTTCAGATCATTACAGTTTATTTCCTCAATTTACACCACAGGAGCCATAGCTAAGCAAAGTGTGTGAAATAAATTTTAGCACACTGCTTACAGAACCGGTACCCTGCTCTCAACAGACAAGAAAAATGGTCTTAAATGTTTTTCCAACTTGGCCAAAAGATTTCAAATGAGGTTTCCACCTTTGAGGTTCTGCTTGATCCGAATAAATTCTTCTGCCATGTTCACTTAACACTGCTTAATCCTCTCCAGCAGCACAATTATCTATATATAAACATCTGAAACACGCACACCTCCAGTCCGGGTTGCATCATGGAATAGTAGTATGTTTTTGAATCGATCTTGAAATTGATTCTGTGAAGTTGAGGGCACGGGCAACATATTCCTTCATCCCTCAGTGCCAGGAGCGCTCTTGTTTAATTGCAGAATAAGGTGCTTTTTTCATGTTGACTTTGTAAGGCCTCATTGATTTTTATTCCACCCTTCATCCTTGTTGTGCTCCCTTTTAAGAACAAATCCCTCGTGTTGGAGTTTCCCTGAATGTAAAAGTCTGAAATCTGTCACCGTTTTTTCGCTTCACACACTTTTGCTTCCAGGTGCCATTCAGACACTTTTAAGACTTAACGATGTTTTAAACAGGAAAAGGAAAATAAGCTGTGCTGCATTCTGTCATAGCCTAAAATGGGAGCTGTGTGAAAATGATCACACTTCTAAGTTTCATGGTAATTACTTATGTTTAGCCTATTTGTGTTGCTTTTTGGGGAAAAAAGAAATGGACAAATGAATGCCTCAGCTCTCTCAGATGTTTAAACCGTTGCTTTGGCTAAGTTAGCAAGGCTCTTGTATATAACAGTTATAACATAAAGTCACATGATGATAAGAATCCAATAATCCAAACAAGATTTTTTTCTGTAAAAAAAAAAAAAAAAGAATTGCTCATGCTCCAGGCTTTTTTAAACTGACACTGACATAAAACTGAGTCTTTAATATACAACAAAAACATCATAAGTAAAATTTGGTTTGCATTCATTTGAAAAGCAGATTATCTGACATTCCTACTTTGAATTTGCTTTGAATTTGAAATAGGTTCTCATCATATCACTGGGATTGAAGCCAATTTATTGGAATCAGTTTTTTTTTTCTTCTCGGGAGCTCAGAGGAGGATGAACTCAAAATGTAATCACGTGACACGGTGTGATTGATGGGCCATTAAAATGTCAGCCAGATGTACTTAAAACCGCAGCTTTTAGGTTGATAAATCATGGCACAAATGGATACATAAAGCTGTTAGAAACAAATATTCCCATCTCAAGCTATCTGCAGTCAGATAGTAATGGATGCTCGGGCTGATGGTCTGTCTGTCTCTGCTTGTTTCGTTCTTCACATTTTGCCCTCCCCCAGTGTACAGTTTGTCCGGCCCCCTGCAGCCGTGTAATTACAATGGAACAGGTAAGAGTGTTCATATTTCATCTGCTGCATTCAAGATAACATCTAATAATCCAAAAGCGTAGCAAAATTGGTATCTCGTTGCTCATGCATTATGAATGAGTCACTGATTGCTTTTTTGCATAGATTAGCAATCATTTCACAGAAATCTCTCTTATAAAAATGTGCCAGGATAGTTCCAGCTTTTTTTTTCCGGTTTAGTCGCCACAACCTGCTGCTTTTTAACACAAGACAGATCAGGTGATACCACTTTTCCCTCTTGCCCCTCAGCTCCTTTTCCTGCTCTCTGATTTATTTAGCTATGCATATCATCATGGGGGGGATAAGTGTAATTTTCTGCCCACTTTGCAACTGATTGCTCACTTAGCCAACATATTCAGCATCTGCTGTGTTATTGTGTTTGGAGACAAGTGGCTAAGAACTGCTGAAGCTCTTTGGCATCAAAGTATGCATTCGTCGACTTCACAAAAGTATCTGCTAAAGCAAATCTTCAAAGCTAAAAGACTGGTGTGAAGCACATGGATTTCAGTAACCTCTGTCTGTCCTCAAGTTAACAAAACACAGAAGGCGCTTGTATGGTTTAGTGGTTAGGAAAATAGTCTGGTGACCAGATTCTTGTGTGTAGTCGCAGGTGAAGTTTACATACTTCCTTCTGTTTCCTGTCAGGCAAATAACCTGTTTTACCTTTTACCCTGACCCACGTCATCCACGTAAATGTCAGACGAAATGTCCTTAACAGACTACTGTAAGGGGTGGACAACATAAGCAGAGCTCCTTTGCTTTTCATGGAGACAGCACTGAGTGGATTTCATGCTTAAAACACACAGACGTAACAACTTCCCAAGCTCTTGTTTCAAAATGTGACGGATATAGTTGTTGGTTAAATCGCCGGCTTGTTCCAGACTGAATAATGACAGAAAAACTGTTAATGTGCATGAGAGTGTTTGCGGGTGTGAATGTCTGTGATGTGTCTCCCTCTGTCACCCCTGGCCTTTGCCCCCTCCTCCCCCCAGATGGGCAGGCTCTCAGCCGAGGCCCTGTGGAGGTTGGTGCCCTCTGCTTGACAGCCCGTCACTGTGCTGTAGTGGTGATTTTTTTTCTGCAGGAGATGGTGTCTGATTGGGAGCAGTGTGTGAATAGCCCTGTCACACTCGATAAGCCAGCAAGACGACCTGTGACGGGGACATATGGCATGTTTGACAGGGAGAGAGGGTGCGAATCACACTGAATGATAAAATGGTGTTTTTCCCCCTTCAGCAATGTCATGCTTTCAGGCAAGTGTGTGGACCATCGCTCACTCATGCGGCTGACTCTGGCCTCCTTGTGACATCTCCTTCAAGGTCCCGGGTCTCTCTGCCTTGCGCCCGGACAATCGTGACACCGTGAGCCTCTGCTGTGCTCGCAGCTGCTCCGTTAGCCTGTTGACGTGGGAATCATAATTGGTTATCAGTTTAGTTTAGTGCTGCAGACTGGGAAATTCATCTTTAGAGCCTGTTCGTCAGAGCTCCTTTTAAAGCTCCCTGGCACGGCGGCCCTCCCTCCTGTCGCCTCCACGACTGTCACACGCCTCACACTGTTGATTAATACACACGGCCTCATCAGACGGCTCTAATTGATGGTTTCAGCCTCCTCAGGACCCTGATTTATTTAAAGGTCCACAAACACAGAGGAAAGAGAGGAAAGGAAAGGCGAAGGGGGAGGAGGCCAGCTCGGATTTAAGTGTGTCGGAAAAATTATTGAGTTGAACTGCGTGCCTTTCATCCTTACTGTCAGCAGGGTCTTGATTTCTGGTGTTGGAGCCTCAACTCCAATCCTGTCAAGTGTCACACTGTCAGTGTTTGTGGCCCTGACAGACAGCCCAGGTGTCACACTCAGGCTTCAGTGCACCATCAGGCACCTCTGCATGGGTCCCCAGTGGTTCACAGTCAGAGAGACAGCACAGTCCAGTAACCCCTCTTAAACCCAGCATGTCTTGCTCCCTGGGGAGTCCCCTGTTGGGTTTCACTCTCTGTGTCCACTGGGCCAGAACTTAGAAACTCTGCCCATGGTCACATAATTCTGCTTTCACTCTGAATAATAATTATTAC